TTCAACAACTGCCCCCAATTTACCAAATTTAGTCAGTCCACATTTTGTTAGCAACTGGTTACACGTCCGTGAACGGGTGCAAGTCAGCAAGACTAGTTCCCTGACCTTACAAATTCCTTGACGTCTTTAAACTGCTCTGTTTCATCTTAAATGGGATCTGGGAACCAGACTACAGAAACAAGATTGTTTTTCTTAGTTTTTCCAGCATCTACGAATACAAAACTTCAAAAAAAGTCAGTGAAACAATATTTGCTAGAAAAAAAAAAACCCTCCCAAACCATCCATTTCTACTTTGTAAATGAATTTTTATGTCAGTATGGTTTGCACAAACGCATCCCATAATATATTCATTTCTTTTGTTTTATATACATGTTTTATACATGTTTTATGTAAACCTTTATGGTAAACTCTCACAATTTCTTTACAATCCTGAAATCAGGGAAAACTCGGACAAATCTCATCCCTGTGCATTACTAAAAAAGAAAAAAAATGTTCAAATTTTTATAGCACACGTCGTTTTTTTCCCTGTGTCTATCAGACAATGATGTGCAAGGCTATCCTAGTGACAGCCAAACATGAACGCCAAACACCTGGGGTCAAAGGTCACAGTATCAGCTGGTCCTGTGCACAGTATAAAGACGACCACACAAATAACCATTGATTATACACCCATGTGACCTGTGAATGCTCATTTCTTAACAATAGCTTGCCACCTGTGAGCGCAACAAAGAGTCTGAGTTTGAAAAATTACCCCCCCCCCCAAAAAAAACGGGAAATTATAACAAATCCTCAAAATAAATGGTGCAATCATGGGTGCTGTAATAAAATACATGTGTAGAGAGTCTGTACACAAAGAAAAATACATGTTGCTAAGACAACCTCCATCATTCCTAACAGGCAAAATCATACATGATGTTTCTTTTATAAACCTAGGTTTCTAAGTTTTTTTTCCTTTGTACTACATGTACATATCATGGAGCTATCCGTTTTATAGCTACTTGGTACTTTAAAGTACATGTACTGTACATGTATGCACTTTTATCACTATAAAAATGAATGATTCAGACAGTCCTTGCTCCGTGTTCAGTACATGATTCAATAGACATTTCTCACAGTCGGATTATGGAGCAAAGAATAGGGGATTTTGTATCGTGCGTTATCTCTTTTATTTATTGACCTTATAAATGAATAAAGACCAGGTTGGATGGCAAATGGTTTAAAAATTGGTGTGCTAAAATGGCACCCACTACAGACTTGAAGAGCCCATCAGCTTGAACGTCATAGTGCCTTGTTTCAATGCCATCTCATTACAGCAATTAATTCTGTACTCCAAGGGTATAAGAAGCTTGTCACAAAAAACCTCAAACAAATGAGAACCTTTCTCACTTTCTAGACTATGGTCAGTGGCGCACCCAGGGGGGTGGAGGGGGGCACGAGCCCCCCCCCCCCCCCCCCCCCGAGAGGTTGTCAATTTTTTTTTTTTTTGAATTTTTTTTTTTTTAGTCCCACGATTTTACCTTGGTGATACGTACGTGGCCTATTTTCAAGTAGTATAATAAGGGTGTAAGTGGCGCCACCAACGTCAAAATAGTCCGCCCTCCAAAAAAAAATCCAATTTTTTTCTGCAGCCCAAAATTTTGGGCAATATTTTTTGAAAAAACATTTGAGCCACCTCCAAAACCAAATCCTGGGTGCGCCACTGACTATGGTACCGGTATGTAAGGCTGTCACCAACATCAGTGATTCAGCGACCAAAAATACAATTTTTCTGCAATCTGTGAAGAGGCTATTCATGAATAATGAAGACTGGAGTACAGAGCATTCTATGACTAATGAATGATGTACTGTAGTGTTAGCCCCAAGCTATTATCAAACACTCATGATTCATGCCAGCAAGGGTCCAGCAAAAATGCACAGTTATTAATCACATAAAAAATATTATCTTTGAAGTCCTCGATTTTCCTTGGGTGGGTAGGATTGTATGACCCCAGCCAGTGGCTAGATAGAGTGCTGGCGGGGAGTTACCTAGTGTGATGTAATTATAATAATAATTTGGGGGGCTAATCATCCTTACTCGCTTTGCGAAGCTGAATTGCTTAGGACGCGGCTACAACATGGTCGAGCCGCTGGCTTGTAAAGCCGCCTCAGCCTGCCGCCATACGACCCATGTCTGACCACGGAGCACAGCCAGAGATCGAAAGTGTGGATTTTTTGCGGAGGGAGGAAAACCGGAGAACCCGGAGAAAACCTTCGTGGCACAGGAGAGAATCAACGAACAATTCTACTCACATGTGGTCCGAGCTAGGATTCGAACCTGGGCCACATGGGTGAGAAGCGAGCACTTTACGCACCAGCCACCCATACAGGTGGTGATGGTTAGATGTGGTTTTAGCTCAGAATTGAAGTACAGTGTACACGACCAGTCGACCACAACTAGACATTGGCTTTGTGTTATGTGAAATGACGTCTAGAAATGTTGACATTATAAGGGTTAATGATGCTAATTAAAGTGTAAAACTTTTATCCCAGTTTTTATACTAACTTACTTCCGATACCTAACCTACAGAAAAATAAAAATACCAGCTGCAACTACATGTACATGTAGTTAAATACTCAACAAGGAAAACAAAAACAAACAATTCAAAGAAACTTCTTCCGTATCACACAGGTTGAAGTTGAAGTTGAACCCCTTTTCTGGTTATGTCAGGTTTTAGGAAATTGACCATTTTCCAATCATTTCAAAAGATTTACCCATTATGATCTAACGCAACTTATGTTAACCAAGGCATGTATTGATTCATTTTGTGAAACTGAACTCAATGAAATATGATATGGTCTAGATGAATCACAGAAATGTTAGAATTTTAATTGTTATTTCTGAAAAAAACACTCAATCTACTTACATTTAGGAATTGTTTTGAATTTAATTTGTTCAGTTCTAAACACATAAAACAAACAAACAACACCCCTCCCCCTAAAAAAAATATAAAAAAACCAAATCGGCAAATCTAGTATCTGTGAGAAAATTTGCAACACGGTCACCCGTTTGCTAGGGCAATAATCACTCAACGTCAAGTAGGGCAGTTTCAGTCCACTGGATACTACTTCAGGTAAAAACATTCCTTTCTTTATGCTGTATACTCACACATGTACAATTGTGTAAATTTGGGATTTAATGGCCTAGTCCGACTTATTCACTATAGTGAACACATCACCATTTAAATGAGGCATCAGTGCTCGGGGCAATACGTGAGCGTCTGTATATTATCACACATGACCAGTTCTGAGATCAGATTTTCATCATGCACACAGTATTCAAATGGATTTTTTTTGCCAGAACTGTGGACGTTGGTGCGTCATTCATGTGTGTGGTCTGTTTAGACTGTTCACGCAAATCAAGGAAGGACAGCAAAGTGAAAAAATTAACAGAAGTTATCAACAAAAAGATTGTGATTTTCCAACAAACTACAAAGGGAAACTGCCAACCATACATTGTACCAGTACATGTAGGTTCCCTTTTGATCAATACGAGCCTCATATCGATTCAAACTAAAAACTCAGGTTTCTCAAAAAAATTGTCGGTCTGAGGACCTAAAAACAATTGTTGACAAATTTTAAAGAGTTATGGATCAACCAGGGAAGCTTTTTGGGGAATTTTTGTTTGAGAAAGTGGAATTCTAGATGTAAAAGCAATTTGTCTATCATGGGGCCCAATCAAATCCCATAATACGAAGATCCAAAAAATGAAGGCAGGGTATATTTAGCCAGCACCGGCTAAATTTAAGCAAACGATATTTTGCCGGCTAAGCACTGAACATGCGCAGTAACTTTTTTGGGGATTTAGAAATTTGTACCAAGTTGACAAATTTAGTCTGGTTCCGCGCCAACATTGTAGTTGTGACTAGATGGGAATCAGACCATTTTATAATTTCGAACTTTATTTCCCTTTTTTAAAAAATCCTTCAGAGCTACAAATCACAAAAAGAAAATGTAAAACTCTGTAATTAAATGCTGGAGTCAATTTAAAAAAAGAAAAGAACCATATTCTTAATTTTTTTAGGATGAAACAAAAATTGAAAATGTTGCCAGCAGGAACTTGAACCACTAGGATCTCTCAATCACGAACTACATGTACATGCCCTTATCCACAGGTTATTGGGTGCTGCACTTAACGGGAAAAAAAGTTGCAACCTGCCGCCACTTTTTTCTTCATATAATCATCTCAATGAAGGTCAGTTATTGTACAAATGATGATAAGACATGAATCTGGGACTGAGAAACATTTCCAATTTTGTTAGGAAATACTTAAAAAAAATTCTTGACTCTCCATTGACTTTGTAGTACACAATCGCTGAAGTAGCGTCAGGTTGCAACATTTTTTCCCTGCACAACAGTGGAGGTAATTTAATACCTTTATACTGTTTACTGAAACTTGAAAGAAAGCCGGCTAAACTAGCTGACTAAATACACAAAGTGGAAGGCACACGGGGTGCCTTCTTATTCTAGAATTGAAGTAGAAGTAATGCATAGAAGGCAGGGTTTTGAATTTTTGAGGGAAATTTGGGGGTAAAAAAATGATGACAAAACGCAACACGAAAATACAACGATATGTACCATGCAAGGCGCGCTGAACTGCATGGCACCAATCATAAAAACCACGTACAAAAATCGTCATTTCTACCCCAAGAAACTGTTCACAATTACAAAAAGGTGTCATTTGAATCGAGAGAAGTCTGTTTTAGGTTGAAAAGGTCATTTTAAAATGATAAAACACCCTTGACTCTAATTTGATCGAATCTAAAGAAACTAAAATCATGAAAGTGGGGCTCGTAACTACACGATCACATGCTTAATTCGCACAAGTACACTGCACAGTCTGAAGACTGAAGCCATTCATAACAAACATAAAAAGAAACAACCACAAAACCGGCATGAAGATTATCAAAATCAAGTCTGGATATTAGACATGAAAAGATTTCCTCTATAAACTTTGGAAATACCTTAAAATATCCCCCTTGGTAGAGCGTTTCCGGTGGCCCAAAGATCGCCACTTCCCATTCGAACAGATTCGCTTCATTTGGGAGAGTTACTTTGAAACCTTCCACTGGTTCATCGTTTATTTTCTTTAGTTCTACACTCAGAGCTCGCAAGGCAGCAGACGGTGGTGTCGTTGCCATGTCCACCGTCTCGACGATCGTATTTCCACTGGTTGTTTTAAGCACAAAAAATGGTCAGATTTGTTGTCTTCCCGATGATAAATTTCGTAGTTCAGTTCCCATACGCACCGCAGTACATCTGATGTGTGTTGTTGTTGCGGTTTCGATCCAACTCGGACCCAAACCAACTCGGACCCAAGCCAACTCGGACCCATGCCAACTCGGACCCACTACCAACTCGGACCCATGCCAACTCGGACCCACTACCAACTCGGACCCAAGACCAACTCGGACCCACTACCAACTCGGACCCATGCATGACCAGCTCGGACCCATCGTTTTCAATCATTCGAAATCGTTTTCAATCATTCATTTCAAAAAGTTTGTCCACTTCTCATCTGTTATTACAGTGATGCTGTTTAGTATAAATTTTCATTGTAATTGTAAGGTAAATTATCTCATATCTGTATTGCAGCAGTATAACATTTTTAAGCGCATTAAAATGCTATTTTGAAATGCACTTTAACTTGAAGTGTAATTAATTATTATTATTTTCATTTGTTTTCCATTAAAACATATTGCGCTTTAAAAGTTTAACCAATTGTTTATTTCATTAAATTAATTGACATCGTTCACACCATCTTGCTAAATTTAACAGCAATTTATTTCATTTTTAATCCAAACTTCAACGTAACAAGTATGCAAATTAAGAACAGATCTTCATAGAAAAATAAAATTGGAAAGTATGGCATTAAAACATAAACACTTTCAAACATAACATTATTAACTCAATAAATATAAGTAAACATAAGTCACTAAATAAAATAAATAAGATATAAAAACGAAGTCTATTCTAATCTCTATTTAAAAAAAACCCCACATAAACACCATTGCATACACTGCAAGAAAAACGAAGGTTTCATATTAAACAAAAAAGTTAAATCAAAAAATTATTAAAAGTTAAACAGATTCATAAAAAAATCCCACAAAATTCAAAGCCAGCATGTGAATTAAAAAAACAACAATTACATGAAATGAAAGGCCTAAATAGTTATTTCAAATTAATAACTTCCTCACTGAAACAAAATGTGCCACTTAAACCACTTGTTACACAACAAAGGCCTGCAAAAACAAACAAGTAATTTATTTTTTACTGAAAATTATAATCCTTTGAATTTCGGAAAAGAAAATCGAGATTTTGAAAAAAGCACGTATATATCAAGTTGTACAAATGACATACGATATGCCTAACCTATACTATACGCTATTAATACCTCTTGGTTTAGCTTCACAGGTCACAGTTTCAAAAAGCTAAGCACGTTTAGTTTCATGGCGTTCAAAACGATGAGTGTTTAGCAACAGTATTTACTGTACGCATCATAAAATAACGCTCCACACAGCGGCAATACAAGAAAACAACAAAACTAAAAGCGCCATTCTGCCCAATGTAATTACAGAATATCTTCACTTTATAAGCACTAACATTAAGATCACCTATAACTATAATCTCTGAAACTAAAATGATTGAGTCATTGTTGGGTCCGAGTTGGTCGTGCTTGGGTCCGAGTTGGTAGTGGGTCCGAGTTGGTCGTGGGTCCGAGTTGGTAGTGGGTCCGAGTTGGTAGTGGGTCCGAGTTGGCGTGGGTCCGAGTTGGCATGGGTCCGACTTGGCATGGGTCCGACTTGGTTTGGGTCCGAGTTGACCTGATACCGTTGTTGCAATGGCGAAAGTAGATATGACGTCATATAATAGATGTCCGGAAATGACCGATCAAGGCCGAAATCCTCGTCGGGTGGTGCACGAGGGCCCCGAATGCACGCGTCTAAAGAAAAATAACATAAATGATAATGCTTTTTCGTTGGTCCTGAAAAACTTGATGACAATACAACATATCAAGTGAAAGCCTACTGTTTTTTAATTGATCCTGAAGCTACTGAATTTGGTATTAATTGCTTTATTTACATATAAAATAGCAGCGAGGACGCAAAGAAAAATTCTGCTATGTTTTGTTTAGGCCGCCATAGAAAGGTTTACCGACTGCCCATCTATTAACTATTGAGGTCGCTATTGTTAAAGGCCAACAAGAAAATCTCTCAAGGTCTTCATGTACGCCTGGCTGTTTCAATCGTTGACCCTGAAAGTGAAGTGGTCACGTAGATTGATGCGGATCGATGAACAACATAATGTGCAAGATATTTCACGATTATACTGAACAACAAAAAGTTCCTCAAAAATAGTAAAGCAGAACAATCACTTGCAAATATAAAAATTAATTCAAAATAACTTGACACATAACTTTTTGAGGAGGACGTCTATCCTTTATATTAAATTGCATTTTTGGTTTCATCTCAACATGATTTTTATTCATTTATAAGCGGGACTCTTTTTTTTCAGTCTTGTCAGTGAAATATGGCCTCAATGATCCAACTTTATGTCATACCTTTTCTATCACCCCATTCGTAGGAATACGCACTTTTCATTACAAATTCGAAGCATTCAGGAAAAGACTTTGGGGGGGGGGGGGGGGGGTTGCGCACCGTCCGTTGTGGTCATACAAATTTTCCTGATCCATGACAGTGCTGATGACAAAAACAAAGTGCATCACGGATGTTTATTTTCGATGTTTATTATCTAGGTCCCACCATGGAACGGTCAACTAAATTAGGCAAACAAAAAAATAGTCCTGCTTCCAATTACATGGTATATTTGAAAATAGGGTAGGTAGACAGGGATTTTTTTTTTTTTGGCATTTTATTTTTTTGTTGATCATGTAGGTATCTGCGTGTAGTCAAGGGTAAAAGGTTGTAATTATTGGTTTTGGTCTTTTCCCCTAATTCCCCCTCCCCCCCCCCCCCCCAAAAAAAATTAGGGTAAGGATTTTTTTTTTCAAGCTTGGATTGTACAGACAAGGTGGGGTACTATTTTACCATTTGGTGTTCTCATGTACATTGGTGTCCTCCATAATTTGCCTTGGTGCTCTCGATCATTTGCCTTGGTGCAATTTCCCATTCCTTGGTGCTCTTTGGTAAAAAAAAATTGAGGAGGTGCGGCAATAGAGGGCGCTGTTGGAGCTACCGCGGAACATTTTGGAAAAAAAAAAGATTGACGCGCATGATTAAAATCGACGCGCGCGCTGACCAGAGACCGACTTATTTTTGGGGGGGCCTAAGGGCTGTAAAAAAAAAAAAGGGTAGGTAGGGTAACCGGAAGCAGAAGTATTACTTGTTATGGCCTTATCGCTTCCTTCAGACCACCCCCCCCCCCTCCCCCCCCCCAAGTCGACAAGAAATAGCCTACGTTTACCGTACCGGCCAAGCTTGAAGATATCTTACCTTCGGCAAATTTCATCCGAACACAACTTTAAAACATCTTTCGTGGTGATATTCATCGGAATTTAGTTTCTTTTCTCCCCGAATTGGTGAGATTCCTTGCAGGATACTGGCGGCCAGGGGTTCCATTTAAGAGCCCTCGTATCGTCTGGAAACGGCTTCCCCGTTTCTACGTGCAGTGCAGGAAACGTTTGATATTTCCTTCAACGTTTTATCACGACCTTTCGTAAAAGCGAGCGTTTAGAAAGTCTGACATGCGAGAGCAACCATCATCATTCAAAAATATGGGCTTTCATTTAGTTGAATGAAACACATTTAAAAAAAATCATATTATGGTGGGTTTTTTTAGGTTCCCAATGAAACAGTTCGTATCGGACCGCGGCTCAGACTTTTTATTGTTTTTCGAAAGTCTGGTTGGGAAGGATTAATGTTAAATTAATGTTAAATTGAAAACTTGGTCCCATGATCAATTTGACCTCTCTTGAAAAATTACTCATAACTCTGTCAAAAATTATCAGATTGGGACGTTTGATGTCTTATTTTAAAGTAGAAAAGTGTATCTTTCAAACCATACCTATCATCTATGTTGGTGACACATTCTACGTCTGGCATTCCGTTTTATTTGATTTGAATTTATTTTGATACACACTGTGTAGCCTGAGTTTATGGACTGTGTCTACAACGTTTTCCCTATCCCCGGGGCCCCTTGTCATCAGCCTTTTTGTTTTGTCACAGAATATGAGGGAGTTGAAGTTTCTCTTGAGGGCGCTGTGCATGCAATGAACGTGGGTTCCACTCAGGTTCAACTGCACCAAATACATATACGCATTAATAGAAAACAACACAAAATCGGACAGAAACATGCCTCCCGGTGATGATGGGAGCAAGGCGGCAATGTGTTTTTCACTGGAACTTAAAGATTACGACCTCTCGGATAATTTTCTTTTCAATTTCACCAGAGATAGCCGCATCAGGTTTTTTATATTCCCGTCTCCCGAAACCACCCCGTGTTGCCGATCCCTGGGCCCAGGTCTAAATGTATATAATGAGTCCATTTTATTCGGCAATTGTATAATGTCCTTATATATTGTTATTTATTGTATATTTCAATAATCCTGTGCAGAATGTGAACTGACGATTATGAAGATTCTCACAGAGGCAACCTCGTGCCCCGTGGGTACGATCTTGCAGCGCCATGTTGTTTCCCATCATGCCTTGCGCGATCGTAACCCCTGGAATTGTGTAATTTAAATATACCGAAATACGGTACATTATAATTAGGGCTGCAGTTTATCCTTTTTACGTGCCGACGCCATCTTTAAAACGTTAAAAGTTGTGATTTTGAAGAATCAATCCTTTCAAACACAACGTTTGGACGTTGTGTTAATTAGCAAAGATTTGTATTAATGTACGTAGGCCTACCCCTTTCGTGCCTTTACAACCACAGATACAGGGTTTTTTAACGAAAAACGCGGCTGACATAATCCATATCGTACAGGCATCGCGACTTTTGAATTATAATTTTTTTCGTACGTGACGTTACGTGCAAAGCTAAGCGCGCGTGCGCATTATGGGCGCGCCCGGCGTGCAATCTTCGAAATGCCCGCGCAGTACGCCGTGAATAGCCATTCAGCGTCATTTACGTCATCATCACAGCCAGGGGTTAGTGTAAGGAACGAGCACGCGCCCCTGGAGTGGAGGCTGTCACAGAGGCCCCAAAAAAGTGCAATTAAAGGGTGCACACCACAAAAACGCTGTAAATTCACTACGCGAGCTCATCGATATTTTGTGCTCCCACGGGTAATTTAAAATTAAAGGTCCTTGTGGCCAATAATTGGGATAGATTGTAGAAATCATGATCAAGTTCATGTAAATCAAGCATTTGTGACTTGTGGTTCCCCAACTTGTGGGTCTATTTCGCAGAGGGGCGGGGGTTACATACTTACATAGTTAGACCCGGGCCCAAGGATTGGCAACCGTTTTAGGGGTGTTTTTTTCGCCGGAAGAGGGGAATATAGAAAAATTGTCGTGGCTACCTCGGTAAAATTGATCAGAAAATTGTCTTAGAGGTCATAATCGTTCATTTCCAGTGAAAAACAACATTGCCACCTTGCTCCTGAGACTTACAAGGTGGCGCTCTTTAATTATGTCGGACTTTGTGTTGTTAAAGAGCACGTAAAATGATTAGTGTAGGCGTTCAAATTTAATACGCAGTTGTAATTTTCCTAAGAAGATGGCTGTCTCGTCACAAGACATGTGTAGCATGAACGCAAAGTGAACCCCTTAATTCAGTTCCATGCAATAACACTGAAATATTACCCGTTGCGCGCTGAATATTATAAACTGTCCTTCAACTTCAATACCCAAAGACATACGCTCAATATAAGATGGAGCTAATCATGCCTGATGGCTTGTATTGAACACCATGCATCGTGCTCATTTATTGTTGATTGGTTACCATTGATCCACCATCACGAAAGTTAATCAGGAGTAAATGTTGTCTTGCAGTATCCCGGCAGTTGTTGTTCAGCGTTGTACTGACGGGGAATACAAATTGTGTCGTTGAAAATGGCAAGAGACGTAGGCCTGTGCTTTATTTTCATGGTGCCAATTGCAGGTATGTTTTTGTCAACGATTTTATTGATAATTAATCATTGATTATTGATCAATGATTAAATGTCTTTTTTAGAAGGTCTCGAAACTTTTTTTTTTCATTTTAACAAGTCGTTTCTATCGTACCTTTTTAAGAAAAAGCACGAATCAGTTTCATATTTCCTCAAGTCGATAAGCAGGTGTGATCATCGAACGTTTTATGCTAGAAATGAAATAAAACTTAGATTATTATTATATCGATGTAGTAACATCATAAAAAAAAATGTGTCGCTTCCATGCCTCAAGAAGCCTGAGACTCTTCGAATTGTCTGTCTGACTGTCAAGGGTTGGTGGATGTTGAGGTCTAGGTCGAAGTCTCGGCCGAGCGGTTGTAATACGTCTCTCATAATTCAAAAAAGCAATTGTACAAATAATTCCATTTCTCGAGGTGAAACTCGTGAAATAGCACGGGGAACTTTTATCTTTAAGCTCTCTTTAACTGCCTCGAGAAATTTTCAATAATAACTTCGCGTGCGCGTGGCGGAATCTTCCGTATGTTTTACTAGACTTTTTTTCATAAAATTAGGATTTAATCAATTTAAAACCCATGGTATACTGAGAATTTTTTTTTTTTTGCAGTCCTGCATCCAGCATTTTGGTTCAAAATCCCATTGTTTAATATTTTTCTCACTTTTCCACTATGAACTTATTCGTATTTACGCATTTACGCTACGTTTTTTTGACTGTCACTTTCAAAGCGTCGTTCATTTTTTGCATGATTCATTTTTTGCACGAAAATTATTGCTATTGGTTAAAATTGCTATTGGGAAAACCTATATTGTGTCATAATTTACTCCAGCCCATAATTTACTCCTAAATAATCTACAGTGTTGGTTGCTTCTGACAAAATCTGCTTCATCGGATTGGAATACGACCAAGAGTATGGCGTTCAACCCCGTTGGTTTTTACCCTACGGAGACCCGTGTAAATGCACCGCCATTCGTCTCGCTGGGCTGAATCGCTATGGGCCTATGATACCCTCGTACCTGCAATCGGCGCCACTCATGCTCAGTGAAGACCACGAGGAAATCCGCTCATTCTTTGGCTGCCCAGGTAATATAATATATCGTATTTTATATTATCTTATACCGATACAATGGGACTAAATTAGTTCGAAAAGCTCCGGCGAGACCGGTACTACCGTAGGCCTAACTGATGCGTAACATCGCCTGAAGGTTCGCCTACGTATACGCCATTTCGTCTTTCAGCTTCCGGAACCCTCGCGTGACCCGCCTATCGGCATTTTACACTGGTTGCCCTTTCTCTTGCTATACATCTTTGACAGAATGATTTGCTACCGTAATCAACCCAAGAAACATCAATGTTGGAATTTTATCTTGTCATTCCACAAGACAAATCATGAGAATTCAGTTAGAAATAGGCAGTGGCGTAGCCACCGGGGGCGTGGGGGGGGGGGGACCGCCCCATGAAACCTTGTCGCCCCCAGTCGCCGCCCCCCCCCCCCCCCCCCCCCCACTGAGATTTTGAGTTTCTAAAAAAATTGTCATTGATCTAAATCTAAATAGTCGCGAATGATCCACATGATGACCACTGAGAAACGACCCTTCGACCGGCGACCGCGGAGCAGTAAGCTGACAACCGGCGTGACATAGCGCATAATGATAATCTAAAATGCGTATTAACACCCACTGCACTGCTCGCTCACACCACGGAACACGTATTATAGACAGGTGGTCCGTGGGTCACACAGTTTCAGTCAGCGATATCACGCAAATTGGCCACGCACAAACTTGTTCCTCCATTCATATAAGCTAAATAATAATAATAGACCAATTAAAATTTCTTGAAATCAGTGGCGTAGCCACGGGGGGGGGGGGGCGTGGAGGGGGGGCGACAGCCCCCCCCCCATGAAACCTTGTCGCCCCCCCCCCCCCCCCCAGTCGCAAGTTTCTAAAAAAATTATCATTGATCTACATGACGCCATGGGCGTCAATCCTGGGGGGACAGGGGGACTGGTCCCCCCCCCCCCCACTTTTTGAAGGGTGGGGGACACAATATCAAATGTCCCCCCCCCCCCCAGATTTTTGAACTGTGTCTCATTTACAGGGCCCTATTATGTACTACAATGTATCTTTTGCTTAAAAAATATTGGTTAAAGTGGTCAGAAATTGCGTCAGATAGCACCACAGAGCATTTAGAATTCCTGGCTACGCCACTGGAAATAGGTACAAACCAATTTTACTTACGACCTTTCACATCCGGCATTTTTGTACCTACAATCCTGGCCAAATCTCGTTGGTCCCCCAACCCCCCAGCCCCCGCTCAATGTTGTCTCTCATTCATTGCGCGGTGTGTGCTCCATCCGCTGAAGAGAACAACATTGACCGGGGGAGCGGGGGAGTTGGTGACAGTTGGAGAGCTAAGGTTATTTCCAAGTGTCCCAACCATTTTGGCCAGGATTGTCTGAATGTACAATAGCCTTGATATTGGATTTGGATATTGCGCGTAGTACGCGCTCAAATAATAATACACACACGCGCGCGCGCTGGTAACATGGTCAATGCACACGATTCACCATGACGGTGCACCATGTCATTTTGGCCGATATTTTTACAAAATACGGATTGTGTTCGACGTGAAAGCCGTATTAGGATACACAAACAACGTATCATCTACTTCAATTTGTTTTTAATCCCTCATTTGGACGAAAAATCCATCCAAACCACAGTGTAACCACGGTTCACCACTGTAAATCATATAAGAAGCAGAGTCACTCAATTCCTTTATACTTTGGTTTGGATGGATCATCGATGGATTTTTCGGCATATTAACGGAATGAGTGAACACAAACTAATTGACAAGGATTGTATATTGTTTGTGTATAATAATGAGCTTTTCAAGTTAAACACAATCTGTATTTTGTACAGTTGTTGGCCAAAATGGCATGGTGAACCGTCATGACGAACCGTTTATACGATGCACGCAACAATAAAGTTGTGATTTTAAAGAATTGGAACATTTGTATTTTTAATTTCCATTTTTGTATTACTATCAATCATTATTATCTGGCCTAAATATGTGTTCTTTCATTCAAGCTTCGGCCGCCATTTCATATTTTGGAAACAAAACTCAAGAAAACAGCTCCCCAAACGGCATGTCATGCATAAATATTATTTTGAAAAATGAAAAAAATCAGACAATCCTGGCCAAATCTCGCTGGGCCCCCAACCCCCCGAGCCCCCGCTCAATGTTGTCTCTCATTCATTGCGCGGTATGTGCTCCATCCGCTGAAGAGAACAACATTGACCGGGGGAGCGAGGGAGTTAGTGACCGTTGGAGGGCTAAGATTATTTCCAAATGTCCCAACCATTTTGGCCAGGATTGTCCGAATGTACAATAGCCTTGATATTGGATTTGGATATTGCGCGTAGTACGCGCTCAAATAATAATACACACACACGCGCGCGCTGGTAACATGGTCAATGCACACGATTCACCATGACGGTGCACCATGTCATTTTGGCCGATATTTTTACAAAATACGGATTGTGTTCGACGTGAAAGCCGTATTAGGATACACAAACAACGTATCATCTACTTCAATTTGTTTTTAATCCCTCATTTGGACGAAAAATCCATCCAAACCACAGTGTAACCACGGTTCACCACTGTAAATTATATAAGAAGCAGAGTCACTCAATTCCTTTATATTTTGGTTTGGATGGATCATCGATGGATTTTTCGGCATATTAATGGAATGCCAGTGAACACAAACAAATTGACAAGGATTGTATATTGTTTGTGTATAATAATGAGCTTTTCAAGTTAAACACAAACTGTATTTTGTACAGTTGTTGGCCAAAATGGCATGGTGAACCGTCATGGCGAACCGTTACGATGCAGGCAACAATAAAGTTGTGATTTTAAAGAATTGGAACATTTGTATTTTTAATTTCCATTTTTGTATTACAATCAATCATTATTATCTGGCCTAAATATGTGTTCTTTCATTCAAGCTTCGGCCGCCATTTCATATTTTGGAAACAAAACTCAAGAAAACAGTTCCCCAGACGGCATGTCATGCATAAATATTATTTTGAAAAATGAAAAAAATCAGACAATCCTGGCCAAATCTCGCTGGGCCCCCAACCCCCCAGCCCCCCCTCAATGTTGTCTCTCATTCATTGCGCGGTGTGTGCTCCATCCGCTGAAGAGAACAACATTGACCGGGGGAGAGGGGGAGTGAGTGACCGTTGGGGGGCTAAGATTATTCCCAAGTGTCCCAACCATTTTGGCCGGGATAACGGGATTGTAGGTCTCCTTGTTCGATCACGTTTTTTTTTTCACATCGCGTACTTGCGATAAGGACGCGAAGATTTACCAACTTATAGCCAATGGGTTCTAGACCTAGTCGGGCTTGCAATCGCTTGCATACAATTCTTATCAACGGTCATTTTAGATTTGTTTGTAAATGATAATAAGTCCTTCAAGTTTCAGTTTTTCACCCAAGGACCGCCACAAAATAATTTTTCATACATTTTCATCTTTGTACGAGTACACCGAGTTTCACTAGTCCACATGTATTTTAGATTTTCGGAAGGGAGGTCTATTATATTTCCCTTAGTCACGTCAGGCGATTTTTCAGTTTCCATAAATTGAGATGCTAGTAAAATTTTTACAAAGGCCATTTCAAGGGTGATTTCTTAAGAAACAAATGTACCAGAAATAATTGCAAACTTTTTAATTGTCCTATTCAAGGGGTCCGGAAACGCGCCACTTGGGGTGAACTTTCAGGCTCCATTATTTTTTTTTTAAGCAACAATATTTTTGAAGGGTAGCACTCATTTGAATATCGATGATTTCTAGATTTCCAAAGCAAGTGTTTGGAACCTTTTCCTTTGGGCCTTGAAGACGGCACCATTGGTGATCAGCAAATTCAGGCTTCAAGCACCTACAGCGCCTACTTACCATCAAAGGCGCGTCTGAACAATCAAGGAAGCTGGACTCCCGACGTGTAAGTTAGTGTATAGGCCTACATTGTTTGATGCAATGTATTATTGTTTGTACGCCTTTTTCAGAACCTTGTTGACAAAAACGTGGAAACCTGTTTTGGTTGAACTTAGTTCCCTTTATACTCACTGGAATGGCTAACAACGTGCGTGTACTTACATTAAATTTACATTTACATTAACATTTATTTCGTTTTTTGGGATACATTTGTTATAACAAACAACAACATTAAATACTCAGAAATACACATGAACATTTTAGACAAAACATACACATTATAATATTTAACCAGCTCCCGCTGGATCACCCAAAAGAAACATGGTTTCTGTCGAGGGGCTCTCCAACTGATTAAATATGACACACTAAAACAATGTTAATAAATTATAACTATATTATACGTACAACTTTAAGGAAATAAAACAATTAAACAAGTCCTTAAATGAATAAAACTATGAATAAAACAAAACACTGCATTGTTTTTAAATTGCTATGTATACAGTAAATAAGTAAACACAATAAAATGATTTGTTATAGTACTGACATAAAATGGGCTACCTAAGAATAAATAAACAAAATAAATAAATAGATAATAGTAAATAATGGTGAAACAAGCAATCAAACAAACAAACAACCCCCCCCCCAACAAACCCATACAAACAAACCAGTACCAACAAAACAAACATTCACACCCCAACAAACAAACTAACTAACAAACAAACTAACAAACAAAAAGGGGTTGGGAAATACATGTACGGTCGAACACCCTTATAACAAGGTCCCCAGGACTTCACAAATAACCTTGCTACAGGGTGAGTCAAAAAAGCGGAACCCAAACCCCATAAAATATATTTCATATTTAAAAAAAATATGTAGCACCAAACATAATAATGACTGGAAAGCCAATTTCATAAGTTACTTCTAGATTAAAAAAATTATTGAAATTGCTCAATCCGTTCAAAGAATATCACCATTTAAACGCAATGACCCTAAATCCTGTCTCGTAAAAAAAACCTATTTATTATGTGTTTTGACTGTTTGGAACAACGAAGAAAATGACACAGAATACTTGTTCCAACAACTGTCAACAACTGTAGTACACAATATCTTTATTAACAACCCTGGTTAGGCAAACAGTATGATTTATAAAATCCACTTTTTTTTAAAAAGATGTTTGAAGACAATTGTGACGACGATTCTTGAAATCGCATTTTTTGGACGAGACAGGTTTAAGGGTCATTGTGTTTAAATGGCGGTATTCTTTGAACGGATTGACCAATTTCAGTAATTTTTTCATTTAAAAGTAGCTTATGAAATTGGCTTTCCAGTCATTATTATTTTTTGTACTACATATTTTTTTTTAAATATGAAATATAATTGTTGTTGTTTGGGTTCCACTTTTTTGACTCACCCTGTACAACAAGTACCCTGCATCAACAGCAATGGAAAGCAAGGAAAAACAAAAGACCAGGGACATAAAAGCTTGCTTGTTATTAGCAGGATGCCGTGCCAACAGTGCTCTTACCATCAGGGTTCGACTGTACATGTAAATAAGCAATCTAGAAAGCATGGGAGACAGGGTCTTGATCAAAGAGGTGATCACGTAAAGAATGAAGGAAGTCCTTTCTAGAGGGAAAGAGGGTAAATAAAGAAAATTTCACACAGTTAGTTCGGCAATATTGATGTTTGAAAAGCAGGGTGTCTGTCTTCCTTGTGTTCCCCATTAATCATTTCTTCATCAAAGTTTTCTTATGAGCACTCCCGCTCACGTTAGCAGATTCTGAAGTTTTGAGCTTTGTTTTCATTCATTTAATTCAGTTCAATAATGGTTTATTAAAAACATGTCTCGTATACGCGTAGTTAAAAAGTCAATTGTACCATGTTAACTGTCAATATTGTGAGATGCCCTTAAAGTGGGAAAGACATGTGAACGAAGTAATTAGAAAATGCATCAGAAAGTTGTACATGCTCCGTTGTTTACGTTCATACAACCCGGTTTTTGTTGTGGTTTGAATGTTGATGTACTAAAATCTGCTTCAACCTATTAGGCCCTATGTGTAAAGCGAAACACGATATTGTGCACTGCTCCTGTTGTAATTCACCACGCGCCGTAATATGGCATAACATATTACTGCCAAAACCCATTACAATAATTTGTTTTTTTTTACCTAGCAACGACGGTTGCTGGATCGAGGTTGATCTAGGTGAGGTTACCATGGTATCGGGAGTCATCACCCAAGGTTCAAATGCAAACCCCGACTACCGTGTCACTGCGTATCAGGTCATGTATCTCAAATCCTCAGAATCTACTACGCACGAGCACGTAATGGACAACAACGGAAACATAAAGGTAAGTGGTATACAATTTACATGCCACAAACAAATAATCGATTAGGTCCTTGTTATCAATCTCAATATAGGCAGATTCGAAGACAAAAAATCAACAGACATGATCCGTTATAAACCCAGACCAAAACATTTCCAATCGTCAGCCGTCGACCAACCCGAATAAACTGAATACAATTAATGAAAGATTTTAAAATATTATACTAACACAATTGAGGTTCTGAAACACAATTTTTTTTTTTAGAAAAGCCCATTTAAAAACATCCAAATCTAAAACACGATAAATTCGACGAATTACGATATTAAAGAACAATACAAAAATACAAAATGCATATAATTATATCGTGGAAACATCCAAATAATAAAACAGCCCTACACCCGTGTAACCTTCCTGTGAAAAGAATGAAGTGGACAAAACGTTCTGCAAACATGCTCGAGCATTTCGGACATTCTGCTTAACCGTTTTCCTTATTTATTTTTTCAAATATACCTGAGATCTTAAGTTATTGATATCATTTGGATTTGGATAAGTTAAATCGAGTCATTGGCGATTCCAGGGGTCGACGGGGGTCATGCCCCCCTTCCCCCGACTTTTTTTTAACCAGAAGAGTAACGACACATTTTATCTGAAATTTTCATGAAATCCATTAAAACGTTGCTTTTCTCCCTCGCAAGCTATCAGCTACACATGTCTTTTATTTTTAATATTACAGTGTGGAAATAGCGCGCGGTACTATTACTTAATCCCTTACCCTTTTGAATAAAAGAAATACTCGAGCCCTCTTGCCCACCCCCCCCCCCCCAAAAAAAATTGGGGTCTGGATCCGCCCTTGAATCGACTGACCAAATCCCCCTTGTCGGTTAGCTCTCAAGGGATTATTTTAAAGATCAAGTATTGTCGCTTTTCTTGTAAGATTTAGTCCTGTTATTTTGCTCTCTTTGTCAGATATTCATCGGGAACCTTGACGATGCGAATACTCCAATCACTAGTCGCTTTGATGAGGTTGTCATGGCTACCAAACTGCGCATTGTGCCAATAGAGTGGTTCAGCGTCGGTCCTGGTCTGCGCTTTGAACTACTTGGCTGTCGTATGTAATTAACAACGAAATAATACACAATACACAGTGGTTTAAAACCATGCATAACCCAGACATCATCGATTTTCTTGAATCATCGTCAAAAATATTATTGAAAACGAATTCAAATGCAATCGATTACCATGTAGAATATGCTGCACGATCCTCAGCACGTGCATTTTTGTCAAAACGATGTAGATTTTGCTATTCGTGAGATTTACTCGCCGTTGGTGAGTAGCGCCCTCTGTTGACCAATAGTGTACAGCGCGACAACAATTTTTTTTTTAAGGGCGAAACATCGCGGATCTGGGACAACGTACGTTCATTGCACTGTTTTGTGAAATTAAAAGTAAGACTTACCCATGTTTTTATTCAATCTACACAAATAGGACTTATCAATTTACTGGAGAATGTCCATTTTCGAAGGAATGCAGAGTAATTTGTTATTTTTTCCCTCGAAATTTGGGAAATAAAATTAATGATGTGAGCGACACAGGTAAAGTAATGTACGTTTTATTCAGATGAATTTTAATTCTGGGCTGTTTGGTTTTGAGGAAAAGAGGGCGATCATGGAACATCATCAACATGTTAATTCTAGTATTTTTTTATCCAAAAAAATAATAATAATAATCAGAAGTACTTTTTAACTTACTCTATTAAGTATCGATTAAAGTCTATGTTGGGCTAAGGAAGGTTACATAAAAGATACCCGTTTCACGGTGTATAGGGTGTTCCTTGCTCATGCGATCGCGAAATCTGCCTGATCTGACCGACCGAGAAACTCATCAAGTCACACTTTTTTGTTTGTCACTGGGCCGCGTTTTGTAAATTTGTTTCCATTCATTGTTGATTCGATGTAGAATTTTTCATTGGGGTCCAGGTTATTAATGGGCAACATAATGTGAAGCTAGTAGTAGACCGGTGCCCACGTTTTACTTTGAGATCCCTCTAAAAAAATCCACATTTTGTAGCTTCGGCTAATTTGTTTCTTAAAGAAAAAAACAGTTAAAAAGACCTTAAATTTGAGACGAAAGGCTTGCACAGTTAATAGGCAAACCAGGTTTTGCTGTAAGTGACTGTGAAAGTCAAACAGAATCGTTCTGAATGCTTTCCCCCACTTTATAATGAAATAGAAAGAACCTATTCATAAATAAACTGTGTTACAATTAAGCACAGTTTATTTCTAAATTCTGCTAAATGCGCTTCAAACATCTGTCAGATTTATCAAAAATCTGCCAAATTCCCCAGAATTACTCGAAATACACTATAAACACTTAAAATGACATGCAGATGTTGTAGTATTGCCTTTATATAATGTTCAAATTACATTATAAACAATTCATAGTCACATAAAGATTTTATGAAATCGCGTAAGTTTCAAGCAAAACGCGGTTGCGCCACGACGAAATCTTGTTTGCAGTGAACCTCAGCACATAGACCAGCCAACCTGTCCCATTATGTCCCATTATGCAAGGGTTTGTTTGAAAGGATTGAAGCTTTTTTTTTTAAACAAATGTACAATTTTTGTTCAAATTTGCTGTTTTTCTGTTAATAACCATTCTTGCAGAATTCTGCCAGAAATCTGCCAAAAAATCCATTCTGTCAAATTTTCTGTCAAACTCGTTTTTTTAACAAAAATTCTGTCAAAGTTAGCCGAAAATCGGCTAAAACAGTCACCGTGACGTAATGTATTTTTATTCGCGGTGCATGGCCAACTGACAAAAGGTTTATACAGAATCGTCGAGGAATCGTTAGGTCATGGAACCAGACTAATTTCGTAATTACGTCGTATTAGAGGAAACATGTTGTTTGTATATTTGAAGAGTTGATTTCCAAAAATTATATGATATCCTTTTGAAAAATGTATGAACATTTATAGAACATATTCTTCGCTTTATTGTATTCTTAATTGTGTTTAACTCACGTGGACACTGACTGGGCAATGGGAGAGGGCGAGATTGCTAAAGGTGACAAAATGGCGTTTGTAGCGTTTGGAAACAAATCTTAGAAAGGTATTTAGTTTGTTTTGGATCTTTAAATAAAATCCGTATATATAGGTAGTATCACGTTTGTCTGGCGATTCACAGCAGTTTTACCCGTTTGCACGCCGCGTATTCGTTTAATTAATGCAAACTTGAATTGATAAGTGTAAGAGATGAGCAGCACTACGACCGTAAGACCATCGATCTGGCATTTCAACACATTTGATTTTTGAAAAACGCCGCCTCTCTTGTTTCGAGCACAGTAATAAAGTTACGGTATATTAGGTTGCACCAAACCAATTCAAGCCCCATTGAAAACAGTGTAAAATCAACAAAACAAAAGTTCATGGCCAAATAATATGCGAGCCGACATCACTGCTGGGTATTCTGAAACAAAAGTGAAATCATTGTCTAGTCCTTCATCTTTCCGTTTCTTTCAAATTTGGTTGGTTATAGCAAATAACATTTTTAAATATTCACACGAAAACAAATTAACCCCCCGAAAAGTGATACTTCCCGAGCCCGCATGCGGCCATCTTACAAGTGGCATCCCTCCATTTTTCTCAGGCAAGTAGGACCCATTTAATTTTCGACCGCAAATTTATCAAGTTTGCTCTCAGATGGAAGCCAAACGGTCTCCTTTTTTCAAAACAAGATGTGGGGGCAATTTTCATGTTAATGAGCCCACCTAGACATTCTCACTTCAATTAGTTCTGTGAACCCTTGTCTCGATATTTTGGTTTAATTTTTTTTTTTACACCATTTGAGACCTTCTCCCCTGCACAAAGCCCTGACAAAGTTGACGAGTTTTTTTTTTTTTTAGGTTTGGAAATTATAAAATTCCTGGAAAATGCTAAAGCTTGGAATGACAAAGGAATTGGAGCAGGTCTCGTTTGTTAGTAACTCCAAGGGGCGGATCTGGCTTCACGAAATGGGGGGGGGGGTGATATGAAGAGTGGGGGGGGGGGTAGGTGAAGGCATGCGGAAAGCACAACCTGCTATTGGGAGTTCAGGATCTAGGCATGCCCCGGGAAAATTTTGAAATATACGATGCTTTATCTTGCAATCTAAGGCGATTTGAGAATAATCGCTGGAACCAGAAGCATTCTAGGCCTATCAATTATTTGTGGCCCAATTTTACAAGTATCTATTTACTTATCTTTATTTATTTATTTATTATTTTCACTGGCGAGCCCATTCAGTGGAATCCAGGTCCAGTAAAGAGAAGAAAATGTTGGGCAGTTAAAGTTTTAGTGTCACAACATTAGTTCGTAGTTGAATGGGGGGGGGGGTGCAACCCGCCCCCCCCCCCCCCCCCTCCGTTAGATCTGCCATGCACTAACAATGCAAACGGAGAGGCAAAGAATGTTCTTTTTGATATAAGCATATAATCAACACCGTCAAGGGCAATTCAAAGCACGGTCTGTCCATATACCAGCCCCTAATCAGATTGATATCGAGAGAGGCATGTATCAAATCGATCAGCTTTCCTAAGTTGGTATAATATAAACTACGTTTTCACCCGAAAATGTTAATGTATGCAAAATTAATGAGGGCCATGAGGCGGAAGTGCAAGCGGGTCCATTGAAAATGTACAGGGGTCCAAACATTCGGGTCATTTTCTCTCAATTTGTCGAGGATTTTTCGGGGTTTTTTTCTTCAGAGAAGCCTCTAAAATCGTCATAAGTAATACTATCCAGCATAAACCCTTTTTTATGCACAAAAATAAATCTTTAAAAAAATGTTTTCGTCCTGTGCAGATATTTTTTTTCACTCGTGTTAAGAGTCTGTGTTAAAAGTCTGTTTATTTTACGGAATGAAAAAACTTTTCCGGAAATTTTGCTGCAGGAATACGGAACGCTATTTTTTTTGCTGGCAGCAAAATTTCCGGAAAAGCTTTTTCATTCCGTAAAATAAATAGACCCTTAACATGAGTTTGGACATGTGTACACGGTTGTGGGTGAAATAACAATATGTAATTGGATGTACTTTATTATCTGTAGGTGTTTGGTTAAATTTGGTTGATTGTAATCACGTTAATTAGCATAATTAATATTTGCATTTACGGAAAGTCCGTAAAATTACGGCAAGAAATACGGAATATTTCATTTTACGGAGTCCGTAAATTTACGGACATTTTTAACAGTGTACGTTTAAAACCGCGTAGGGGCCTGGTCGCGGCTAATATACCTCACCTCAAATAGGCTCGGGCCATTATCAGCGTCCAATGCATTATTTTAAGTCCCATACTAATAGAAAGAATGTAACACAATCATAATGTTTATAGTTTAATAGTTACTGTGCAATATTGTAAATTTCAAAACTATATGTGATTCCTTAAATTAAAGATAATTCTTACATAGGCCTATCTTTTAGCATACACATATACTTCTAAACTGAGCATCATCACAACACTATACTATTATGCTCTAGTGTACACTGAAACACAAGGGTATTGCATATCTAAAAATGCTAGTAATTTCTCATTTTGCTATCACCAATTTAAAAAAAGTGCACCAAAAAAAGAAGTGACCACTTTGCCGGAAAAAATATGGGGCATGCATGTTACCTATCTCTTCAGAAAGTGCTTTCTGCAATTATCGCAAGGTTATCCATCCTTAGATGGCCACGATCTTAAGTGTTCAATTTAAGGTTTGGTTAATGAACTACATGTACATGTAATGTAACTTATAAAGGTATGTTTACACTGAAACACAAGGGTATCTAATATGGGCATGCATGTTTAATGGAATGCATTATACCTATCTCTTCAGAAAGTGCTTTCTGCAATTATCGCAAGGTTATCCTTCCTTAGATGGCCTCGATCTTAAGTGTTCAATTTAAGGTTTAGTTAATGAACTACATGTACATGTAATGTAACTTATAAAGGTATGTTCACACTGAAACACAAGGGTATCTGATATGGGCATGCATGTTTCATGGAATGCATTACACCTATCTCTTCAGAAAGTGCTTTCTGCAATTATCGCAAGGTTATCCTTCCTTAGATGGCCACGGTTCAATGGTTCAATTTTAGTTTGGTAATAATGACACAATGTACATGTACTGTAACTTATAAAGGTACGTTTAGACTGAAACACAAGGGTATCTGATATGGGCATGCATGTTTCATGGAATGCATTACACCTATCTTTTCAGAAAGTGCTTTCTGCAATTATCGCAAGGTTATCCATCCTTAGATGGCCATGGTTCAATGGTTCAATTGAAGGTTTAGTTAATGAACTACATGTACATGTACTGTAACTTATAAAGGTATGTTTACACTGAAACACAAAGGTACCTGATATGGACATGCATGTTTAATGGAATACATTATACCTATCTCTTCAGAAAGTGCTTTCTGCAATTAGTATCTTAAGTGAGCAATATTAGGTTTGGTTAATGAACCACCGTGTACTGTAACTTGAAAGGTAGTTGATGACCATCTGATGACCATCTCCTGACCAACTTAAAGTTATACCCAAAAAAGCCAATGAATTTGGAGCGCGGAACGTCGTCAATTGGCCATTATATACCTCACCTCATCTTCGAACTTTCCCCCCAAAAAATGTATGTAAACAGTATTACATTTCATTATACAAGGTTCCAAAACCCTTCGATTGTAAACGTTTAGTCTATTTTCGGTGCAAGTTACAAATAAAAGTGGCTTGAAAGTTGGAACACAATCGAAAATCGAATAACTCTTGCAATGATGTGCATACAAATTTTTAGAGTGCATGGTTTACACAACACCTGCTCCAGTTGAATATAGCTAGCTTCGGATATAATATTACGTTACAATAATGGCTTGAATATCCAGCCGTGCCTTTATCGAGTGTCAAACAATAATAAACTTGACTGAAAGGTAGTCGATGACCATCTTCTGACCAACTTAAAAGTTGTACCAAAACAAAAGGCCAATGAATTTTGACTACAGGAACATTTTCAGTGGCCATTATCTCATCTGATTTTCGAACTTTTCCAAATCTATGTAAAAAGTATCAGATTTCATCATTATCAAAAACCCTTTTAGTCTATTTTCGGTGCAAGTAACAAAAAGTGACTTGAAACACAATCGAATAACTCTTGCAATGTGCATATATACAAATTTAAGTGCATGGTGTACACAACTGATGATAATCTATATTATGTTATCATAAGGGCTGAAATATCCAGCAATGTCTTGATCGAGTGTCAAACAATAATATTTACTAAGCTTGTGCGTTATTTTAACATTTACGCAAACACACACAAATTCTAAATTTCAAAGTACTCACAGTCTTGTTGGTTACTTTTATCAAGTGCTGTAAAGTATTGCGACTTTGATTAAACCATGTTCCTTCCTCCATGATTAAACCAATATTATCCCAGTTTTAGGCCCATTTCATTTCAAAATAGCCGCAGTCTTCATCTAGCTTGAGGTACTTGCCTTGGTCTACCTGGGAGATGGTGACATTGTTGAGTTGACACGTGTTCCCTGACAGGTTGAAGGAGTGGCAGTTGAGGTCCTTGAAGCAGGCGATACAACACTGCATGGGGCTCTTGACCTGGGTGACAGACAAGGTGTGGTCCAGTAGGCAGTAGCTTCCGGTGTGGCCAGCATGATTGAGGCTGATAGCAGAGCACTGAAGGGTCTTGGTCAACCTTGATGGAGTAGGACGCTCACAAATGACGTACCTCTTCAAAACACAGTCTACCGCAATCCACCGACGATTACTAACTGTACTCATCATCACACATGTTTTGTCAGGTGTCGATGGCGGAATGAAGGTGTAGTAACCGTCGGGACAAGTGAGCGCAGGAAAACACGTCACATTATGTGGCAGCGCAGCCGTGCATCCCAGCCATAGACCTCTGTTTGGATTTGGCCAAGTTTCTTTAAACAACTTGAACACAAAGTCGTTCTCGGCCTTCGAGTTGGGAACGGCCAAGTTGCTGTCCATGCTTTGACAATTCTCTTGGGCTTGGATTGGGCCGAGGCGCATGCCTTCAAGTGCCTTATAGCAGGACTGACCATTGAGTATCCAACCCGATGGACATCTGGGTAGAAAGGCGGTCAGTGAATAAACTTCACCTACGCCGAGAACCAAGCCAATCAGTGAGGTCAAATTAACGTTGAGAATCATGACTGATCTGTTAGCACACTCACCGAAGATTGATAGAAATTAGAGTTAATTTTTGGCTTTTGCTTCTCGTCTTTATGACGATGGTTCTACTCAATTTCGAAAATCAACCTGTACCAGAATTCTGGATCATGTATCTCTTAAATTGACTCAGTTCTTCAACGCCACACCACTCGTACATAGAGGAAGGACTGTTAATGCGTTGAAGCGCCGATGTACAATGATCGAGCGCTAGCAAAAATTACTTTCCATGTTTAAAAAATTAAGCAGGCATGTTTCGTAATTTACAATCATAACTTATTAATGAAGTAAGCGCCACGCAAAGTGTGTTCTTTAATGGACCTCAAAGTCAAGAATAACAAACCCTTTTCAAACAGGTTGTCTTGGCAACCCGCGCCACATGATTATTTCATTAAAAACATGATGGGACTTGCGGTTTTGCCAAAGTCAAATGAGCATGACGGCTGACTGATAAGGTTTACGCACAAAACCACGAGCCAATGAGGTTTCGTATACTAAGCTGGCCGAACCACTTTTTGCGAGAGTGTGCCGGTAATGTTGGCAGCGTCGTTTTAACTCATTCGTAAAGAAGTTCATAGTCCATTTGATCCCTAATAATCCATAGAATCCTTTACATTATAACCACGTACAAAGATATTTACTTCAGAAAGTGCTTTCTGCAATTATCCCAAGGTTTATCCATCCTTAAACCACTACGATGATCTTATTTCAGTGTACTTAATGAACTACATGTACTGTGACTTGAAAGGTAGTTGATGGAGCTTGATGGCCATCTGATGACCATCTCCTGACCAATTTAAAGTCCAATACCAAAACAAAAGGCCAATGAATTTTGACCAGGAAGGTTCTCAGTTGGCCATTAAATTTTATACCTCATCCGATTTTCGAACCTTTCCAACTACTTTATGTGAAAATGTTAGATTTCATTTGAAGTTCCAAAACCATTTGGTTGCAAACGTTTATCTATTTTCGGTGCTACAAAAAGTGGCTTGAAATGCAATCAAATAAGTCTGGCAATTTCTAAATTTACTAGTACTCAGTCTTGTAGGTTACTTCTATTAAGTACTGTAAAGTATTTCAACATTGATTAAACCAACATTTTCCCGGTTTTAGGCCCACTTCGTTTCAAAATAACCACAGTTCTCGTCTCGCTTGAGGTACTTGCCTTGGTCTACCTGGGAGATGGTGACATTGTTGAGTTGACACGTGTTCCCTGACAGGTTGAAGGAATGACAGTTGAGGTCCTTGAAGCAGGCGATACAACACTGCATGGGGCTCTTGACCTGGGTGACAGAGAAGGTGTGGTCCAGTAGGCAGTAGCTACCGGTGTGGCCTGCATGATTGAGGCTGATAGCAGAGCACTGGAGGGTCTTAGCTGTGAGCCTTGTAGCAGGACGCTCACAGATGGTGCGCCTCGAGATACCACAGTTGACCAAAGACCATCTACTTCCCTCAACCTTATCCATCATCAGACATCGCCTGTTAGGTCTATCAGATGCAACGAATGTGTAGAACCGCTCAGAACCAGTGAGACTTTCAATGCACGTCAGTGTGTTATTTGGCAGGGCAGCCGTACAACCCAGCCACAAACCTATGCCTGCATTCGGCCAGGTTTCTTTGAACAACCCAAACACGAAGTCGTTCTCGGTCTTTGAGTTGGGAACGGCCGAGTTGCTGTCCATCCGTTTGCATCCTGCCTGGGCGTCAGTCATGATCTTCTTGTCTGGTATGGCCATCCAGCAGGACTGAGCATTGAGTATCCAGCCTGATGGACAACTGGGTCTGAAAAAGGCGCTCACTGAGGCAACACCACCTAGGCATTGTATGATGGCAAACACTGTCTGTAATTTTGAAGCCATGTCTGTTTCACAGTATGCTCAGCAGTGTTCAAGAATTTTCCTTTCTTGACCAAAGGCTTGAAAATAATGGGACCGAAATTGCCTTTCTAAGCCTCCACGCAATATTTTGACTAGACACTGTAAGTAGCTCAACTGAACAGTTGTCAGCATCAGGCACCAGAAATATGATTTATTGAAATGAGGGTGCCGATCAGATATCGCCTGAAAATTATTATAGGGATAGCGATAGTTATTATTATTATTTTTATTATTATTAATCATTTCTGGTAATGAAACCAAGGATTCCTCAAAAGCGCCCAAGGCACTGTAGCTCACAAGCCTGAAGAAACCTGTAGAGAGAAGACAATGAGAAGAAATTACAGTTTTAGAGGTGGGAGGAAAAGCCCAGAAGAATATTCTGGGGAAAACCCACGGAATCAGGCAGGGACTGAAAACCCAATCCACATATTGGCCCAGGCGGGATTCGAACCTGGGTCACAGCGGTGGAAGGCGAGGAAAGTACCGCTACGCCAACCTGACTCCCCATTGTAGTTTAATTAATTACACAATACAAGTCAGGGTCCATCATTATGCATGTTTGAATGCACCACTTCTTGGTATCTATATATAGTCACAGAAAATTAGCAGCAGCGGGGCTAGCAAAATGTGTATTTGTCACAGTGCTGTGATGTGTGAAAATTTCTTGTTACGCTCGTTTTGCGTGCAATGCGTGCAATGAGAATTAGATCACCTGGGTGCGCCTGAATAACCAACTGACCTGTTGTCAATACGTTGGCTTGGTTTTCTTTTGTGTATACATCGCAAATTTAAAGTCAGCTTCAAAATCAGTTGGCCTCTGCTCAGCCCTAAAATGTCAACTCTGTAAAACAAATATATTAGCTAGTCTATAGTGAACATATTAAAGAACTGTCAGTCTTGAAATCGATAATGTATATTGACCTTAAATTTTTGTAGAGATCGGTAGACATGGACAATGATAGACAAGCTTATTGAACCTACCTGCCTAGGAAATTAATATGAAACTTGGAGAATTCTGGGCTTTAGGGTTAAAAGGAATATACAACATTTGCAAACATCGAAAACAAACTACCAAGTTTTTACAAAATACCTTACTAGGATGTTGGTAAATGACAGTCTAAAGCATCCTGTAAAATTATGGCACCTGGTGTGAAGTCATTTTCAAGAAAATGGCATTTTTGTATACATTTCCAACGGTGGTCGGCCGACCACCGTTGGAAAAACCCAACTCTTTTTCAACTACTGTTCCAAATTTACATTTTTTCTTCAGTCAAAATGTTGTTTGCTATTGGATACATGTTCATGAACGGGTGCAGGCCAGCTAGACTGGTTCCCTTACCTTACAATTTTCTGGCATCTATAAATTGATCCATTTTATATTTACTGGAGTCAGGGAATCAGACTACTTGAGCATTTTTGTTTTTCTTGGTTTTTCCAGCATTTTCGAAGACAAAACTTCAAACATGTCAGTGTAACAAATATTTGATCTATTATACTCACCCTTCAAATAGTTCATTTCTGAAAATTACAGCAAAAGCCAATGATGTACATTCCCTTTAACTGTGATATTCGGTCTGATAAAATGTGCGCAAACAAGACAAGTTATGGACACATGCGTATAAACAGCAGTCTGCAAGTCAGAGGCAGTCACACCACTAATAAATGCGAGTGTCAAATCTTTTAAAGGCCACTTTCAGCCAAATGAAAATGTTTGGACACTATAGACCATTATCAAGTAACGGCCATTGGGAGTTTTCCCATTCAAATCAACGTTACCAAAGCGAGGCTGGAAGGAAAAATAGTCTGCTTCCTTTTTGCACAAAAGAAACATTATCATTCAGTACTGTTATTGGATACAGGGAACATGACTGAAATGGTGGCAGCATGATAAAGGTCTGCGTTGCATGTATCACAGCGGGTATTCTTTGTGATTTTTTAGTAACAATAACTTTTTTTATAAGTGCACAAAAGGTTTACTCATGGTGATCCAAGTGATAGAATACAATTGTCCTGTTGCCTTAATGTACAAGGTCTATGGACAAATGCCACAGGTAGTCTGGTTCCCAGACCAAACGATTCTGACTATTCCTGATGAATCTTGGGTCAGGTAGCCTCCGTGGCTAAAAATAAACATGACCACATTGATGGCCCTTTTTCAAAGCTCGGCTTCGTTTCCGATTTCGCTTGATCACTTTTAGCTTTTAATGTTCGATCTGATCAAATTTTTAAATAAATCACTTGCTTCGTAATATCATACAGTTATGATAATACAGTTTGATGTTTTTGTAAGATAACATTGACTAATGTTGATCTGGAATCTTCAAAATTAGGGAACCAAAAAGCACTGTTAGCAGGCGGAGATGAATGAAGACCGAGTTTTGAAAAATCTCAGTAACGGTCGTCAAATTCAAAACTGTACATTACGCAGCAAAAAGTTCGCCAATACGATTCGAGTATATTTGATGCACAAAATCGTCGTTGAATTCAAGTTTTCTAAATGAAAGCAATGAATATTAATTATCAACTCATTTAAAAAAAAAAAATTAGCAATTAGCAGTTAATTAAACCTATATTATATTCGGAAATATCGGGCGCTATCCGATTGTCAACGAAACAAATTCGGCAAACTTCGGAAATTTTCGGAAAAAGGAGGAATTCCTCCCGTTTTAGTCACGTGACATGAATTGTAATACAATGTATTACCGGAGGCTACCGGACCTAAGATTCATCAGGAATAGTCAGAATCTTTTGGTCTGGGAACCAGACTAATGCCACAGGGTATTAAGACATTCTTTTATTCAACATGGATTTTTTTTTTGTTACATTCAATTCCTAAGTACATATATATAATTTCACATTTCATTGGTTTAGAGGGAATGTACATCATTGGCTTTTGCTGTAATTTTCCGGAAATGAACTATTCAAGGGGTTAGTATAATAGATCAAATATTGTTACACTGACATTTGTGAAGTTTTGTTTTCGAAAATGCTGGAAAAACCAAGAAAAACAAAAATGTTCAAGTAGTCTGGTTCCCTGACTCCACAAAAGATAAAATGGATCAATTTATAGATGATGGAAAATTGTAAGGCAAGGGAACCAGTCTAGCTGGCCTGCACCCGTTCATGAACATGTAACCAATAGCAAACAAAATTTGGACTAAAAAATAGTAAATTTGGAGCAGTAGTTGAAAAATAGTTAGGTTTTTCCAACGCTGGTCAGCCGACCACCGTTGGAAATGTATACAAAAATACCATTTTCTCAAAAATGACTTCACACCAGGTGCCATAATTTTGCGAGATGCTTGAAACTGTCATTTACCAACATCCTAGTAAGGTATTTTGTAAAAACTTGGTAGTTTTATTTTTTGATGTTTGCAAATGTTGTATATTCCCTTTAATAATAACATACCAAGATGCGTGCAAAATAAATTGAAAAAAAGTGCTCCATGATGAACACTGCTTTAATTGATACAATCAAGTACATATACCAGTACATTCATTCAAGTACTTGGTGTGCAGCAGTGGCTGACTTGCATTTAGTACTTTTAAGCAATTTTGGTGAAACATTTCAAGAATAGTCCAGGTGCTTTCATACATGGAATTTTAGCTATCAACAAAAAACAGTTTTAATTAAAGTAATTCTTTTCAGAGCACACTTGTCAATGTCCATTATTTCATCTTTGGTTGAATACAGTGATTGGAACTCTAAATGCTTTTTAAAAAAGTTGAGTTTATATGCGTGAAAAGATATATGCTTTATGAAGAATAAAAGTCTTGAATTCATTTGATCTATAAGCACACTTTCGTTTAAAAAAAATTAGATAATTTTATTTGAGTTGTATTACGAACTAAAAACTAAAAATTACACCGTGCATAGATGCAGCAATTATTTATAATGTGCAAATGAGGGTATATATTTTCATTCATTTATTTTCTACATATATTTGAATTTCACAAGAAAAAAATTAACTGCTTTTGCGTACCTCACCAAGTGTGACTTTCCAAACATGGCCTGAATCAAATGTTATATAATTCTTAAACAAATGTTAAATTTCTGTAACTTAAAATAAAACAATTGGCAAGTTTTTGATTGGATTTTACCTCCCGCGAACTAATATTTACATAGTAAACATGATAATATAGTACTAAAACATTTGAAGTGATAAAAAATATCTATCGAGTTGCAAAAAAAAACGGTATTTGGAGCATTGCGCACATTTTTCACAATGTGAGTTGTACATGTATTTACTCATATCTACAGAGTTTGTCTCCATTCTGAGAAGATTTAATTCTCCAAACTGATTTATGTTTCATAAAACAGTTCACTGAATTGGGAAATTTGTGAAATGAGAATTTGACCAAAATATAAAAATAGGCTTGTATATGGGGACCACCAATTTTGCATTACTTTCCTTAAAACCAATCAGATGTCAATCACAAGTCAAATCACGAGTCAATCATATGCCAATCACATGTCAATCACATTTCAATCATATGCCAATCACATGTCAGTTCCTTAAGCAGAGTTGTAATAAAGTCACTCAAAGTCATCATAAGTCATCACAAGTCAATCACAAGTCAATCGCAAGTCATCACAAGTCAATCACAAGTCAGTCATACAGTCTCAAGTCAATCACAAGCTATTAAAAGCAGCTGTGCCAAAGATATTCCTTTGTCATTGTTTATCACCTGTTATGATTACTTGTGAGCTGAGTTGTGACTTGATCTGTGACTTGACTTATGATTTAACCTGTGATTGACGTGTGACTGGTATTTGATTGACATGTGTTTGACTTGTGATTGACAAGTGATTGACTTGTGATTGACTTGTGATTGACTTGTGATTGACATGTGATTGCCCCTTTAATTGACATGTGATTGACAAGTGATTGACTTGTGATGACTTGTGATTGACATGTGATTTACTTGTGATGACTTGTGATGACTTGTGATGACTTTTGACTCAGCGACTCGATTACAACTCTGCTTAAGTCCATGTTACATTATATATTGTGTACCACCACTGAATCTGATCACAAGCGGTTCCGATGTTTAGCAAAGGCTAGCGTCTGTGTCGATCCCATCTACCTCGGCAGCCATGCCGTCTGCCAAGCCTCTTGTCAGCATGACCGAATACTCAAACAAAGTCTGTGACAAGCAGAAAATTGGTTGAGAACAAAAATACGGATGGGTCAGAAGTCAAAGAAACTTTGAATCCAGAAACAAAAACTCACATTTCATGGAACTGTCTTGTTCAGAGTTTTCTGTGAGAGTAACCATTTCCCCAAATACCAGTTAACCAGGTAAGTACTTCTAGACATTTACCCATCTGATGTTTTACTGAAAATTTTTTAATAAGCCAAACACAACACGTTTTGGGTAAATATACACTAACTTCTTTTGAGGGCTAAAAATCCTCCAATATGGCTGACATTTCTACTTCAACCACTACATAACACGAAAGCTGTGAGGACTGTGATACAATGTATATACACCAAGTTGTATCTATAAGACTCTGGGAAAAGTCACCAAAGACAGAAGGTATCAGTTCTCATTTCATCTGAACTGTCAAACATCACAGCTAGAATAGACACTAGATTGAGATCAGGAGGCTCAAAGAGAGCATTATGAGAGGGGGGGGGGGGGGAATTCATGCAATCAATGGAAAAGGGGACAAATTAACAAGGTAAATTGTACAAAATCTTAAGAAGGGTGCGTAACAACTACCTTGTTGAAAATTTCAGCTCAGTGGATACTATACATTTTGAGAAAACTGAAAAAAATTGTGTGCACAAAGTTTTGGGTCTCGTATTAGCGCACGTTAAAAAAACTGTGCGTACGGGCACACTTTCTTTAACCATCTTTAACCCTTACGATCCCCAACCAGCCAAACTCCAACACCAGGGTTTGTTGGAATCCATTAGGATGAGTATAGTAAACTGACTGTGTTGTAGGTGGGATTAGGCATACCAAAAATAAACAGAGTCCAACTGTTTATGTGCACAGTTGACCATATGGTGTTGGGATTTGCAAGGATGAGGAAGGTTCCTAGTCAATCACCCTAGGGAGTTGGGCTTAATGATTGTGTTCTTCTGAATGATACATTATCAGGCGGATTACTTTCACAGGGTAGTTGGTACCAGTCCTATCTTCACTCTGAGCAAGGATTTTCTCGTAAAATCTGTAGGTACGTTTTTCGGCTAATTTGCAAGTACATGTATTCCAAAGTGCCTTTAAGGACAATGCCTTGGTACAAAAATCATTCAAAGGTCCTTCTTACCTTGTAAATGAAGACGTAGTGCTCCTTCTGTAGTACTGCTGCTCCGCGATCGTGTCTGATGCTGCACACAATGGACGGGACGTCAACGGTGCACAGATCCTCCATGCTCCGCATACCACTGTCTATGGCTAGCAGGGTACCAGTTCGGCCACACCCATCGCTGACAAAGACCCCGAAAACAAAAATCTGATTTACCCTAACTCTGTGAGTTCTTTTTTATGAGGAACCCAATCCCACCAAAAACACAGCGTATGACCTCGAGAAACTGACCAATCAGCAGGCACATTCTATATGCACGTAATTCAAGCTCCCCAAGTGTGTAATTCGAGTTCCCCGCATGCCTCACATTTTTCTATAGGTTGCTGTATTACAAAATACGCAGCATCGAAATTTACCAAACACAATCTAAGTCCTGATTTCGGAATGAAATGACGTCACCCATGCTTAGATAGGTCAGACGTTATACAGGAGACTTGGCTCTGTGGATAACGGGTGATACTCAGACTAACATTCTACTTGATAAATATAGTCGTGTTCCCTAACGTGGCGCACTTCGAAGCTTACCCGACTTTCCTCGTGTGGTGTTGCCAAACCTCTTTGTTGACAAACCTCAAATTCATGCAGTAAAATACTAGTACTTTTACCTTATTAATGCTTGCTATTTAACCTCTGTAAACAATTTCAGTTTCATGAAATTTAATCCGAAATTAAAAACGGTGGCGTCCGGAAATTGGGCACAAGTTGGCGGAGTGTTCCCTAACGTGGCGCACTTGAATAAATCTCGGAAAATTCCAAATTAACATTTAAGAATTTCTGTAAACTTAATTATCTCCTCTACTTATATACCCAGCCAGATGTTTGTCAAAAAAATATTTTCTTATTTTTCGGGGCATTTTCAAAAGGTTCACTTTGCACTTGAAAATAAAATCGGAAAATCACCCCAAAATAAATTTTTCTTCTAACTTTGTTACGGGTAAATAAACTCGCGATTTATGAACAGGAGTGTTTAGAACTTGATGAAATTTCACTTTCTGTGAAATTTCAGTTAAAACTTTTGCTCTAGGTAGGCGCTACAGGCGAAAAATCAAAGTGCGCCACGTTGGGGGCCGCGCCACGTTAGGGTACATCAACAATACTGGAATATGGAAAAAGGAGGAGGATTAATCAGAAGTTATGATACCTGAATAGAAATTTAGCTACAACGGCATATGAAAGTTAGTGTGTGAGTTAAGTCCTTCACAAGTCCCCACCTAGTCCATCACAAGTCAGTCACAAGTCCATCACAAGTCATTCACAAGTCCATCACAAGTGAGTCATAAGTCAATCACAAGTCAATCGTAAGTCTCATGAAGAGTCACAAGCTGTTCAGATGAACTGCGAAAAAAGGCATCCTTTGTTATTGCTCATACCCTGTTATTGACTTGTGTCTAACTTGTGGCCGGACATTTTATGGGCTCGACTAAAAATTGATGAAAGTCTGCCCCAAGATTTTGATATTGAAATGTACCCCTAGCCTTACCTGCAGTGGGCCACTATGGGACCGTAGCTATCCTGCACTGTCTGTCTGACTTGCAACAGGAATGACAGCAGGAGGGTCGGGGAGGAAGGAACCTGGTTGCAGACTACCGGCCACTGGGTGAACCAGAAATGGTTGATGGGACGACATAGGTTTTTCTGAGCATGAGATTACAAAAACGAAATTGCTTTAAAAATCTGAAGGATATAAATATACACATATGGAAGCTAGAATAACAAAAGTGGTTCAAATGCAGAAACAAAAGGTTATCAATGAATATACTTTAGAGGCAAGTGCATTACGAAACTGTGATTTTTAAAATTTGTTTGCCTGCTTCTAATCCCTTTTTTAGCATTTGTCTATGCCCTTCACCTATAAATTTAACAAGCACTGTTTCCTATGTACTAATACAGTGCTTATGAGAAAGTTCACTTGGGTGGGACTTGAACCCAGGATCTACTGCTTGGTAGTGCAGGGGTCTTACCATTTACATGTAACTTGGACCCTTCCCATACCTAATTAATTCCAACTATGTGACAAAATAAAATAGAAGTCTTTTCAACTCTATCTGAACAAATTCAGCACCATGCCTCACGTGAAGTTGCCATGCTATGTTATTAGCATGTTACCTTCACGCCCGATTTCATTTGAGTTGGTCAGCAGAAAACCTCGCTTAGCAAATTTGAGAGTTAAGCAGAAATTTGCTGAAAACCAGTCACAAGCAATATCAATCACATGACATTTTTGGCTGGCAACTTGTGTCTGCTAAGCAAACATTTTCACTGCTTAGCAATTTCTGTGCTTAGCAGCGCCACAAAAATGGACTGTTCCAGATTTGGCCATCAGCCCCGCCCATGTTTGGTTTGTGTACATTTCTCACCGTGCTTGTGTTTGAGTTTGGTCATCTAATTGGTCAATGTGCACTGTCAAGACCCGCCCACATATGGTTTGTGTACATTTCTCACCGTGCTTGTGTTTGAGTTTGGTCATCTCATTGGTCAATGTGCACTGTCAAGCCCCGCCAAGCCCCACCCACCTTTGGTTTGGGTACATTTCTCACAGTGCTTGTGACTGAGTTTGACCAAGCTACTGTGGTAACCTGACCCAAAGTCGTGATCTGATTGGTCAATGCCGTTTGATTGACAGGGAGGGAGGGTCTACTGGCCCCCAGTGACTTGGGTAGATTGGGGAGTGTTGAGATCTCAGGGAAATGTTGGACTTACCTGTATGTTCTTGATGAGGAGCGTAGACATGGAGTAGTTCTCAGTCAGCACGCAGCCCTGTCTCATGACCAGGATGTCTCCATACAGCTGGGCATTTTGGATGCCTTCGTCACGTGGCCAATACCACGGACACACCTGGTTTGTTAAAAAGACAATTGTGAACGACACAGTAAATTGGCCAGAACTTGCACTAGTGTGCTTCACCCCTAAAAGAGACGAGCTTTTTTAGGCTTTCAAACAGATAGGGCTGGTCTGGGGGGGGGGGTGTTTTATCCCATTATTATCTTAGAAATGAAATGACAATTTTTTTATGAAATCTGGTGTAAAAGTAGAGATATTAAGTTAGAGACATTCATATACAAGTTTAAGCTTAATCAGATAATTCGTTTTTAATTACAATTAAACATATTTCATACATTCTTTCTTGAAGGAGGGCATATTCCTTTACATGGTCAATGTGAGAAAAACTTTTGCGGTAGCATGTGTCAAAAACTTTAGAAGCTTAAAGAATTTAGATACAATTGGGGGGGGTAAAAAATGTTTAAAACATGTCAGATCTTAATGGCTTAGGTCTATCTGGGAGTTCAGAATAAGTTCTTAATCAACTGCTCTACGTCATGATGCATATTAACCTTAATTTTGTTTTAGCGCAAGCGTTAAGTATCTGCAATGGTTGGTTCAATTCAAGATCTATCTGAAATGACTAAGGGCCAATAACACTTACCACACCCATTTCCTCAGGAGAGCAGAGGCAGACGATTGTCCGTGATTGCTGTTCCCATATCATCTCCCAGAAATCATTCAAGTTGGTGCCCCAGGGGTTTGTGGTGGCAATGTAGCTGTACGTGGTATTGCCGTAACCCTGCAAGATCAAGAAAAAACAGAGAAAATATTTATTTAGACAGTTCAGTGTTTGCAATGTGTTCATTTTAAGTACTGCTGGAAAAAAATAGAATAAATAGTTTGGATTAAAGAAAAAAGAAAAAGAGGGGCATTAACCCCAACCCTCCTCAATCCTCCTCAATCCTCCTGCCGGTTTTGAATGATTTTAGAGGATTGAGGATGAGTGGCAAAGATGTATCACTTTTTTGTGGAGGATGCATTACGTCAAGCCAGTAGGCCATATCCTGCATTGGTTATGTTCAGCCATGCATAAATCAGCCCTGTGTTTTTCTCTTATTTCATCCGCACTGCTTCTAAACGCCATTCGCACTGCCTCAAACCATAGCAGTAATTGGCAGAGGATTTTGGAGGATTGAGGCTGAATCCAATTTTTTCTTGGTGTCAATTGGAGGATTTTGCAGGATTGAGGTTGCATCCTAGCCAGAGGGCCTAGGGGGTTAAGGTTAATAGTGACAGGCTGCTGTAATTGTAACCTTGCTTTCCCACATTTTGAAATGAGTTCATTTAGAAAATGTCTGTGATCAGAAAATATCAATTAGTACTGGTGTAGACATAAAAAACAACAATATTCAGAGTGTTCAGTTATTTATTTATTTTGTCGCAAATTGAAAGTTGACCTTTCGCAGTATCAAATTTCATGTTTATTGTTCAAGTTGAGCTTTGGGTCCATTCCGCCAACATTACTTCCGACTTTTTGTGTGTGTATTTTACTTATTCTAAAGAATGAAATAATTCATGTTTGAGTGGATTGCAGCATTTTTAGCTGAGCCGTATCCTTACATTGCAGAAATTGAAATTTTAGACACCACTTGTTTTCTCTCAGGACGAATGAGATGGGATGGCAAAATGACCACTGATGTCAAAGACTACAGGCATGCAACTGGGAATTTGGAAAAAAACGAGGAAACTCCAAACCACACAAGACTCTGTACAGTATTTTTCAATTTGTAATGGCATTCATGAGAAGTAAAAAACGAGGAAGTCAGCGGATTCAAGGAAAAGTTGCATGCCTTTACAGCAGAATTTCAAACCATTTAAAGGGACACTAGGTCCTGGGACAGCCCAATGGGGCTACAAAACGCGCTTTGAACGAGATGATGTTAATCAGAAATAACATTTAAAACTAGGATATAAACATCCACACAACTATCCTTTCCAAACTGGGCATTTTTGTGTTATTCCTGTATTATACGTGCGAGAACGAATTTCGGGTCCACCTTGCGACCCCATAAATTTGAGCTGTTTGGATGCTAGTTGTGATTTCATTCGTAAAGTGTTCGCCTTTTGCGGACGTTGAAGAAACCACTTTTTTTGCATTGGTAATTGGTCACCGCTGTTCCCGAGACACACAACGTGTATATCGTACACAGAGAACGACACGAAAAACATATTCGTACTCCGTCATGTTCGATGTAAACACGCGGTGTTTTTTTCGTCTTTTCTCGGGAACGGTAAGACATTAGGTTGGTTTCCTTTCAACCAGATGTTTGAAATATGCTAAGTAAACAATCCAAAACATAAAATTTTCGGGGATTTCAGGACCTAGTGCCCGTTTAGGTTGACAGCAAGACATGATCCACTATTAAGAGGCCAATTTCATAAAAGAGTCATTCTATAAATTTGAGGTTCAAAACGTGGCATTTTTTCCTGTCCCTGTTACCTTGTTACTTTGTAATTTGCCAATGAAGTATCATTCATAAATACCTAAGACAGTTTACCCATTCCCATTGGTCGAGAGCCCATCACGTGGCCGGTCTTAAACGGATGATAAAGACATGGCTTCGCCTCGGCTAATTATCAGCATTCCAGACTCCAACCAGTCTGAAACAAAGTGTTTAACACCTGCCAAGCACACATTTATTCCCTTATTAAGAATGACTTCAATTGATTTGTTATTTGTTTGGAAGGTAGTTTGCTACTCATAATCACTCTTGGAGGATGACTGCATTAATGAGAACATCAGAATTACAAAAACATATGTGTCAGATGTATCCAGGACAGGGAAAAAAAGTTGACGCCAAATGTATAGAATGACCAATACCCGTTTAGACCTTTGCTAAGCATACGATGCTTTTGCCTTAAAAAACCCTAGTTAACAGCCTGAAGTACCTTGACAAAGCTAGCATTCAGGAACCCATGCTGGTTGTCTGAGCTGCTTTTCTCTAGCGGGACTCTGGTCCTGGGTGGAGGGTGGAACAATCCTGGGCTCAGCGTTGAGGTCTTGATGGGGCTCAGCGATGAGGTCTTGCTTGGGCTGTGGGGCTTGGAAAGGTCCTTCTGAAAGTCTAGTAACGTCTGCAAGAGACAGATGAGGTATGAACAAGTCAGAATTTAGTACAGTTTGTTTATTATTCATAAGATGGAATTTTGCATTGGGGTGACGTAAATCAAATCAGGTTTTGCCCTTCACCGACGGATAAACACTGTATAATCAGTGTGTTACCTCCCGAGTGAAAGTTGGAAAAAATCACTCGGGTGGGACTTGATCCCACGACCTCCTGTTTTTAGTACAGATGTCTTACCACTCGACCACCGAGCTAACGGGATCAGATGTACATAGCAGCGGGTACCGCATTAACTATTCATAAGATGGAATTTTGCGTCGGGGGGATGTAAATCAAGTCTGTTTATTCTTACTCCAAGATAACATCCCAAAACATTCTTGTGTAAAAACCGGAATGCAGTGCTGTATTCAGGGTAAGTTGTAAAGGATTGCAAGTAAAACCATTATTCCATTCACAACTCCCATCACAAGTCAATTCACAAGTCTGGGCACAACTGGGGATGAAAAAAATAACGGAGTGCCTTTTGTCACAATTAGTTGGAACAGCGCGTGAGTTGACTTTGTAGTGGTAGCTTGTGATTGACTTGTGGGCCATCACAAATACCTTGACTAAAGACTGCTGGTGTGTATGACTTTGTCCAATATCAAAAACAATTTCACGAAGATTATTTACTGCTGTTCACCTGATAATATTAAAAACAAACAAATGAAGTAGATGATGCTAAGTCACTTGTCAAGTCTTTTCTAAATCTTTGAAAGATTGGGAGCCGCCAAAATACATGTATGGTGTCGCGGAGGTCCCAGGTTCAAATCTAGCACCGGGCAATTGTTTTTTTCAAAGTTGTAATTATTTTCCAAATTCTTACAGATTACAATTTCTCATAACATTACCCCCAAAAAACACCTGCAAAACTGTCTCAAAATAAGCCTGGAAACAAATTTTTGTAACAAAATCTTCATCTGTCCATCACTAGTTATCATTATTTAACTGACCTACAGATCCCTGTTATTTGATTGGTGGAATGCACATCACGTGACATTCGTTATTGCTCCTATTCTGCCAGGGCTCAAAAAGTCCCATTCCCCCATGGGGAATGGGAAATAGTATTCAACAGTTAGGATCATTCTTGTTCCTTTGACGCGGTATTTGTGTGCAAATGCATGCTGGTGTGCGCGTTCAGCGTTGCGCGTAGCGTGTATTGTTCTAAAAAGCCAGCGTTACAGAGTTGGGTTCAAACAGTTTTGTGAAGGGGTGGTTTGGAAGAGAGAAATACATTTTCCACCGATTTTTTATTGAAATAAAACTTCAAATATATCAAATGACAAGGATCTATATGTCAGTTATATAAAACAAATATTGAGTGGCTTTAAATTGTGAAATGGGAGGAATACTATCGCTCGGTAAATTATGGACTTTTCCAATTTTACCTTGCAAAATATTCCTCCCATTTCACTCTGAGCCACTCAATATTTGTACACTATTATATGCATTAATCGTTCACCTACCATTACTTATGAACTGACTTGTGATTTGACTTATGACTGTCTCAATTACAACTCTGCCTCCTTATGCTAAGTACTGACAGACTTGAGTCACTTACCTCAAACTCCTCCGTGATGGCCTCCAGGTAGCTGTAGAACTGTGACAGGCCGTGCATGCTCAACACGTGGGACGGATATTTCTGTTACAGGAGGAGAAATTTCTTATTGATCAAAACTGAAAACTGTTTGGTTGTGTTGATAGTAATATATCTGAAATCCCATTTCAATGTAAAACATGCATTTTCGGAAGGATTTATTAGCAGACGCTTCGTGACTTGTCCCTACTTAGGAACTTCCGATCAAATGATTCCCTTTAAAAATTCAAAAGTTATGTGTGCCTCATGCAAGTGCCATTTGTGACTTTTCCTGCTGCTTTAAGAAAAAAAATATTCAAACGTTTGGTATTGTACATACACTGTGCCAGAACATGACGTCAGCATTTTAAAATATGAGGTCAAGTCCTGTCGAGTTTTAATGTAAGAACTGATCGCACTTTCTGTTGTTTTAATTTGGGGTTTTTTTCAAACAAACAATTTTGGAAAACATTTTGATCAGAAACTGTAATTGCCAAAATGCAAAGATGAGAAACCAGGGTGATTTTTTTTTTAATCATGTATTACCACAGCAACTACGTCCTCTTCATCATCCATGATCAACCCCTTGTTGATGGCCGGTACTAGCCGATGGGTGATGGTGATAGTGGCAGGCATAGTGAAGGCTGCGGTGTGGTGCACCGGGCTCAGCTGATGGGACTCGCTGAAGGTGTCGTGCAGCTCCTTGCCGTCGAAGTAGTAGCGGTTGTTCAGCGCACGCCGCTTGGCCAGACGCGATTTGTTGATCTGAAAAATAAAAGTTTAGCAAAGCAACAGGTGTTTATTCATTGTCTATACTGGAGTCTGCTTAAAACATTAGCACCTGCACTACATTGTATTACATTGTATCTACAATGTATTACATTGTATCTACAATGTATTACATTGTATCTACAATGTATTACATTGTATCTACAATGTATTACATTGTATCTACAATGTATTCCTTGATGAATCCATCAAACCCTAGAGTGCTCAGGTAGTGTCTGGGCAGTACAGGGAGTAACAGGAAGGGTGGTTTGGGGTGGTACTTATGGGTTAACCAATGGCATTTTAAGCTGAACAGCGGGGCCCAAAGTCTTGGCTCCGCTAACCTCAGAATTCCGCGCATACGACCACGAATTTTGTGCTAACCGCGCTAGCAGAACATTCTGCGCCAACCCGCAAGCACAGAATCCTTAGTTACGGGATATACGCATCCGTAGAAGCATAACTTCCTGGCTAACGCGTGAAATACGCTTAGCGTAGACATGGAATTTTCTGCTATAGTAAGCAGGGATTTGTCTGTAACGGTAAGCAGAGCCAAGAAATTGGGCCTCGTTCTGGAGCACCACCACTGAAAACAGGTTATGGCTTACCACCAAACAAAATCCTAGTACAAGATTACAGCATTACATGAAAGTTCCCCTTTTGTTTTGTCTCAAGCAATCGTTAAGAACTACCGTTATCTCCCGACCTGAATGAGAATCATCGTGAGATTGCTGATTTCAACCGTCCCTATTGAGTAATCCTGGACCTGCTCTAGAGTACTGAAGTGAAAACATCACGCGCACAATTATGCGTGTAAAAGACATTAGCCCATGATTCAGCCCGTAAACCAACACGCGTGCATACTCCATTTGTTTACTCCAGTTCAAAATGATGTCACACTTCGGTACTCTATTGCAAGGTCTAATTTCAAACAGTTAGGCACAAAATATTGCTTAGAACACAAAATATTGCTTAGAAAATGTTTATGCTAAGCATATTTAAGGTGAGTACCAGTAACATGCTATCTACATCCCATGCAATTTTGGCTGGTAACCGGTTCCTGCTAAGCAACTATTTTGTATGCTAAGCAAATTTGTGTGCTAAGCAAGAATCGGCTGAGAACCAGTCACATGCAATATACATCCCATGTAATTTTGGCTGGTAACCGTTTTTTCTTCAGCAAATATTTTCTGTGCTTAGCAAAGCCCTGTGCTTAGCTGCTCATCGAATTGTCCGCTGGTCTGACCTTGAATGCACCAATAGAAATCACTGACGCCATGATCAGGAAGCCAAAGCTAAGTCCGACGGCGACTCCAGTTGCCGACTTGGTTGGACGAGGTCCCGGGGTCCCTTGCAAGGGTTTGTAGACACGTACGGACAGGACCTGAAACAAGTCAAGTTATCATCAAAATCAGTTGTGTTGTTGTGATTTTCATGAAAATGAAGGAGGTCAGTTTGAGAAATACGCTCCTAACTATTTTGGCAACACTTTGAACGATTATTACGCCACCTACTTTGGCATCCGTTAACCAAAACCAAATCCTTCTAAAAACAACTAGGAGTTTCTGAAGGATTTTGCAGGATTGAGGAAGGAAGAGCACAGAAACTCTAACTTTATATTGGACTTGCCCACTGTATATTCAATTACACAGTGTACCATTGAGCTCTAGCAATGTGGTGAATTCTGAAGAACTTGGAAGGTCCCCTAGCTGAAATGAAAGGGAGTTAGAGCTTCCTTTGTTTAATTTCAAGGGGGGAGGGAGGGGGATGGAGAGGGAGGGGGATGGAGGGGGAGGGGAGGGACCAGATGATATTTCTACCATTTCACAATACTGAACTTCTTAAAAAAGGAAATCAACCATAAAGCAGACATAATCAGGTTATTTGGAGTTATGTTTCTTCAAAGTCAAAAAGGTTTTGATAATTGTGCTTGAGGAGTGACTTGTAACTGGCTCTACTGAATGTTCCAATACACATTTTAATAAATCAACATACCGTTGGTATTAGGTACCTCTGAAGTTCTTCCTGATTGGATTGCATTGCTACACCCACACTCTCTGTTAGATTAGTGTCACAACTTCCCTCCTTCGTTTGAATACAGATGTCCACCTGCACGCGTATCTCATTAAACGGCGTGTCTTGCAAATTTGTTTCAGCCTCAAAGCAGCTTTTAGTGTCATTGAGAAGTGCAATGTAGGGAGAGTGAGAGAGGGACAGGGCCATTTTAGAATACTCTGCAATGGATGAGAGGAATTGCTTGATGCCAGGACAGAAGTCCTTCCATGTTTCTTGCAGGACAAGCTGGATGGCAACAGAGGGGTATGGGATTGGGGTCTTGGGAAAGCTGGTTGGTGTGCTTCCTGTTACACGAGCTGTTGGGCGGTTCGTTGGTCTGCTTCCGGCCTTAGTTGTTGGAGGGGGTGGATTTGTCGGGTGCGGCCTGGTCGGTTTGTGGGGCTTGGTGGGTGGGGGAGGTTCGGTTTCCGGCGGGGGTCCCTGGGTGTGAGGGGGAGGGGGTTCCTCAGTTGGCTGGTGTTCTGTGGGAATGATAGGGGGGTGTCGGGTAGAGGGCCGGTGAGGTTCAGTGATAGGGGGTGGTGGATTATGGGTGGTTAGATGGGGTTGACTAGTCGTTACTGCCTCCGTGGTGTGAGCTCTGGTCGTGGTGCGCAGACTCCGGGTCGTCGCAACTCCAGGAATTGTTGGAGTTGTGGGTGGAGCTACAGTTACAGTTGTGATACTTGGACTTGTGCCAGTAGTTGCAGGGCCAGTTGTCATGCCGGGCGTAGTAGCAACAGGCACCGGTGTAGTGGGTACCAGTGATACAGTGGTTACAGATGGCAGGGTCGTTAGTTCCGGCACCTGAGTGCTGCCTGCATGTGTGACGACCGAAGTTGTTACCTTCGGTTCAACAACACCACCCCCTGTAGTGAACCCACTCCCTGCAGTCACCACCGGTTCCCCTCTGGCAGTCGTCAGACGAGGGGGGCGGGCCGTGGTCTTGTCAGGGGGAGGGGGTTCATCGGTAACCCCTGGCTGGTTGTTGGGAGTGTTAAGACCTGGGCCTTCAGTAACCTTGTGGGGATCTTTGGTGGTTGGAATTTCTGGCTGTGAGTCATCAGCTGGAGCTGACAACCCTGTGAGAAAGATAAAACAAAACTTTTTTAAAGAATTATCAAATATTACACATTTCAGATTCAATACTTCAGTAGAGCTAGTCAGACAAACTTATCCCTTGGCCCTTGATACAAGAGTACCCAGATTTGTAATTCAAGTTCATTTTAAATTAATCATAAAGTCAAATCATATTAGACAATTACATGTCCATCACATTTGATGGAGTTGGCCAGGTTAAGTTATCAACTTTTGTTATCATGTTAAGCATGCTTTTACTGTGCTGACTGTCTCCATAGACGGAGGACATGTTAGCAAAAATTGGCTGTTAAGTAGCGCTTCGAATTGGGACACGGGTAAAACTTTGAGAATGAATTTTTTTTAAATGTAAATTTGATATACTATCATATTCTCCCCCCCACCCACCCTTTTTTCAACCATTTTTATTTCATCTGTTTCATCTACATTCCAAATTGGCTTATTTTATCATTAAATTTCACATTTCAATTAACTTTAACGGGAAATTAACTGCTTCTGTTTCCAGTTAACATCAAACTTTTATCACAAATGGTTCTTTGACGTCATTTGATAGATACGGTAATCTACACATGAAGCTTGGCTCACAACAGTAATTCCCCACGACTCACTAATTGCTTCAAAATTAAACACTCCATCCCAACCAGCGCAAAATGCGCATCAGATACTGACACTTATGCCCAAAAAGTAGGGCACTCAAAACTACACAACAAAGAACCGTTTGCCCGAGGATGTAATGCATTGTCAACATGGTTTGCGAACACGCACATCCTATTAAAAAGTTCAAGAGTCAAGTGTGGCTTATGCAAACTTCACTTGTGACTTCTACCACTACTTCAAAGATAAAAACCAAACATTTGGTATTGCACATACAGGTATAATATGTAATAGGTAGGCTAAGGCCAAAAAAAAAAAGTCTCCGGTTTCTGGTATGGAGCTTGCCCAAAAAGTGGTGCGGCGACGCGGCTTTTTTTTTTTTTTTACCTGACTTTTTTGCTTCAAATGTCGGCTGATGACTGCAAATGGTGCCCGACTAAACTTAGTGAAAAATATATGGGAGTCCAGAGAGGCCACATTAAGCTTATTCTCGACCATAACCCAATCTAAAAACACGTTAAAATTGTGCAGCAGCAGGATTCCAGTCAAACCAGTGAGTTTGGCGGTTTTGAGACATCATCTTTCATTGAAAAAAAACTTTTTCATTTTGCCGACGCGCATGGCTACGGCCAGTTTTCATTGAGTTTTCATTGAAAAAAAACTTTTTCATTTTGCCGACGCGCATGGCTACGGCGACGCGCGCGCATACCAGAAACCGGAGACTTTTTTTTTTTGGCCTAAGCATAACTTTTTTTTGTTCAGTTTATGTGACCTAGCTGTCTGAAAGAGTTTTCAAATTATAATTTTACAGTAGGCCTAAATAATTTTTAAATGCACCAATCACTTTAGTAAATAGTATGGATATTGAATAGAACAATCAATTAAGCCAAGCCCCATTTTGTTTGGACCAATCACAGCCTTGATTAATGTCCGACCAGCTGGTCCAATTTCACGGTGCAATGAACGAGTCGTAAGTTCCTTGACAACTGTTTAAAACATGTTGCAAGTTGCGACATGATCTGTTGGTCATTGTACAATAAGATGCATCTTCTCTATAAACGAGACTATAATACCAAGACAATGTGTGTAAAGTTGTAAACGGAACAAACATCGTAGTCAATATTAATTATAATACTCCTTGAATATTGCAGTTGAAATTTTAAAGTAGCTCACTAGTCCACCACTTGTTTGCCTTCAAAACTGCATCATATGTCCGTCATTTTCTTTAAAATCTGAAAAATTTTCGAGAAGAGATCTGACGACTCTTTGCTGTATATCAGACAACTTTTTACTGTACATAGAATTACGACGTTTCACAGATGCGACGTGTTTTGTGAAATGAATCGCAGCCTCGCAGGGCACGTCCTAGCTGCAATGCATCTGAGGGATTTGATGCGTCGCAGCGCTGAGATGTATCATAAGTTATGATGAGTTTCATGAAAACGGGTGCAGGCCGCAGTCTAGCTTTGGAGTGGTGCACGTGTTGCTGCTCAAGTGCACAGTGCGTAAGGCCTATTGGATTGATCTAACTATCAAAGTTCAAACTTTACTTCAGCCATAGCCCTAACTTTACCAAATTTAACCTGTTATAATTTCATCTAAATTATTTCATCTACATCTTTCTGATCAACTACCGATGAAAGAAGTCATGTCACTGCAAATGCTTCCTCTAGAAACTGATAATTATGATCATAAAAAACTGAAGAGTATCAAAAATCTAGGTAAGTACAGACAACAACCAAACAATCCAATTCATCTGGCCGTATGCAAATACAGGAAACATCAAGTCCAAGCAACGGGACTTGGGTGGACCACAAGTGCAATTTTAACACAAGTATCTGAGTCATGCGTTAAAATAAGCTCAAGTTTACAGATAAAAGTCAGCATATTACTGCTGGTATTTCATATCTCGCAAACCAGGAAAATACTAAACTCCTCATCAGGTAACTTTACCACATGATTTGGACAAGTGTGTCGGTGTTATTTACAGAATGTATTTCAATACATTGTATGTCCTGGGGGCATTGCCTTATCATAGGGCAAATATGTGGCATTGAGTGGTTTCATTTCAGTTTCACTCTTTTCGTTATTTTGCAAACACTTTGGGGTTTGAAGGTAAAAGCAAAACCCAATTGATGACCATTAATTTTGCTACATGTAAAGCAACTTTCACAAATAAATTGATTTATGAAAACACTTTTAAATATCAATCACGTCTTCTAAGTTTGAAGTGATCCCACTTACTATTTATCAAGTCTCTTAATCAAAATGATAAAACCTTCATGATAAGAAGCCATGTTTGTTTCCACACGATACAGAGAATGGAAAATATTCAGACAAATTTAATACAGGACCTTCAGACAAATTCAGAGTGACATTTGAGAAAACAGGGGGTCATATGGGCAATGCCACAGAAAACTATTTGAAAACTGGACATTTTTTTTGACATCTTCAGAAATACAAGCATCACCACCTCAAATATAGTATCAAATTAAAGGGGACAACAAGACCTTTTATTGGAGTACTGTACCAATGGGAAAGGATATGGTTCAGTGTATTTTTTTGGTTAAAAAAAAAACGGTTTGGGGACTAAAATAATGGATTTTAGGTACAGTCAGTCATTTTGGTACCTTGTTTTCACATGCAAAATGCAAGTGTTATTGCGAGTTTTTGTTTTGAAGACAGAGAGAAAGGATGCCAAATGAGTTTTTGTATAAGAAAAACATCATTTCCAACTGATTATTTCCAATTTTGTAATATTTCAGAGTTCAGACACGTACATGTATGTCCGACACCAATAAATGTACGTCCGACACCTATATAATAAATGTGATTTCGGTAAGTCACAATCAAACAAAAACATGTTTTGCCTTGAAGAGTATTCACTAGTATGTGATGAAACTACAAATAGGAAACAGATTGAAAAAGTTTAAACACTTCACAGAGTTTTTTATTGATGCACACCAAAAAATGGATACAAAAAAAAAATTGATTTGTGAGTACGTCCGACACCATGGTGTTTCAAGCCAATTTAAGTTGGATGAATAATTTCCTTTCTAACTAAATGTAGTAACTAGTAACTTAAATATTAGAGGAGAAATCCTCTTTTTGATTTATTTATAACTATTTTATGCACACTGTGAAAGTGTCCAAAATGCACGTCCGACACAGTGCAACTGCCCCTAGGACAATTATTGTTGACTGGGAAAACAATTTTCAGCATTCTAGAACACAATAGTATTGTAAGGTCAACGGATTTAATAGGGCAAGGGTAAGGGTTGGTGTCAATGTTAGGGTTAGGGTTAGCGTTAGGGTTGGTCAACCAAGGGGACTTTACAAAAAATCATTAGGCACCTGCCTTCTTTTTCTAAGCCACTACCCTTGCCTGGATGTAAAACTGTAAAATCTACAAATACATGTAGTATTTTTACCTCGTGTAAAGAATTTATGCAGAAAATTATCACTTGACAAGAATAGATGCTACATATAAGTTTTATTTTGAGTAACTCTAGCTCCAATGCTCATCAAAAATTTGACATTTAGATGTCGAATTCTTGATGAGCATTGGAGCTGGAGTTACTCAAGCTATATTAGTTTAAGTGTATAGTACTTCTTTAGTCTTGACATGCACAATGTTGTACTTATGTAATGGGACGCATGACTCTGTGTAGTTTAATACAACTTATGAATAGTTTTGAACAACTTCCTTCTATACCTGAACACAACAATTGAAAACTTCCTTTCTGCAAATTGATACTGCCAATAGGCGTAGTTTATACTCGCATACATCCTTTCAATTTATCAACTAAGTTTTGCTGGATGACGTGCCTTAAATATTTCATACTGGAAAATGCATCTATGCAATGTCAACTTATTTTTATGTACAGTAGCTAGGCCTAGCTTAGCCCCACTAGTGTGGCCGTCGGTATGCTGCGCTGAACCCAAGGCCACACACCGTGGTCCGCGCACTACTGAGGACGTTTTCATAAAATTTGCAGGGAATTTCTTACATATGGTTGTATTCTACGATGTCCCAACTATCACTTCTGGGATGCTTGGGTGTAATGATGTTCAATTTTCCGAGATATTCTTGAATCTTTCTGGAGCCCATATGCACTCGTGAAACGTCTGGTGATGGCAGCCATTTTGAATGTGACAAGAGATGACCTCAAGCTGTGACGTCGAGTTTATGCAAATTGCTTGTCGAGCGAGGGCGCGACCGCGCGAGTTGCAAATGCGACGGCTGTTTCCTGTGTCGCGCGCGTCGTCCAAGCCGTCGACATCGATGCCCGCGCAGTGCATGCACAGGGTATTATTTTCATTTTTAATTGGAACAGGAAACAGCCGTCACATTTGCAACTCGCGCCCTCGCTCGACAAGAATTTGCATAAACGCGACGTCACAGCTTGAGGTCATCTCTCTTGTCACATTCAAAATGGCTGCCATCACCAGACGTTTCACGGGTGCATAATTCTCCAGAAAGATTCAAAAATATCTCGGAAAATTGAACATCATTACACCTAAGCATCCCAGAAGTGATAGATGGGACATCATAGAATACAACCATATGTAAGAAACTGCCTGTAAAATTTATGAAAACTTCGTCCTCAGTAGTGCGCGGTACCACGGTGTGTGGCCAGAGGTTCAGCGCAGCATACCGCGGCCACACTAGTGGGGCTAGGCCTAGCTTAGGGGATCCGTGCACAAGTACCCCTTCAACGGCCAGAAAAAGAGAGTTGGGGGAGACCTAGACTGGTTCCTGATTCATCGACTGCGTATTTCAAATGATCCAAAGTTATTGGGGGCAGGGATTAGTCTGGCAGACTATCGCAAGTTAAATTCGAACACATTCGCATGCCGATGATGCCTGACACTCACGCGAAGACGCTGTGGCTAAACATTCAGGAAGTCGTGCGTACTTCGCACGCGATCCAGAACAGTACAGAACGCACAGTCACACACGCCGTGTGTCTCATCCGAAAGTGGCAAAAAAGTGACCTCTTTTGTTGGCACACGGAGCCCATACCACAAAAGTTTAATGTTTGAGTTGTTAAAAAAATTTAAATTAATTCAACAACTGTGTAATCTAATTTCAAACTGTTGACACATAAGTTTTATTATTAAAGTAAACTGGATGCCACACTTCAAGAAATAGAAGGCACGGCCGCCTTCTAACATGTCTAAGTAGTTCCCGAATATTGCCTTTTAATAATTGGAATTTCATGAGAAAAAGTTCAAGCTAACAAGTTATTATAAGTTTCAGCAGACGAACTAACTTTACGCAACTCAACTTGTGAACTATTGAACCGTACAATAACAATAAACTGTCTCCTACTTGGTCCACGATTTAACCAAACAGCAGAGCCATCTATACTACTTCACTACATACCGATCTTGTGTCCGAGAATAACACAGCACACCAAGTACCACTGAACGGCAAAGCGAAGACGAAATGACCACCGCCGCCGCGACTTCACCATAGCGAAAACGTGTGCTGCGACCTCCCCACAGAACTATCGTCGTCACACGGCAAATCAGAAAAACTTCGCCAAACTTCAGCAGCCAAAAACTGGATCACCCTGATTCACAAAAACCATCACCTCTTTCAGGTCTACACTCTGGGATATACTCTTTTCACTCCGTGCAGATTTTGATGGAGAAATAAAACTTGAAAGTTACATTTTGCGGGATTTTTGGGACTAAACTTTTGGACCACTGCCCGTGGAGAAAACGACAGGTGTTTATTGCTGATATCGCGTGTCTGGTATCTAGATATGTCTCGGCGCAGTTATTGTTTATCCAAAGTTTCAATGAAGGGTCCAGACTAAAGTTTACTTATACTGTTGGAGAATGGTGCCGATTGGTACTCCCCCCCCCCCCAAAAAAAACACCACCACATACACAGTGGCGCACCCATTTTTTTTGGGGGGGGGGGCGCCTTCAGGCGTTATCTTTTTTTTCAGGCGTTAAGTTTTTTAGGTCAATTGTTTTTAGTCCCACAATAGTTTTACCATGGTGACTGTATTATTTTCGACTATATAATATAGGGGAGTTAATGGCGCCACCAACGTCAAAATAGTCTCCCCCTCCCCTTTTTTCTGCCGGCAAAAATTTTCGGAAACATTTTGTGAATAAATTCAAACTTCAAAAAAAGGGGGGGGAAATTGTGAGCCCCCCCCCCCAAGCCAAATCCTGGGTGCGCACTAACCACCACCACCATGCACCGCCAAAGTAAACTTGGCCTCTTGTCTTGAGGTTTTTGTTTTTAGTATTTGTTTGTTTCCCTTGCCGATAAAAGCTTGGCCGACCGGATAGGGGCGGGGCCCTGGGGCGTACCAATAGGTAAAAAACGACGGGGCTGTCACTTTTCAAGATATTTTTTGGGGGGCGGGGGTTGCGGGGGCGGGGGCGTAAGGGGCAAAGTAATTAACTGGGCCATAACAAATAATTGAAAAGAAACACATAGCTTAATCACACTGGACCAAAAGTCCCATGCCTATATTTTGAAAGTTCACATTTTGAAGGGGTCACTAATGGTTCAAAGTTGCTTGGGGGGGAGGGTAGGGGTGAACACTAACCACAGCCGATATGCACTGGCTACAAAGGAAAGGGTGTGAAAAGCCCATTATTTAGATTTTCCCATTCTGCAAGTGCAAAGACATTTTTGAGTTCTCCACGATGTCTAGATGCTAGAAATATATGTAAAGTATATTTCACCCTTTCATTTAAACTAAAGACATCCACAATTGACAACAAACTCCAAGATCTTGTTTCTACCATTGAATGAACTGTTTTATTTTCCAAAAATACATATAATCTCAATTTTAATCTTTCAAGAATTTGCAGGCAATAACTTGTAAAGCAAAATAGGAATAAATTAATGCCACAATTATCCACATTTTAAAGATATCAGAGAAGATACGTGCACATTTAGTCAAACATAACTGATAAAAAGACTAAATGCCATACCTAAGCAATTAAATAATGCCTTTATTGGAACTCTTATTTTGTGTAATAATGATAATATCAAAGCAAATCAGGCATAATTCAATTTATTTGTGCGGACAACTACATTACAGGAATTTTCTGAGTGATAATGACGGAAGTTGATAATAACAAAGAAAAAAAAACATAACTTGAATTCAAGGAGTAGATAATATGACAAGTAAAAAATAAACAGTGATATTAACAGTTTAATGATTAAGGGCCCATGCAATGTAATATTGTTTTCAATGCAATCCTTGAAAATGCACCTTTGTCCAATTTTGCTTTAGTTTCAATTATCGTTTTGCCATTTTCAAGGGTATTTTGGTGCCTCGTTGGTTTTTATGTTTATGCAAATTTCCATGTTCATGAGCAAAAGTGTGATGTAATTTCACGCAGAAACCTAAATGTTACAGCTATTTCAGCATCAAATGTTGCCAGAAATGTGGATGTTTTGCTGTCGTCAATTTTTTTTTTGGGGGGGGAGGGGATTCATTGTTGTGTCAGTACATAGCAGTGAGCAAATGAGCAAACTTTTCTCACACAAAAAATATCGACGTTTTCAATGAGCAAATATTTGGGTTCACAATTTGAACAGAAAACCCATTAACTGAAAAGTGTCTTTTTGAAATGAAATCACAGCCTCATTTGTCCGGAAAAGCACGGAAATTAAAGAGGTGCATTTTTCAATGATAAAATTAACCAAAAGGGAATGTCAAATAGTTTTCATATGTTTAAGAGTAGAAAGTTGCACAAAATGTGTTCCTAAGAAAAGTTCATTTCATGGGCCCTTTAATAAAAGCATGCTATAAAAAAATAAACTTAAAAAACACAACACAAGTAAATAACATTCAACTAATCAAATCTTGTTAATGTTTCTGCGACTTATCAGCACACTAAATATTTCAAGACTTATCTGCATGTTTTGGATTTTTTGGGGGGTACTTTTCATGAATGAGCGAGGTAGATAGTATTGTACTGATACTTTTCTTTAAACAAACAAAAAAATACAGAAAACACATACAAATTTGGTAACAGAAAAAACACCATCCTTCAAAAAAAAACAACCATCCTTTGATAATTTATCCCTCAAAAGGAAATCTGAAATGAAAAATAGACCCACAAATACACCATCCCAAGCCCCCCCCCAAAAAAAATGAACATAATGGAAAATCCAAAACAAAACAAAACAAAAACCCTTTCCCCCCCCCTAAAAAAAAGAAGGGAAAATCAATAATAAAAAAAAAAAACCACCCCGAAACACAGTACCTTCGATATTTACAACTTTCTCACAAATAACTAGCTCCATAATTTTCTTTCTACAATATATATTCAAAGATTTCATACATACAATATATTCCTAAATTTGAGTTATTTGAGATAGATACAATATTTTATTTTCAGAAATTCACAAATAATTGTTATACTACAAAAGAAACTAGTTAAATCAGTACCCTGAACCATGTGAATTGGCAACAGCGGACTAACACTGCCACTAATTATTATATGAAAAATGGGTGTACATATCCTACAGACCACTCTAGGCACAGCATGTGAACACTGTACAATCATAGTCACCTCCCACCTATAGACTTCGTGCCCAAGTACCACCTCAATGGTTACAAACATAAGAGAGAGGGGAAACAATTGGCACACTTTGAAGCATTGCTCTATAGAGCTATATTAAATTACTAGAGCGCTAACTTCGTGTAAAAAGTAATGCCAGCTGGGCGCATCCATGTTTGTGCACAAACCTATGGAGACCTAGAAATTTTGTACAGCTTTTGTACGGCTATTTGCATATCTGCATTTGTATTCCAAACCGGTGCGATATCGAAGCCAATACGCCCAAAACCGAAACGCGAGATCAGCAAATGAGCGTGTCATTTTGCTCTACGCAAACAGCGCAACGTGTGCGCGTATTTGCTGCAGATGCTTTTTGACATAACGTTGTTTTTTTAACCGTCAATGACGCGCTTAAGTTGTTTTCGTATGCTCTACTTGCGCATTGCATGTAGAGTACACTTTCAAAATTCAATCCATCTAATTTCATTATGTTCTACAAACGCGCACCTGAATTCAACATGTCTGCGCCCAGAGCGGCTTCAAAGCGTCTCCGCGCGCAGAATGAGGAGTTAGCGCTCTAGAAATTTAATATAGCTCTATGGGTCAAAAGTAGTAAGAGATGAACAATGACAAAGAAATGCCTTTGTCACAGTTGATTTGAATAGTTTGCGAGTTGACTAGGGACTGGAGGACTTGTGATTGACTTGTGGTGACTGGTGACTGACTCGGTCACAGCTGCTCTGGCCTACTTCACGCCATACGCACACAAACCAACACATGTGGTGTGTCTCCCCCTATGCAGCTCGTCAAGAGTGATGACAAAGCGCCATCTATTGCAGGGGCGGATCCGGGAATTTTTAGGGGGGAGGAAGATTTGTTTATATCCGCGCATGTACTTTTCATGCACAGAGTCAATTGTCCAGAATAACCCTCCAAGAGCAGTTAGTTGTGCAATAGCCGACCTAATAGTTTCACCATTACTGAGCTCCACGCGCAAACAAGAGGGGGCTGTTGACCACTTTTCAACGCTCCAGTGGCGGGTTCGATACTGGTTCGATTTTTGTCCATGACCACAAGCCATCGTATTTATTTGAATGCACAAATTGCATATACACACAAGAAAATCTTGCCGTCTAGCCTGATTCTTCAATATGTAAATGTCCCCCGCTCACCCTAGAAAATGAAAAATTGCTAGAAAAAGTACAAGGATTTTGGGGGAAAATGTGCATTGCCCCCCCCCCCCCCCCCCGAAAAAATCTTGGCGACACCCATGACCATGTATTAGTGTCCTGACTGGGTCCACCCATCAATCAAGGGCAATAAAGGGGTACCTTGAAAGAAAAGACAGCGTTTCAATTTACAATATAATGGAAATATTGCAAATTAAAGTGTTTTTACAATATTTAAAACTGTTGACCTTAACTTCCGTTCAACCAGATAACAATTGAGTAAATTCAAACACAGGGGTCATTGTTTGGTTCCAAGACGTTCACATAAAATGTGAACGGCTTGCGAGACTATCACGCTCTGAAGCCCTAATCTCCCCATGTTTTGATTTTCCTAAGAATGTACACTTTGTATCTATGAACTGCTAGAGTCGCTGTCTTCTCGTGTGGACTGAACCGACCCGTAGCCGTTGATCGGTGAGTTGTTGTAGCTGGTGCTCCGCGAGACTGGGAACAGCTTTTTGCACTCGTCGCAAGGCTCAATCTCACCCTCACTCTCCATGTCGGAATTCGCGATCACGGAGTACGACCTCGCTAGACGGAACAACCAAAACAAACACATAACCAAAAATAAATAAGTTGAACAAAGAAATTGACTAGGCCAGCAATTTGAACCGGCAACCTCCGGAACACACTATTGGCACTTTGCCAACTGAGCTGTCCATCCCCATGTTGGTGCTTCCCTGATTAGTAAATGTCTTTCTTCATTGGGGCGCAGTTTCTAGTTTGAAAAAAATCAAACCCGAAAGGGTCACACTAAAGCATTTCACAACTTGAAAATAAATTGTGTGACCAAAAAGTAACCAAAAATATATTTTTTTTTAAATCTGCAACACATATTGTGTAAATGGTAAGGGGAGAACACGAAATTAAACGAGCCATGTGGTAACTTGAGTAACTTGAGCTGTAAAACCCTGTAAAACCTCAAGGTAAACTCAGAGTTGCCGCCTCTTTAAATTTTGCATTCTCCCCTAAGGAAAACTTTAAAACAAAGAAGAAAAACTAAAAGGGGAAATAATTGTTACACTACAATACTTGCATACGTCATATGAATTTATGATATATCAAGCAGCAATGTGGGGATTTGGCTGACTGCCAAGTTTAGACCAGAACAGATTCACACTCAGAATTGTATCTTGCAAGGACCATCTGTGCCATAAATGCTTTGACAATTTTTCCAAAACACTATCTCAACACTAGTTCTGCGATCATGTGGAGCGCTGTGGTCCAACGGTTACGGTGTTCAACTCACGTACCGTGGTACGTGGGTTTGAACCCTGAAGGGGAACATGGAGCTTGTGTTCTTGGGCAAGGCACTTTACTACAATAGCATCTCTCCACCCAGGAGTATAAATGGGTACCTGTGAAGGTAGAGACCAGATTGCACTGGTCTTGAGCTGCTGTAAAAACTGGTCTCATGGCCTGATGAACAGGGGTAATTATCGCAAAGCGCTTTGAGACCTTTGGTACAAATTGACCTATCGCCTTTTGCGAGTTAGCCATGCCCTTAGACAACCTTATGGAGTTTTTGTACACTGAATTTTTTTTGTCTCAGACTTTGCACGTTCCGCGTCCATTTGTATATCATGTAATTGGACAATATTTCACAAGCTGTGTTGACGCGATTCTACCGCAATCGGTCAATTGCTACAAAAGCACCACCTTTATACTATTCTGAAGCAAGATACTCACGTGGGTTTTTCCTGACGCCTACAGTGACTGGCAGCAGAGTAAGGAGGATGATTATTCCAACTATGGCCGCACCACCAGGAACAAAAACCTGAATATCCCTGTAGAACCACTTGCAAGCTGGACAACAATTTCTGGATTGGAACAAAAATTCAAATCACAAAGTGTTAATGCAAACACACTTTACAGTGAGAAAACAAATATAAAAAAAACACACACATTTAATTATCAATTTTATGTAATTTTAAAAGGTGGTTTGTACAGAGTTGGAAACAAGTAATCCAAAGACTCAAGTTGTCACAAGTCAATCACAAGTCAATCATAGGTCAATCACAAGTCAATCACAAGTCAATCACAAGTCAATCACAAGTCAGTCACAAGTCAATCACAAGTCAATCACAAGGCAATCACAAGTCAATCACAAGTCAAGTCAATCACACGTCAATCACAAGGCAATCACAAGTAAATCACAAATCACCACAAGTCAATTATACGTACTCCACTGCGCACACTGCATTGATGTCTATCAGGTGCTTGACTGCATTCTTATTAGACTTGTCACCAGTCCATCCATTATCGCGACATTTCGCCAGAGGTTTTCGGTCAAAAACGATACTTTACAAGTATATTTTTTTTTCGAAAATGGGAAATTCGTAATGTTTTAGTGGCAAATCGTATTTTCGTAATTTAACAAACAATTCGAAATAATTACGAAAAAATCGTAACAGTTGGCAGCTATGCAATAACCATCTCTGCCCTCACAGGTACCCATTTACTCCTGGGTGGAGAGAAGCAATGAATGACAAAGTGCCTTGCCCAAGGGCACAAGCACCACGACCCCGGCTGGACTCGAGCCCACAACCCGCAGCTTTACCCACAGACCACGAATCCAGTGCCCTTAACCACGAGGCCACAGCACTCCATTTAGTTCTCCGTTGGATCTGAGCCTAACTTTTCTTGAGCCTGTTGGTACTGGATGAGCATACTCACACGCATGGATGACAATACTGGATGATGATGACTGTGATTCCGTTGGACAGCTTGTCTGTGAAACTCATGGCACCGTAGACAAATGCACCGGACTCCTGGAAGATTAATTTCAAAAAATCAGTTTCACTATATTAGTGACAAAAGTTGCAGGGCCTGATGTTTCGGTCCTGGTGGAATTGTTTTCGTTCATCTGTTTCCTGCCAGAGTGGCTTAAAACTTGATCCTCAAATAGGCGTTACGTTTGAACTGCTTGACTGATTTGAGATTTGCAACAAAGCACATTCATCAATATTGTTTCCGTTTACTGGGATATTAGCAGAAAATGAAAACCAGCAATAAATGAATAACCAATTTCAAATATTATCAACTTCATCAAATGTTTACATAACCAAAAGCATGCATATAACCCACAACTTATTGGAAGGAATCCCAAATTTTCACTGTACGTTTTGAAATATTATATTCAACTTTTCAGTTATCTATGGAAAAGACTTCTATGCGCTGGCCATTTTTGATGGTGTTCTTTATTATTTTATCAGAGCATAAACCAAAAAATGATAACAACGAATTTAAACCCTATTTAAAATGTTCTCAACTTCCTCAAGTGCACAAGCATGTATATAAACCTACTGACATGACTTGTGAGTGAAAATTAAACAAATGCGAGTGCATAATAAGCTTTAGCCGTGTTGTAAGAAGTCTTGCATGAAAGTTTTGCATGAAATCGATCTAAATGATCCCTGCCAGAGCTTAAAAATGCGACGCCGAAAAATGTGACGCCTATGGAAGATATGAGAACACCATACTTTTGGTCAATTTTCGGGACAGAGCTAAAAAAAAAATTACGCTTTAATAAATCTACTGTAAATTAATGTAATTCTACACACCGTGTTATGTGAGATGAGATCAGACGTCAATGCTAATGATGTCACCAGAAGCGTTGAGCCCCCAGCACCAAGGAGGGCAGCAGCACCATAGACCTGTAAGCCGATGCCAGGGAAATACAGCCAGGCACAGCCACCGAGGAATACGAGCACAGCCAAGAAATATGTTAACTGGGTGGGAAAAGAAACAACACAGCACTCATCATTGGGACATATTCAGTAAGTTCAGGTTGCTTTGCTGTTATGGATCAAGGCTGGTTCATTTTCAAGCCTTCCATCGCTGTGCTTTCCCCCGCCTTTCCAACGCTGTGACCCGGGTTTGAAACCTGCATGGGCCAACATGTGGATTGGGTTTTCAGTCCCTGCCTGATTCTGTGGGTTTCCCTAGCATCTTTCTGGGGTTTTCCTCCCACATCTAAAACTGTAAATTCCTCTCATTATCTTCTCTCTACAGGTTTCTTCGGGATTTTTGAGCTACAGTGCCGAGGGCGCTTTTGAGGAATCCTTGGTTTCATTACCAGAAATGATTAAACTTCCAGGTGCGGATTAGTATTTCATCGGGACAAAAATGACCCCCAACCTTCTCCACAAAACAGGCCCAAGAACAAAAACTACTGGACCGAATCAGGCGATCTTCGTTTCATTTTCCTTCTTAAAAGATTCTCCATACATTGGTATACATGTATGTGGTTTGAGTCTCGGGGTAGTGGAAGCATGCCATTCTAGGCTTTTTTTTTGACCACCCTGAATAATATGCTTACCTTTCGGCCTAAACATTTATTCAATATGCCAGCAAAGAATGAAGTCAAAAACCCGCTGACGTAAATAACTAACGGTACCAGAGCAATCGTGGTCTGCAAAATTAAGGAAAATGACTTTTGATTAATCAATCATAAGATTTTGCACAAACTTCTTAAATCGTTTTAATAAATTCTAAAATGAATGGAACATTCATTATGATTCCATAACCTTAACTTTAAAGATATTTTTTGCCCTTAACAAATGTAATGTTATAAGCACTAAACACTAAGCAGGGGCGGCTCCAGGAATTTTCGCAGGGGGGGGGATTTTGCAGGATTTTGCAGGATTGAGGCTACATTCCAGCAAAAAGGCCTAGAGAGTTAGGTTTAAATTAAGAAGAAAACAAAAGGTGATAAGACCACAAGTTATGACACATTAGCACTGGTCCTCAGTTCACAGAAATGCAGAATTATATATGATTTAACCCTAACCCCTAGGCCCTTTTGGCTAGGAACCATCCTCAATCCTGCAAAATCCTCCAATTGCCAACTTGTAAAAATTGGATTCAGCCTCAATCCTCCAAAATGATCCATTATTTCTTGAATTTGCTCACTTGAGGGGTGAACATCGCCTCAATCTTTCGAAATCCTACAACGATCACTGTTAATAGGTTGAGGCAGTGCCGCCGACATTCAAAAGCAGTGCGGATGACATCGAGCATAATTCAGGACTCAATTATGCATGAGTGAACATAAACAGTGCAGGGTACAGCCTACGAATTTGACGCAATTCGTCCTCCAAAATCATCCGACACTTTTCATCATTCAGCCTCGATCCTTCAAAATTCTCCAAAACCACCTGGAGGATTTCTGAGGATTGAGGGTTAGGGTTAGGACGCTATACTTCTATAGCAGATAACACCAGACAAAAATGCCGATTTGGAGAATACAAAAAAATAATCTGGGACTCGGGGAAATCCAGAAATATTTTGTCACCTTGCTCATCATTAGAGTCTCTGTTACATACATCGGAATGTAAACTTGGGATATGTTGACCATCAGTCTACTGCACATGTATATCATCGCGACCTTTCAATAGGAAACAAACATGATAAGGAAGAAAAATAACAGGAAAAGCTATTATAAACATTTGTTTCAAGAATGTAATGAATTGTTTTTTTGTGAAATACACTATAATTTTATAAGATATTTAAGAGGTATATTGCAATTTCCAGTCCCAAGTGTCTTTTTTTACATAAAATTCTGTTCCAAGTCCTCATCTAGGTATCCAATGATATTCCTCTGAGGAGAAGGCCAATTAAAGTAAAGCGTCTTGCCAAAGAACACAAGCATCATGAACCTTGTACGGGCTCAAACCCACATACTGCTGCACACGAGTCGGACAAAGAAACCAATGGAACATGACACTCTAACCCAGTTGGCACTTGACCTTCCATACCTAACTTCCAATACAATTCCCGCACTTTTAAAACTTCCCAACCTTTTAAGTCCTATTCAATTTAAAGGGATCAACATTACATTTTTCAATTTCTGCTGGTACCACATAGGGCCAACCAGTAACACTTATCACTAAGAGAAGGGGTTTGCCCTGATGTGCAGTGGCTGCAATATGCGCCGCAGCACCTTGTATACCCTTTATAAAGCTGCTACATAATGGGTCGCATATTTCTCATAAACTTCATTTCCCTTTCTATACAAATAGACATAACTAACAGCGCATTGAGAACCTAATCGTTGATAGATACGTGTGCTATATAATTATAAGACTCCATTATCATTATATATATTATAAGTGACTGGCCACTCTGATTCAACTAAAATACAATTTTGTGTGCTCAGGACCATGGGTTTTTTTTGAGGGGGGGTTGTTTTTGTTTTTTGTTTGGCTGCAAAATATTTTTATCAATTTCAAATACCTGATAGAACTGCGACTCAAACAGCCAATCCTTCCACAGCATCTTGCATTGCTCACTGCTGCCATACTTCTTCTTGTTGACAATGCAGCATTGCATCTGAGACGTGCGGGACTCTGTGGGCTCTTTGGTCCCACAGTGGAAGATTAGGGAAAAGATGGCGCCTGTCCCGACGACAATTATGGCAAGATACTATCGGAAAAAAGGGAGAAAATTGACGAAAAAGTTAGAATTAGCACATTTGGTATTCAAAATGCGAGTGGGAATATCAAAACTTAATGATTTTCACTTTTCGATAGAAAAAAAACATTTTAATGTTTTTCACTTAATAATAAAATCCTTTCAATTTAAGGTGCAAAACGGAAGAAAAAATTGTTATGCTAATGTTAGTACAAAATTCAAAACAACTAAGGACTGCACCATATTTTTATTGATCCAACTTATGTGCTTAATTTACTTCCATCTTTTTTTTCCGATTGCATGAAAAAAAAGATTGCAGATTAATTGCCTTTAGAATATATGTTTATACCCCAGTCAGTACGATCAATTCTTGAGACGCTTACACGTAGTTAGAATACTTAACTCGTCATGCTCAGAAATCAACAGAATTTGTCAAATCAACAGATCAGTCAAATCAGTCCATGTATGTATGTGGCCTTGATTTTATATTCCATGGCCAAATACCACACAGTTGTGCTTGCTCCTGAAACCTTGAAGCATGATTTTCATGTTGATCACGAGATTCCAATATCCAAGATTCGTAAATACATAGACACAAACACATGCCACGCCGCTGTCCGAGCACTTGTACTATCCAGACTCGATTATTGCAACTCTCTTCTCAATGGTATTAATCAGTATGAGGTTGATCGACTCCAACGGCTCCAAAACAATGCCGCTCGTATCACATTATCTCAACCCAAATACACACATGCCTCTCCACTCCTTCAACAATTACATTGGTTACCAGTTAGACAACGCATCAACTTCAAAACAGCAGTTTTCATGCACAAAGCACTTCATAACACAATGCCGCAGTACATAATGGGATCACTCAACCTTAATGCACCCAGCCGTAGTGGCCTCCGCTCCAGTAACAACCTTAGAGTTCCACGCACATTCAAAAAGGCAGGGGACAGGGCCTCCTCAGTGTCTGGTCCCCGGTGTTGGAATTCCTTGTCACACAACATCCGCAACATCAGTTCTCTTGACAACTTTAAGGGCAGACTGAAAACTGATCTGTTTTCTCCACATAATCTGTAACTTGTCTTCTGGAGTTGTCCTTAGTCGCGCATTGTTACTTGCGAAAATGCGCGCTATAAATTGTGTTATTATTATTATTATTATTATTATTATCACAACATCATGTCCGCCAACATATAAATATTCATGACCTGCTCAAATATTCACGACCGGCTTACAAATTCATGACCCAAATCTGATTCCTTATTTGTCAAATTGATAAGATTCACTAACCCTGAACTGTGGAACATCGTTGTGAGACAGCTTGTCTGTTCCCGTGGAATTCAAAAGTACCCAGCAAATGCCATACACAAAGATGTTGGCAAACACAGTAAATGTATACCTGTGGATAAAAATAAAAACATATTTCAAGATCAAGACAACCAGGGCAAATCCCACAGTCAAAATCAGTTTCGATTAGACAAGGAATCTTGGCTGACAATGGCTGAGTAGGATGCAAAACCTCAACTTTCAGAACACCTCATCAACATCACGAAAATTAAATTATCACTTCCTGATAGCCAAAAAAATGCATTTATTGCAATTAACAGGTACTGTACGAACCGCGGACAGCAACCTAAAGTGGCTAGGGCAACGATATGCAAATCAGACGATGCTGAAAGAAAGCCGTGGAACATCTGTGGGCCATGACCTATCTTTTTCAGGCAATTATCGTTATTTTGTCCCTGGATATATATAGTGAAGTTATAGTTGGTCTGCACACTCCAAACTTGTTGGAGAATGTAGCCACACTATCTAGCTCTCTGTCCATGTAAAAAATGAGTCTCCACGACCAAGTACTGAATAATAATCTCCTCTTTATTCTCATATGGGGTCGTCGTTGGAAATCCAGCAACAAAATAAAGAAGACACAAGCCAAGGCTCACGAATGTTCCAAGGTGTTCATTCAGCGCCAGCTGATTTGCATATTGTAGCCTTCGCTACGTCGCTGTTCGCATTTCGTGCAGTACATGTCAGTGCATAGCTACTGTTGTTTGCAGACAACTGACCAAGGCTATGTCTGAGTAAAACCAAGAAGTATAGGGACTATTTGTGACCATCACACAGGACTTACCTAATGGCATTAAGGGCCACCCTCTCAGCAGCCACATTGGTCAGTTCAGGGATGAGAGACAGGTGCGAAATCTGAGTGGACGCCCAACCAAACTGGAAGATGACGATGAACGGAGCGAAGTACAGCAGCTCCGCCCACTGGCTGGCATGCTCTGTGGCGATGACGGGACTGAAGATGAAGACGAAACTGCTCATGACGCAGATAGTGCCTGTTGGTTGACGGTTTGAGAATTAGATAAGGCTGTGCTCATTTTACACTTTCATCAAACCCAGTATAAAACATGACAGCGGCCGTCAATGGCCGTCAATCAAACAGTACGCTTTGACCAATTAGATTGTGACTTTTAGTCAGGTGACCTGGGCAGCTTAGTCAACCTCGGCCATGAGCACTGTGAAAAATGTGGCTCGGGCATGTGGCCAAATCTGGAGCAAGCAATTCTAGGAAAAGCCTGAATGCATCGCACATACTCCATATAAAGAGATTTTTTAGTACTACCTGCGCGAGGCACATACCATACCCAAATAGCTAGAGAGGTGTTTCGCAAAAGGCGAGGCCATTATCCCTGTCCAGGCCCCTAGCCAGGTAGGGGTACATACACATGCACTTGTTTAATACCGGCAAAGCACATATTTATTCCCTTGAAAGGTAGAGCTCTAATTAAGGACACTTTCAAAACGGAATTCTTTCGCACAATTTTGTGAATTTCAACTCTGACGACTTGAATTTAAACTATCAACCAGCATCATCACTAAACTGCATTTTCAGTTTTTAATAATCCAAACTGGTTGCACAAACTAAATATCTACATATGAAAAGGTTGACCACAAGACAACTCATATTATATGTTGTGTTTCCCCTCATATTGGAAAATAAACTGAAAATGATGAACAGATATATTTTTTATTATTTCCATCATTAATTGAAGCAAAATGGATGTTTTCCATAACCACAAGAGTGACCAAATGTAGTTTTTCGGAGTTGCACTGATTTTTTTTTTAGTCTTGTTTTTTTTGTACTGGCCAGCAAAGTTTTTCCCTTGAAAAAAATAACGAATTGCATAATCACTCGTCTGTGACTGGAGACTTACCTAAGAGATGCCAGGTTTTCCGTTTGCCGTAGCGACAGCCCAGCGATTTGTCAGACTCGTAGCCAATCAGGGGCGTGCACATGGCGTCACTGACTTGCCCAATCAGCATCATGTAACCTGCATTCACATTACTTGTTTTTGACAGAGGAGAAAAAAAGTTTACAAAATTAACAAAACATGAGACTAGACAAGTCTAGTAAAGGTAAGTCACAACTGACAATAAAGATAGGAAGAAGGACGCCACTCGGCTGTGCAGCGCGCACATAGTTCTATTCAGTTTATTCAAAATGGCTATTCACTTGAAATCTTTTTAAACATCTGGTCTGCACAATGAACCGGATTTAGCATATTCATTGGTATACAGGGTAATCCTATACAATAGCACTGCCCGGCCCTCTTCACCAGCCTACAACCATGTAGTCTAAGTCAGAAGTGATAGTCAGTCAGTCAGTCAGTGAGATCATCTGTACAAAGACGACACTAGGCTAGGGCCAAGTCAATTCGAATAATTGACTCAAATTGACATTGATCGATTATTCTGATATTCGAATATTCCGCACTACACTAGACTGGCAATCTGGGACCAGCATAAAACTGAAATTGTTTTTACAATTTTTAAAAAGGTTCTTTGTTCTCTCATGTAGTGGATAGACGCATCTTGATGAACCCTAACCCCTTAAAAATTGTGCGAGAAACCCTCTAGAATCCTACCAAATTCACAACTTGACAGGAACCCAAACCACATTCTTACAATTTTTCAGGGGCATCGAGCCCCAGGTTGCAGGCCAGTAAATGGGCCCGAAATTGCCTGCCCTCAATTCTTTTTCTATCAGAACATTTTGTGGGCCATGAACTTAAGGGTTTGTAATAAAGATAGGCGGACGCAGTGAACATTACTGTGAGCTCATATTCACTTCGGGTGAAATTGGGCCCTAAAATTGCTCTATTTTGCAATGGAGCGCAGGTACATGTATCATTTTTTTCAAAATGGTAATGGGCTTCAGGACTATTTTTAAGGGTGATCAACTTTGGATGGAAGTTTCACCCCAAAGTCATGGGTTAACCCAAAAAATTGAACAGCAAATGAAAGATGTTGAAATAAGCTTCAATTTGATGTGTGTCCCAAACACCATGGAGAGTTGTGAGTATTTTCCTGATCTTGGGAATTGGCCGTATTTATCCATCATGCCTTTATAGAAAGTTCTCATTAATTGCACGGGTTTCCACTTATTTACCACATTATGTCAATGCCAAATTGGCAAAGATTTTTACTGCATTTCGTGTACAACTTATTAATTTTCCCTTGTGATGTACACCAACTACATGTTCAAAGATAGAAGCATCTGTTAAGTTTGACCTTCCACAAAAGTTTCCCTGAAAACACAGGTGAATAGGTCTGGTGCAGAATTCAGCTGGCTCTGTTCCAGGTAACTGGATTTTGACTTGGTTGCTAGACAACAAGGTCAGACGTACAGGGTCACTCTCACCTGACTATTTACTTCAACTGACAGTTTATAAGGGAAACTTTTTATGACAAAACAAGAGAGGTTTTGTCAACTTCAAAAATTTGGCGTAAATCAAGCTATGAAGAATATCCTTGCTGTAAGGAGGGGAAGTATGGAAACAGGATTTTGAAACTTCTACTTAAACTTTAAAGGGACAATTTGAGTTAACCCATATATCTCAACATCAACATTTGAACGCTCGTTCTTGCCTAGAACCATCAAGGTATTGAACAATCTTTTATATCGTGATTCTTTCTCGCCAGCCGCTTTAAGTGACAACTATGGGCTCCGTGCGCCAACAAAAGAGGGCGCATTTTTACCTCTTTTGATCGAGAGCTCCTTGGACAGGACACAAAGCGTATGCGTACTGTACTGTACTGGTTCGCGCGTGAAGTACGCACAACTTCCTAAATGTGTAAAAGTTATAGCCACCGCGTCTCCGGGCCGCGTGAACGTCAGGCATCGTCGGCGCGCGAATACATTCGAATTCAACTTGCGATTGTCTCCGAGACTAATAACTTTGGATACATTTGAAATACGCAGTGGATGAGTCAGGAACAAGTCTAGGTCAACCCCAACTGTCCTTTTCGGGCCGTTGATGGGGTATGTGCACGGAGCCCATAGGCAACAACAATGTGATAAGCCGTTCAAATTATAATCTGATTCCACTCTTCTGGAGGCCTCCTTGTTAATCTCCCTAGCGAGATATTTAGGAGGATTTTCTACCAAGTACCAAGAAAATAAACCCCAGATGAAGTATAAATACATGTATGTTAGAATATGCCTTCCTAAATCCTACAGAATCTTCTAAAGCTGAGAGATTTTGAAGGCTCTCAGTTTAGGGTTAGTTCCAACTCCTTCACATTTTCCCTCAGGGCGGCCTGCTAAATCCAAATAAATCTAGCAACTTTTTAAAATCGAAACGCCCCTCTTAATTTTTTTTTTATTAGTGTATTTCTGGTCGATCCAGTCAGTAAGCAGTTTGCAGCAATTCTAGTCATTTTCAACTTCAAAAGGTGAAATTTGATAAATTCATAACAGTGAACATACAGAACAAAAAGTCTTCATTTCCTGCTCTGATTGACAACAACACTCATTTTTTCTCCCAGTCAGATACCATGTTTATCATGGTCGAGTTGTGGGTCACAAGTCATAAACCACATTCCCTCTTTGATTGACTAGATCGTACAGAAAGTTCAATTTGGTGTTTGTTCTATTTGATCTCAGGTATTATCATGTGACAAGATCTGGTATCCTATTTCCTCTGTCTGACATCCTGGATCATATCCTGCTGGTTTCAGGTATCGGCATTACAAGGCACCAACCTGTTTTTTCCATATAAATTATATAATTTTTTTTTCTTTTTCAAACTTTGACTTTTCAACAAGGCCTGGAACATGCCCAACTACTTTTTGCTTAGGAAATGAATAAATGAAATCGTTTCAAATTTTTTATCATCAAGTGTTCAGAACGTTTAAATAAATTGTTTGACTATGTGGCTTCTGAATCTGATGTTAAGGTCAAATACTTGATGGCAAACAGAAGTCGGGAAAGAAAAAATTTCTGCCGACGTGACTTTTTTTTTTGAACTCTGAATCCATGATAATGGCCAAATAAAAACAATGCCTTTTAGATTGTCTGCATAGTCAATAGTTCAAAGTTCAAAAACTAAAGGAAATGCATTTGGCTTAACACAATAGTTCATTTTTGGGTGGGCAAAATTTCCCCAAATCTCACAGTTTTCTTTGATTTATGTTTTGATTTTTTTTCTTTGTCATGTTTGTAGGGGGCGATGTTAGGATAAAAAAACAAAACTTATTAAAGTTATCAAATCTATTATTTAACAAAAAAACCTTGCTTTAGGGCCTAACCAAAATTAAATTCTCACTTAAATTCAAATACTTACTTGAAGGATAGGACTTTATGGTAGAAGACAAGAAGATAGCTGAACCACATGGAGGCACACAGATCATTGAGAACGTGGCCGACGCCGTAGGCAAATCGGCGGGGGAAGCTCAGAAGAAATGGAGCATCTGGCGCTGTGATGGTTTTCCTTCTTTCTCGTAACGACGCTGGAGTCTTTCCATCCTCCGCCATTTTTGGGGAGGGACCAGGTTCAGGGGAGGGAGCAGTTTCCGGCACGTTTGGCTCGAGCAACTCTAGTTTTAAGGTAGTGCGAAACTTAGTTTTTCTGCTGAACAAAACAACAACAAGAATATCTCAATAAATAAAACAACAAAACAATCATTCATCTTTAACCTTACTCCCTAGGCATTTTTGCTAGGATGCAACCTCAATCGTGCAAAATCTTCCAACTGCCTCCATGTTTTTGCATACAAATCCACCATTATTTCTTGGAGGGATCCTTGGAGGGATGACCACTGCCTCAATCCTGCAAACTCCTCCAGCAATCACTGTCAATATGTTGAGGCAGAGCCAGTGACATCCTGGAGCAGTGCTGAGGATCTCAAGTATAATCTAGACTTAAATTTATGCACGGCTGAGAATAAACATCACGTGATCCAGCCCAAGACCTTGGCAAAGTGCATCCTTCAAAATCAGCCACACAGTTTTGCAACAGAGCCGCAATCCTGCAAAATCCTCCATTTTGCAAAGAGGATTTTTGAGGAATTGGGAAGGTTAGGAATAGAAGCTGGAGGGGGTGAAATGCAATTATACAAACAGCTTGTATGCACATAAATGATGAAAAAAGGGGTGAACGGCAACGTCAATCATCCCAGTTGGGTGAAAACAAGAATAGGCGAGCCTAGTAAACCTTAGACCAGTCAAAGGCAGAGAGTACAACATTTTATTCAATAGATTCAGAATGGCTTTTCACTGGACCTCTTTCCATGCTTCTGGTATTAACTAGCCGGATTCAGCCCATTTATTGGTGTTATGTGGTAATCCTATACAACAGCACTGCCCGGTTCTCTTCACCAACCCACATCCAGTCAGTCAGCCAATGAGATAGCTACAAAGAGGACACCAGGCTGGCCCTCTGGGACCAGCACAAATCTGCTTCCTTCTTACCGCATCTTGCGTTTCTCCTTAGTCATGATTCCAGCAAACAAAGGCACAGCTTTCTGTGCCAGTTCATGCAGGTGTAGAAACAGTGGTTTTTGACACAAGTTAAAAAAATACTGTAAATGTGCATCAATAGAACACTTGACCGTGTTGTTTTGACAAGTAGATCCTGGCTTGTACGAGCGCACAGTAGAAATAAAATGAAGAAGCAATGGTATGAGCTCTTTTTGCAGGTACTCGGTACCACTTTCCTGCCAGGGAAAGTGTCACATCACATCCTTCATGTGACGCACACCATCACATGCATCTCAAATTTCATGAATCTCAAATTACATCACCCCGATGCAAATTCCATCTTATGAATAATTTAATTGGAACAGATTTTGTTGGGCAGTTCCAGCTGGTTGAACCAGCTGCCAGGAAATGCAATGAAAAAAAACCCATAAAAAACTACAATTGAAATTGAAATTGCATTGAAAAAGTATAAACAGTGTCAACTTGTGAAGTTCATGCTCTGTGGTTTTCATATATGGTATTGTCGACATGTAATAAAAGTCTATTCACCCCGACGATCGTCGACTGTGTGGATTCACTGTACTAGGATATACTTCCCAACAGCGCATTGGGGGAGGGGGGCCAATGGGGCCATGCTCCCCCCAAACAAAACAAAAACCTTTTTTTTCTTCTTTTCATTTTTAAGTGACGTAGCCAAAAAGGCAGCCACTGCTACCGGTACATCACCCACAAAACTCAACAAAAGTAATACATAGTGCCCCCCCCCCTTGCTTTTCATATTAAATATGGGGCAGAAAATTTTTGGAACCACATTTTTCCGTGAAGAAAAAAAGGTTTTTGCCCCCCCTCCCCCCCCCCCCAAAAAAAAATTGTGTTCTGGATCCGGCCTTGAACATGCACAGTTGTGTGCATTAATGCACAGGGCTCGGCCCTGTGGTTTGTCTCTGTGTGTGAGTCCGTGTGGTTTCCGCCCTCTCCAATGTTTTGACTGGCTGCAGTGACTGGTCCCAGCCTTATTTATTGAGCTGGTTCTAAGCTCTGGGGTTTGTGTACAGAGAATGGGGAATTCATTCTGACACTGATTCTTTTAGAGCTGGAACTGAGCTTAGTGGGTACCCCGTTCTTGAAAGGAACTCGCAGCTCCACTTCTCATGTTGGACTCGGGCAGAACCTGATACCTGTCAGATCTGCCCAACACTATTACTTACTGAGTCTCCAGCGTTTTATAGCATCACAAGTCATTGAAAGTTAATCACGACTCATCCAGTCTCAAGTCAATTCACAGCATATTCACATTTATTGTGACAAAATGCAACTGGGAATTTAGAACAGGGGTGTGAGTGACCACTGATAAAAATAGCTGAAAACAGCTGGAAAAGGTGTAAAAAAGCTGAACTTTGGAAATCTCCTACATGTATACTTTTGAACACGGCAAGTGAGGGAAAAAGCTGAAAAAAAGCTGAAATCCAAAACAAAAAAAGCTGAAATCAGCTTGAAAGCTGAGATTTCACACCCCTGTTGGACCTGGAAACTCCAAACCACACAAAAGTTTGTACAGTATTTTTATATTTATAATGGCATTCATTAATTTTTTTTAAAAAACGAGAAAATAAGCAGATCCGAGGAAAAGTTGCGAGCCTGCGTTCCATTGTTATACACGTACAAAATGTACATGAAGCTCATCCCCAGCCCTATTACTTGTGATTTCTGTAATTTTCAGAAATGGATAGATTTGGGGATTAGTATTTTATAGCAAATATTATTACACTGACCTATTTAAAGTTTTTTCGTTCATAAATACTGGAAAATCAAGGAAAAATGCTGTTCTTGTAGTCTGGTTCCCTGACCCAGAAACGGAGCAATTTACAGACGTCAGCAATTACCGATTGCAAACAAAATGTGGAGTAACTAAATTTGGTAAATTGGGGACAGTACTTGAAAAAAGTTGTTTCTTTTTTCCAATGATGGTCGGCCGACCGTTGTTGAAAATTGAAACAAAACTTCCACTTTTCTTGAAAGTGACAGCACACCAGTTGCCATGATTTCACTGGATGCTTGAGACTATTATTCACTTTATACAGTCAAGTAAGGTATTTCATATAAATTTGATAGTTTTGTTTTTTGAAGTTTACTTATGTTGTACATGTATGCCTATGAACTGACTTGTCATTTTTGTACTTGTGACTATAGTCGACTTTGTGGTGTACTTGTGAAACAAATAAACAGTAACAAATACAAAAACCATCTGTTTTCTTAAAGAAGATTGATTGCAGTGCTGTAGGAATGATTCTGGAAAAAGAGTAACTTATTTTTTATTCCTAAACCAAAGCGACTCGCCACACAATGATACTGCATAATCACAAGCTGTCACCACACAAAACAGGATGTCGGTTCTAAGTTTATTGATAAATTTACGCTTCAATGGCCAAGGAATGACAGGAACATATTGAAACTTTGTCATGTGCGCTGTTATCATCAGGTTGACAATGGATTTAATCAAGTCATGAGACTCCAGATAAGCCATCCCGTCCAAGGGCACATTTTGTGATTATCATCACAAACAGTGACCCACTACTCTCTTTGAACAAAGAAACTGACTGGAGGCTGGAGTGGGAATAAAACCATAGTGTTCTCTACCAACTGAGCTATCCTGGCAAGCAGCAAATTTCAGGTTTATTTTGTTTGGGGGAGGGGGCACTGCTTGGGGGGGGGGGGCACTGGAAAACAAACAGAAAATTAAAACAATGAAGCCATTGTGTTTACATTTCATTGTTGAAATCATTCAATAAAGCCTGGTGAATTACAAGTATCACATGATTTGGTACCAGCATATCAGAAAGTCAACGTACAGTAACTGACCCAGATACGCTGATGGATCAGAGTAAGCATACAAAGTGTTGTGAACAAACAATTTTAACACATGACTAGAACTAAGTAAATATGTATGCAGCAAGGCAAATTTATATATTTTTATTTCTCTTGCATCACCTCAGTAAGCTTTACTTGACAGATTATCGAGCCAAATTTATTTATTTTTGTTTGTTTCCGTTGCATCATCTCAGTCAGCTTGTATTGACAGAATATCGATCATAAAAAAATGGGGTGGTTTTCATCAAACTCCGCAACACAAAAAGACATTGTACATTTCATGAAAAATTACTTTAAAATGGCAATGGATATATGTTTGCACTCTAAGGGCTGCATACATTTTTTTCTGCGGTTAAGATTTTGTTTGAATAAATTTATTTTAAAAACAGTGGTTTATAACACTGTACAGGATCTATCAGAGACCTAGTCTTTGTTCAAGACTGGATATAGATTTATTCCCTAAATATACAGCCGGTTCCTGACAAGCGCAATAAAGCTGCCACAGCGGTAGACCAGGATGGACTCCTCCGTTGTCTACACGCGACGGAGTCCAGGGTATGAACGTCTGCTGCCATAGCGAAATATGTTCACCTGATGGAGGAAGCTGAAATTTTGTTTACTTCCTTGTGTCCGGAATTTTGCATACATTTGGTTAAGAAAAAGGTAAATATGTCCTTGAGCGATGTGTTTACCAAAATAAACCGCAGATCCACACTTTCGTCGAAAACGTCCTCAGTACGAACATGTCGTGTGAAGACTTACGCGCGCGCATGCACATCCCACATACACATGGCATACACTGTAGTAGGCCTATAACGTGTTGCACGTGTGCGTAAGTCTTCACATGGGGAGTTTGTAGAATGTCTTAGACAAAAGCTTGGATCTGCGGTTACTTTCGGTAAACACATCACCCAATGACATATTTACCTTTTCTAAACCAAGCGGATGCATAATTCTGCACACAAAGAACATGTAAACAAAATTTCAGCTTTCTCCATCAGGTAAAAATACGGGGGGACAAATGTGTTATAATATGTTTCGCTATGGTAGTAGAATTAATACCCTGGACGTCAGTCGTAAGGCAATGAAGAAGTTGTCCAACCTGGGCTACTAAAAGAGGCACAGTTTGCTATCAAAAAGATCCTGAAGCAAATGAATTCAGCCTTAGGAACTTTGACAGTGTTTTCCAAGAAACTTCAAGCGTACCTCAAGCACGCTGCATTAAAGCTAATGCACACACATTTCGTATGCTCGGAGTTTCCTGGGTAATGCTGTCAATTTTTCCAAGACTGCCACAGCAGCTTCAGGATGGTGCGTTGTCGTGGAGAGCATTCTCGTTGTCTTGCTTTCCGCGACAACGCACCAGACGAAAATTGAACTCACTTGCGGCGCCTGAAAGCGGTGTGGTACCCACATACATGTACATCACGCGCGCAGATTTTTTTCGATATCATCACGTGATGCATACATTTACATAATTAGCAAATTAAAATAGATGACAGCCGTTGAAACTGGCGTTTTTTTACAGACAAGCCACCGAAATCGTCAAGAGTTTTCACATTTTTTTTGTGTGGTCTGTTTCAAGTCGATCATTAGGCTTCGTAAATGACTGCTGAATGTATGAGGTATGTTAGCTCTACTGAGTGGAGCGTTGAATTACGGGTACCCCTCCATACAAACGCTCCACCGATTTGGCATACTTTGGTGACGGCGTCACTGCACAGTAGCATAGTCACAAACCCACGCGAGGACAAAAAGGCCCCCCCAAAAAAAAACGGTAAAGAGAATACAAATGAGAGAGACAGTTACCCTGGATTGATCTACACATTCATGACATTCCATCAGACCCCTTACATTGTTCCCAAACAGAGAAAATTTTGATGAAAAACAGCAAAATAGTCTGAAAACTTACAGCTCAATGTGTTCGCCGTGAGGCTCAATCCTTGCACCGGTTTGCCGAATGAGGGCGTCTGACGCGCGACGTCACCGTCGTTGCTCGCGCTTTATCAAAGACTGTTTCGTGTAATAATACGTGCTCCGATCCGCGCCGTACAACAGTATGGGCTTTGAACACACGCAGGGTGGATGGAGACGGCTGAAGCGTACACGTTCTAAATTAAAAACAAATTAATGACTGCAGATACCCACATGAAACTTGTATCAAAGAACTACTAATTCCTTCCCCCATGCTAATACTGACAAATGAAAATCTCATTGTTATTAAAATACGTTTCAGCCGTCTCCACCTTGCGTGTGTTCAAAGCCCACAGTATGGGCTGAGGTGAAAATGAACAATTTTTGAGAGGCCATTTTTTTAGGGTCTCTTTCTACCACATTCTAACGAACAGGTTATTCCTCCAGCGCTACATGTGAATGAATATGAGCATGTCAGCTGGAGTTACTCAAGCTAATGCTTGTCTAGTCCGAGTAACTTGGACCCAACTTATCGCCTTTTTTAACATTTGGACATGGTCTGGCGATCGCCAGACCATGTCCAAATGTTAAAAAAGGCGATAAGTTGGGTCTTTTTTAACATTTGGACATGGTCTGGCGATCGCCAGACCATGTCCAAATGTTAAAAAAGGCAATAAGTTGGGTCCAAGTTACTCGGACTAATGCTTGTCTATGTCTGAGATCCTGGTACTTGCTTCTATTTTTAACATTAGTGCAGAGTGCTATTCTTATTTTTAGTGGACACAGAAAAACAGAGTTTCAAAAATATTGGTCATGCTGGGACTTAACTCAAGCAACACTGCATGCGAGGCGGGCGCGCTATCCCCTAGCCCTACTGGCCTCGCGTTCGCTCGCCAAGAAATTGTAATTTCCCAATCGAGTTATCAAACTCAAGCGATACAGTTTAACTCACGTGTTACAGTCATGCAGACATGGCAGAGTATTTACTTCACATTGTGATTGAATGATAAAACTTGTCAGACCCCCTAAAGCTACGCGGTCCTATTTCCACGCACTCGCATTCAATTTGTGTGTGACAATGCGCGCGCGTTGCAAGCGTTACCTGCGCAGATAATGGAGGGTCGATGATACTGAAATAAACAAAGCATTTACAACACTTACCAAGGTCTAACAATCACCAACTCGATCCACACTATGCATCAGCTCATCGAAACCTTCGTGGCAAATAAATGGAAAGACGAAAACACGAGATCAACAATCAGCTGTTTGCTTTTACAACTCACGGTCTGTTTTGCGGTACCATACTAAATCTTTCCTATCAAATTAACAGACGAGACCACTGGGCACCATACACAATGTGACACGGACTACAGTCACGTGGATCGATCTTTCTTTCACAACAGCCGGCCATGAATGAAATAAAATTTTGTTTCGTTTCAAGATTTATCAACACTTCTACATTCCTCCCGCTTCTGTGATTTACTTGCTAAAATCACAACAAAAAGTATTAAGCTCAGATAATTTACGTTACACAGAGTGGAAAATTTCTAGGCGAGCTTGAGTGGACATTATTAAAAATTTTAAAGAATGATGTCTTATGTAAGTAAAAGAAGTGACAAACAACATGTTCAATGATATGGCCACTGAGTGGGGCTAGAACGTCACGGGGGTGTGTAGAGGGCGGGGTGATCCAAACAAACAGAGGGATTTGAATAGAACGAATCGTCACGTGCACGAGCTCGGTGGCGTTACGCGTTGTTTTTGAACAAACATTTCTGGACCTGGCCCTGGCAATTACAACTTGCAAGTAGTTAAAAAAAAAAGGAAAGATGCAATTTCATGCACAAACATCCCCCTTTAATTTAATAAGTTGGGAAACACGTTTGCTATTTTGACAACTCGTTACATACCAAGGAAGGAGATTTGAAATTGAAACTGTTGTTCACGCTAATATTTGTGATAGGATATAATATGGAAATTGAGTGTCTATGGAAAGCCTAATATTGTAACAGCTTTTTTTTTACTTGTGTCAATTTAGCGGACTGTTGGGTTTCAAAAGGGGGGGGGAGACTGACCCCAAAATGGGAGAATTTTAAAGGGATGTCATCCAATTCTGGTTATCTGTTAATATCACAAATGCTTCCTTTGTGATAGGCTTTTAAAACGTAAAAAGAGAGTGCCATGGGGAAGTGAGTCAGGGGAATGGGTCAGCTAGTTGCCCCACAAGCTGCCCCCCCCCCTTGAAAATAAACTCTCTCTAGGCTAATAAAAAAACCTGCCAATATGCAATCCCAGAATAAGCCTGTTACATTCCCACGGGAGCATTTCCAACAAAAGTTTATTAAGAAAGTATAACAAAACACATTTTCCCAGAACCCACTCACCACAGATTTATTCCGACCATCCAGAATATCATAGAGTTATTAGTTGTAACATTTGCAGCTGTTTTTACTTTAAAAAGAAACTAAAAATCTTAACTGTTCTGTGCCCCAACAATAAGCATTGTTCTGCAACATATGTTTACAACCCTCTGGGTGGCCTATGCGGGTAGCAAATTTATTTCTGGACCATTCTCGAGTAGGTCATATTTATAAAAGACCAATAGATAAAAAGTCCACACAATTCCCACATTGACATTGAAATGTAGATAGTGATCGATGCTGCAAATAAAAATCAATGCAGTAATATATTAGGTTTTTTTTATAATAGTGTTTACTGTCCTCTGGAATATCAAATCATGTGACCTTCAGATCATGTGACCTTCAGATCGTGTGACAATTTTGATGATTTTGAAACTCCGGGCTTACGGTCTCCAGCTTGGGCTACACATTATGGCTTCAGAATCATTTAGAAGCTTTAATGCTGAAACCAGCTGAGACAATGCCGCAGTTTCGAAATTCCCCTTTATTTACTGTTGATGTCCTCAGTAAAAGGTCTTTGCACTTGGAACGAATGCTACTTTTAAAAATGTGGGGAAAAAAACAGAAAACAGTGATACGTAAATACAAATTAAAGAAATACCGGTAGTACTTGAAGGGCCTACTGTTATTTTCCAAGTTAAAAGAGAAACTAAAATTCAACAAATCCCTAGATAAAGGTTTAGTTAGTTTGGATTCAATTTCCTTGAACAAGCAATTTAAACTAAACGTTTTTTAAAACAAAGAACTTGGTTTATATTTCATGTATGTGGGTCAAGCATCACTAATTAATATTCCATTTAATTAAATAGTTATAATTTAATTCTTACATAATATTACACTTTGAACTAAATACTTCAATTGTAATTTTTTATTTTATTTTCACATCACCAATATAGACGCTAGAATATTTTATTTAAGCTGCTTTAACATTTAGTTACATAACACACTTGTTTTTTTTTACTTGTTTTTTTTTACATCACCAAATAAAAACCACCATGCCAAACGTACGATAATGCAATTTAAAGTCACTTTGAACCTAAAAACAGTACCTGATAACATTATAAGTCTTACTTTTTTAGGAGCTATATTAGAATGCTAAATCACTTTTTTTCCTGTTACAATTGTTTCTGTGTATTTGTAAAATATGTGTAGAAATAAAACCCTGTTACCTTGACAATGAAATTTACATGTGTTAAGCTCCTTTAAAGAGTAATATGCTTACAGCAATTGCAACACACCTGCTTTTTTAATTCTGTTTCATGCTGGTTAGTGATTTGCAGAAATAAAACATTGCAAAGCTCACCTTTAAATTATTTAAGGATTAGGTTGTGTGTTAAGAATAATTGCTCCGATGTTTTGTGCTGATGGTGGGTGGTTGTCTAGGTAACACCTTGGCACTCAAAAGTTGTACAGCTGGGAGGATGATAAAGCTGAAAAAGACAAACAAAACTAAAACTAAAAGTTTTTTTAAAAAATTAAAAATTATAACAATTACAAATCTTAAAAACGCAATAAGTAACAAACTTTGAGCATAATTACAGTCTCAGTGGCAAATAGAGTCAAACAATATTGTTAAAAAATTAAAAGGTTTTTTTCAAATTTGAACAAAGAAAATGACTGGAATGGGTCTTGAACCTCTAGATATCCATTCTAGTGCTCTACCAACTGAGCTCTCCAGCACTATGTAGGCGGTTCCCTAATTTGTGAATGTATTTGTTCAAGTATACCGTTAGCCAGATGCCATAAACCCATAAACATATTAAAACCGATACTATTATAACGCCATTTGCGTATCCTCTCTCGTATCGTGCAAAGATGCTTCAACTATTTTCGTGTTTTTTTGAGAAAGGAATGTTTTACAATTCGTCTTACCTTTCTCATAATAGTCAAAGCCGGTGATGACTCCATCGTGAGGATCCTTCACAAAGATGTCTCGTCTGGCAAGAAAGTCCACACAGGTTTCCTCATGACCAAGCTGTAAAAGCAAAATGAGATGGATTATGTCACTGAAGATGGCTAGAAGTTCCTGTAGTATGTCAAACCAAGGCCGTTCATGACGCTACAGAACTACCATCATCATTATCATCGTTAAGGAGTCGTCACATCTTGGCCATAATAACCACAATCTTATTGTCGTGACGACCACAACAAATCACCCCTTCACCAAAACCATCAAAGTTACAGGCTTTTAACCACCACCATCACTACCTCCTTGTTATTACCAAAGTCACCACTGTGACCTTATCACAGCAACTACCACGCTCACCTCCTACCATCACATCACAATTATGCCTATCACCACTGTGATCAATATCAGCACAATCACCAAAATCTCACTATACAAAACCTTAATCACTACGTCACCACCTACAATATCACCATCAACCCCGCAGTCATCACCCTTGCCATTACAATAATCACAATCATCAAAACACACCACAAATTACCACCATCATCTACCTACGACCCTTATAATCACAACAACCATGGCATGGGTGGCTTGTGCATAAAGCGCTCGCCTCTCACCACTATGGCCATGGTTCGAATCCCATCTACGGACCATACATGCCATTTGTGAGTAGAATTGTGCGTCAGTCCTCTCCTGTGCCATGAGGGTTTTTCTCCAGGCCCTCTGGTTTTCCTCCCTCTGAAAAAATCAAACACTTTCGATCTGTGGCTGTGCTACATGGTCATGTATGGGTCGATGTGGCTGGCTGCCAGAGGGGCCTTTACATGCCAGCGGCCTGACCACGTTGTAGCCACGTCCTTCCCAATTCAGCTTCTTAGCTGCCAGTAAGGATGATTAGCCTCCCAAACCATCACTCTTATCACCATCTTGACCTCCTCAATTACCTGATCAAAGTAGAAGAAGACATCTTTTCCCTCTTCCTCGATCCTCTTAGGTTTGGCGAGGGCAGCGACCTCAGCATACGGATGGCTTTAGTGTCCGCCTCAAAGCCCGACACCATGCGCACCTGCAGGATGGCCATGTTGGAAAACTCGTCCTTGCCGTTGTACCTACATATGGTTCCCCTATTCCTATGAACAGAGGGAATGAATTGACAATTTTTGTGGAGATGGTCTTTTTTTTTTGGGGGGGGGGTTGATATAGAAAACACAAGCAATAATTGCCCACTTCTGTTCCTTGCTCTATGCGTAAAGGTACAGTCCATCATTTGCAGCTATCCCAAAAGTAATCGACAAAATTATTGTTGAAAAGCAAACTTGGTTTAAAGATAGTAATGGCACTAAACTCCCTGTGAAATTATTCTTTCTGGCATGTTGTCATTTAATTTGAAGAAAACAATAAAAGAAGGTCATTTCCAGAGATGCGTCTGAAGACGCATTTTTTTTAAGTTTCTGTTTGTTTGTTATTAACTTGCCGAAGCCGTGAATGGGTACGCACAAGCATTGACACGACGCACACGCGCGCGGTTGCTATAATTCGTCGGTTCTGTGTGCGACATCGCGTAGCTGCAATCGGCTGAATGTGAATCTGTCCCATCATTGATTTCAGGCGCAATTCAAAACATGACTCAACAACTTTTGAATGACATCAAGATCCCAGAATATTGTTTTCTTGGAATATTGCAGCAGTTACTGAGTTAGATGTTAGGCAGCCTTCTTTAGATTTTGAGCACTTTTGTTGCTTCAAACGAAACAAAATTAATGCACAAATGACAAATGATCCACTCTAACGAGTGACATGCATCTTCTCATTGTCTCCTTACAAAGACACCACAAATGATTACAAAAAGCATTGTTTGCTTGATTCATTGGTTCTATTTGTCCAAGTGGTCAACAAAGGTCCACTTTTGGAGCCGAAAGTGCAAACCTATTTATTCTTTGAATAGATGAAATTTGATGGATTCTGTTTTTTCCAAAGGACGACATTTGGTTTTGTCCCCAAAAGGAATACATCAAACAGGCATGACCTCGTCATACATGTACATCATTTCGGTGAAAACAACAGCCAGACCTATTACGGCTTTGTTAATTTCATTTATAGCCGTAGTTAGAAGTGGAGGCATTTGGACACCAAAGGGCCATTTTGATCTTTAAAAATATAATTTTCACTCAATCAAGATTAATTGACATTTAAGTGCTTTTGGCACTCACTGGGGCTTTCGCGTGAACACTCATCCGTCCAATAAGTGAACTATCACAAGAGCTACAGCATTTATATTCATCATGTTGGTCAATAATACTCTTGGCACTGTACACAGTTAAACAATTACGGCACCTTCTTTGTATTTATTCAATTTTCCTAAATTTGCTAAAAGAGGCACTGTCATCGGTTATGAATGAAACTCATATATTAAGTTGTTCTGACACGTACTGCTTGCCATCAGTATACACAGAGTTGGTACAGCCGACACCAGGCTATTTCAGTCTGTAATTCCACTTGCACAGATGCACATCCCAGCACCCAAGAGCCCACATTTTGAATTGGCAATCACATACACTGCGCAAACATTTGGCATCGCTTCACTGTTATCACAAGATTTGACAGTTGAAAGCTTCTTTTGACATTAAGCGTTGTCTATAACATCCTCAACTTGCTCCAAAAATCTGACAGTCTAGAATCATGCACTGTGTACAAATTTTACTCTGCGGTTTCTTCGTTTGGGTGTGTGGTTCTCTGCTCTGCAATGGATCGACAGAATCTGATGACTGTAGGTGTTCTAAAGGATGGGCCGAGCATGACAAATCTTGCTACAAGATATTCACCGATCGCCAGTATACCTGGTCCCAGGCGAGAGAGATGTTCTCAGAAGGCGGTGGGTGGCTGGCGGAATGTGCCTCTGCGACAGAAACCTGCTTCATTGTGAGCATGGCGAGGGATGCCAACGTCTCTGTGTGGTATGCAGGCAGTGAAGACGGGTGCTCGACGGATCATAATCAGAAGGCTTTGAAACTGGGCTCTGACAACTGCACCATCATGGTTGTCACTGACAGTGGGGTAAGCAGTGAGCTCGAAAGTTGTTCCAGCAACTACAACGCAATCTGCGAGCGCAACGTCCACCAACCCATGGCTTATCTCCACTGCTTTGCTGTGGCGGGCGTCGCGGATGCGGGGAACGGTCCGAACGGCACCGACGGTTTCCCCTGCCTGATGAACCACACCATCATGGAAACCGGCGTGGTCCACCCCTTGCAGTGCTGCAAAGCTTGCTCCAAGGAGCCCGCCTGCCGCTCCTTTAACCTCCTGGAGGATCTTGGGATGCTGAAGTGTCATCTTAACAACGCAACCATATCTCAAGCCAGCAGTGAGGACTTCACCGCACGGCCAGACTGCCAGAACTACGAGTACAACTTTGACATAAAATCCTAAACTGGTATGACTTTGGATTTCTTCTCTTTATTCTCAAAAGATTTTGGATGAGTAACAAACGTTGAAATGGATTTGAACCCAGAACCTCTCAAATAGGGCTCCAGTGACTTGACCAACTGTACGTCGTCTTTATATATTGGATAAGGATTCAGAACATGGCCACATGCCAGCAAATAATTGTGAAACTTGTTGCAAATCGGAAAAAAACCCAGATAATACAGGATGTGCACCTGAGATTTCAAGATCACATTACCCATGCTCTGTCAACAAGAAACTCTGATAAGGTGCGTCATTAATTTTGAGTTCACGCTTGAGGTTGTCTTGGTCGCAGGCATCAAAGGCTCTCTGTATGTACTATAGGGTCTGGTTGACTGATGACTTGATGCTGGGGTGATGAAACGACCGCTGGTGTTGATAGCGGTCGGTGTGGGTTGGTCTCCTATACCCATGGGCGTCGCGAGGGGGGGGGGGGCAAGGGGGGGCACTTCCCCCCCCCCCCTGGAAAAGCAAAAAAAAAAAAAGGAAGAAAAAAAAAAAAAAAAAAAAAAAAGAGGCGCGAAGACAAAGTGGTGTAAATTTAATGAGTTGGGGGGGGGGCAAAATGTCCCTGCCCCCCTCTAAATCTGATAAATCGAGAATTTGTTAAGAAATACAAGCATTTTTTGGCAAAAAAAATTTTGGCCCCCCTCTAGAAAAAATCCTGGCGACGCCCATGCCTATACCCTACGTCCTCCCTCTACTGAGACTGCAACCCTATACTGTTCCACTTCAGTGGGCATCAAGCTTGCTCTAGGATCCCAGCTACTTGGCATCCACACAGGATGCAACTTCACACTTCATCGATTTCGCTTTGCTACTTAAATATTTACTTTCTTGACACGCTCCTGAAGACAGTCAGAGCATACTAATCGGAACCATTCTCTTAGATGAAAAATTATTCGCACATGGTGTTTCTTCAAACCTTTCATTTTTTGGTACACTTTTTGCTAAATCCGCATATTATATAAAAAAAAATTGATAACGTGGCGGATCCATCTCATTCAGCTGAAACCAAAATAGAGTACAGACGGGCCACCACTCTTTTAAGATGTCATTGTCGGCAATTTGACTGCTTCTCCTACACTGGTTGGTACACTTTGTCTCAATGTTAGGCATAATGTAAACCGCAAAATACTATTTTTTAGTACGAATTTTCCCAGGACAAGTATCACGTGATTCAAGCTGCCCTAGACTAGCCTCCAGTCCTCAATAACTGACCATCAAACATAATACTGACGTGTTGTATTTGGTACACTTTTTGCAAAAATCATTAATTCTTTATTATAAGAACAAAGGTGAATTTGGCGGTGAAAGCCCATTTTGCAATGCCATTGATCACGTGACGGATCCATCTCATACAGCTGAAACCAAAATAGAGTGCAGACGGGCCACCACTCTTTAAGATGTCATCGGCGATTCGACTGCTCCTACACTGCTTGGTAGGCCTACACTTTGTCTGAAAGTTTAATAGGCATAATGTCGTACAACTGCAAAATGATATTTTAGTACGAATTTTCCCAGGACGAGTATCGCGTGATTCATAGCTGCCCTAGATCTGAAACCAAAATAATTTAACTGAAGTCTGTAGTCCTCAATAAATGACCATCAAACATAATTCTGACCAGTTGTATAAGTTTTTGGTACACTTTTTGCTTAAAAATCCGCATTAAATATTGCGATGAAAGCCCATTTTGTATTTACCATTGATCACGTGACAGATGCATTGTATACAGCTGAAACCAAAATAGAGTACAGGTGGGCCACCTCTCTATAAGATGTCATCGGCGATTCGACTGCTCCTCCTACACTGCTTGGTACACTTTGTCTCGAAATTTACCTTATAGAGTTTAATGTTGTAAGCCTACAACCGCAAAATGCTATTTTAGTACGAATTTTCCCAGGACGAGTATCACGTGATTCATAGCTGCCCTAGATCTGAAACCAATATAATTTATAGGAAGCCTCTAGTCCTCAATAACTGACCATCAAACATAATACTGACGTCCTTCATTTTAAATTTTAGGTGCACCCCTTGATGAAATCCGCATTAAACAGTCATACGGTTAATGAAGGGCGATTTCTAAAGGTTACGTAACACTTCATTTTGAATGAAACTACATCAGTACATGTGCACACACATGTTGGCGTTGGCAGGCTAAATCTTTGAAAATTAATTTCTCCCGTTTGGAAGACCTCTTCTTCATACAACTTTCAGGGTTTACTTTCCTCATAATGGTCCAAGTATGTGCTAAAAATCGTTGTGATGTGTTCATTACTTTCGTTGAAATTGGAAAAATAGTCCTGGCTACGTGCATCATTGAAAGTTGTAACAATGACGTTTGCAATAGCTGTCAGTCTTTTCAAGCCTCACGAATATTAATACGGTTCCTATCCATTATGGTATGCAGTAAAAATTTTGAGAAAAGCCTTTTCCACAAGTTATTAATTTATAAATATGAACCTTTTTGCCGGCTTCCATTGGTCGATACCGAGACCCACGCAAAAACACGCCGAGTGACGCTAATGAATATGCTAATCTACAATACGATATTGTGTGGCTTGGCCGAAATCATCGTTGAAATTTTCCATGGAGATCGTTCAAATTGTAGCACTAGCGTTTGCAACAACATATTAAGCTAAAATTCGGAATATACTTAGATGATAATTATAAGTGTTCAACTGCTAGTGAAATAACAATTTTGAGAAATTCCTAGAATTGAGATTTGGGGAAGTTTTCGAACGATTTCTTCCAGACTTGAAGGTCAGCTATACCAGTAACCAGTATTGACGTTTCGGCATCGATGACGGCGATTTTTTTTGTCACTGACATGAAGCTAAGAATTTCTTCTTCCAAGTCTTCCAGCTATCTAACTTAAACAAAGCGCGGTGGAACGTAAAACTCCGCCTGCTCGCTACGCCCTTTGCATAGTTTAAAAAGTAGCGGGCAAAATTCTTGGTGGCGCGCGCTGTGCTAAAAAAAAGTTTAGTTGGCCGCAAGAGGGCGCTAGGCAAAAAGCATGTTCGCAATGACTGCTGACATGTGTGGAATGACAAACACGGAGTTTACAAAGGTTGTGAGATGAATGCTGGAGTAGGGAACCTGTCGGGTAAAAGTAAGTACTGAAACCAAACCGGAGCAACTATAGAATGCAGGGCCACGCCGGAGCAAGGTTTTTTATTTTGCTTGGAGGCGTGGATGGATAGGAGTATACTAATACTAATAGATATGCAAACCTGCAAAAAGTGCTAAGTATTGTTGATGTACCCTAACGTGGCGCGGCCCCTAACGTGGCGCACTTTTATTTTTCGCCTGTAGCGCCTAGCTAGAGCAAAGGTTTTAACTGAAATTTCACAGAAAGTGAAATTTCATCAAGTTCTAAACACTCCCGTTCATAAATCGCGAGTTTATTTAGCCGTTACAAAGTTAAAAGAAAAAATTATTTTGGCGTGATTTTCCGATTTTATTTTCAAGTGCAAAGTGAACCCTTTGAAAATGCCCCGAAAAATAAAAAAATAATTTTCTGACAAACATCTGGCTGGGTTTGTAAGTAAATATAATAATGATTTATCAGAATTTATCAAGTTTACAGAAATTCTTCAATGTTAATTTGGAATTTTCTGAGATCTATTCAAGTGCGCCACGTTAGGGAACACTCCGCCAATTTGTGCCCAATTTCCGGACGCGACCATTTTTGCATTTCGGATTAAATTTTATGAAACCGAAATTTTTCACAGAGGTAAAATAGCAAGTATTAAAAAGGTAAAAGTACCAGTATTTCACTGCATGAATTTGAGGTTTATCAACAAAGAGGTTTGGCAACACTACACGAGGAAAGTTGGGTAAGCTCGAAGTGCGCCACGTTAGGGAACACGACTATACAGCGAATGCACTTGTCTTCTAAGCTTCTCATGAAGGATCGGAAGGGAGGGCGTGCTTGTAAATGTGTTGGGGGCACGGTACGGATCGGAGGCGCAGAGTCGCGGAGTCGCGGAGACGCGGGGCACTGGAGTGGCGGAGGCGCGGAGTCGCGGAGTCGCAGAGACTCGCGCCGATAGAGGGCGCAATTCTCGGCGGAATTTTTTTGAGAACGAAGCATCCATATCCATTTTAAATGGGCTCGCAAATTAGGAAGGGAGGAGGGCGACGGGGCACTGTCTGGAGTGGCGGAGGCGGGGAGTCGCAGAGTCGTGGAGACGCGGGACACTGGAGTGGCGGAGGCGCGGAGTCGCAGAGTCGCAGAGTCCATTTTAAATGAGGTCGCAAATTAGGAAGGGAGGAGGGCGACGGGGCACTGTCTGGAGTGGCGGAGGCGCGGAGTCGTGGAGTCGCAGAGACGCGCACCGATAGAGGGCGCAATTCTCGGAGATATCGACTGCGGCTCCACGGTACGACTCCACGAACGATTTTCGGAGGTAGGTCGGCTCCACGCCTCCACGCAGCCGTACGGAGGCGCGGATGTAGAGTAAAGTGGCCCTGCATTCTATAGTTGTACCGCCAAACCTAACCTGGTTACAATAGGGCTGAATTAGGAGTAGCCCCATAAATGTGGCCTATTTACTGGACTGCCTCAGTAAACATAGGCCACACATCCACATGTACAAAAACGTGTCGCATTTTGCCAAATTTTGATTTTCGCATTTAGGCTTAGTTTGTAGGGTTTTTTTGCTTTAGAAGCATACTCACCCTCTTTATAGGCTAATCAGAAAGTGCTGCCTTTTTCAGATGTATATTTTTCGTGAAATTTCCAGATTCATTTTTACACGTTTGCGTATCAAAATTTCAACATGAAATTTCACAAAAATTCGACATCTGAAAAAGGCAGCACTTTCTGATTAGCCTATAAAGAGGGTGAGTATGCTTCTAAAGCAAAAAAACCCTTCAAACTAAGCCTAAATGTGAAAATCAAAATTTGGCAAAGTGCGATACGTTTTTGTACACGTGGATGTGTGGCCTATGTTTACGGAGGCAGTCCAGTAAATAGGCCACATTTATGGGGCTAAATTAGGAGCAACTATAGAATGCAGGGCCACGCCGGTAAAGTTTTTTTTTTCTTGTAGTTGGATGCGATTGGCACAATTGCACATTTGCAGAATACCCCGCCACTCACCTCCCACCTCGTATCTGCATACGCGGATACGGAGTCACGCTTGGATGCTCAACCAAAACCACACGCGTGCACGTCCGCTAAAGTCCACCCCGTATCCGCGTATCCACTTCCCGGCCTTTTTTAATTATAATTCAAAGACATTTTAAGAAGATGATCAGTTTTAAGTTATATGAGTATGAGCAAACAACAAAAAGAAAAAAAAACAACGAGACCAATTCGTCATTCTTGTTTCATAAATTTATGCATGTAAATTGTTATTATATAGGCCTACAAATGTTCTCAATTATGGTGAACTTTTTTTATGCGTGGAGTGTCTGATTTACTGCTACGGCTGTAGGAGCAGTGGAAATCATGCTAATCAGCATATTTGATTTTTATTTCAATGAAATAATATTTGCCCTTTTTTAATTGCTGTGTGATCCTCAAACCCACAACCAGTGCAGAAATCTGGCAGCTTGCTGACAAGTGTCGGCTGGCTGGTATGGTGGTGAAATTGTTATGTCCCCGGGGCCAACTATAGCATCGCCCCAACTATAGTTGGGACGCCCCAACCATAGCTTAGACTAACCCAAATTATTGTTTGATTTATCCCAACTGTAGTTGGGGCCATGCTATAGTTAGGACGCGACTAAGGTCGAGTCGATAAGCAGAAGTTGATATTAAACTTAATAATATACATCTCCCTTGCGTAGAAAAAATTATCACAAAATCTACTGATTTCTTTTTGCAGGCTGAAGTCCCATTCTTTGCTGGCTTCTAGTCCGTGTTCCATTCCCATTCCAGAGGCAAGATGGATGATAATGATGAAGACGTCATGCCAGAAGACATGTACAGGGATGAGTCAGGATTCGTTGTGACTCCCTTGGTACACGTCGGCGACTTCTTGACGGAGTGCGAGCAAGTTGTGGGATCAGAAGAGCTCATGCTGCCTGAGAAGATTCAGAAGTCCACCGGGGAGATGGCAGAGATGATGGAGACAACGGCAGAGGTGGTTGAGGAACTGGAGAAAGTCTGTAGGTCAGTCATTCCCACTGAGACTGTCGACTGTACTGATACCTTGCTGACTTGACTCGCTCTGAGCCTGACTTTACCTACTTGTTTATCCAAGAAAATCCTCAAGTATAACCCTAACCCTCCAGTAAATTTTGTTTAGAAACCCTGCCCATCATGCAACACTTGTCAAAGTGAGAAGCCTGCCCACAAGACCCATCACGTCTAAATTTTCACGGCCACACTGCCTCAGAATCTGTGGTTGCCAACTGCAACACCGGGGGCGTTGCTCAACATGTTCAATGGTACTAGCTCCCACCATCTCAAATTTGGCCATGTGTTTTACTTTATATGTTGATCGCCCAATGCTTCTTGGTCCGCACTCAAGAGTTTTACACCTGTTGCTCTGTGTTGCATCTGGAAGGGTTAGGGAAAGCACTTACCCTGCCAGATGCAAAACACTGCATCAGGTGTAATTGCCTGTGGGACCTTGCTGCACTGAACCACCAACACCAGTGCATAAACGGCCAATTCTGAAACAAAGCTAGTCCCATTGAACAATGCCACAGTTGTATCCTGCAGCAATTGGTGACCACAGACTCCGGGGCACTTTAGCCTGTAGAGATTTTTGATCTGATGGATCTTGCTACACTGAGCAGGCTTGTCATTAAGACAAGTGTTTCATGTTGCTGCATTTAGCAGGGTTTCAAGCCAGAATACTGAGAACACCCTGGAGGGTTAGGGTTAGGGTTAGGGAGGCTAGAACTTTAAGACTGTTCTGTACAAGGACATGATGAAGTGAACAAAAGTTCTGTATGCTTTTGAACTTTTTTTCCGTAACTAGATGACAATTTTTTTTTCTTTGTTGAACAGTCCTGAAATGCTGCACTCTCCAGCTGAGGATGATCATCCACTTGACATAGGGTGCTCTTTAGGCACATCGAAAGGCATACCGGAAGGAGCAGAACACCTAAAAACATTACAGTAAGCAGCCACTTTATAGACTGGGGTAACCATCCAAGAATATGTGACCTAGCTGTCACCAGGAAGTGATCCTGAAGTCACATATTGCCACGTTACAGCACAGAGAGAAAAGCCAAAATAATAGGGGTTTTAAATTGGTTAGGCCCAAAAAAAAGTTTTACTTCCGAATACATGGCATTTGAAAATAGGGTAGGTAGGTAGGGAAATAATTTTCTTCCAAATTTTTTTTTGTACGATCATATGGAGGCATCTGCAAGGGTAAAAGGTAGACATTGATGGTTTTGGGTGTTTTTACAAACCTCAACCTCAACACTTGCAATCACTTTCAAATTTGATAAGTGTTTGAGATGAACTTATCTGAATAATTTTGGTTGTTCCCCAGGTTACGACACAAAAAATACGGAAAGATGGACAAGCGATATAGAAAGACCGACGTTTCTCGCGTAAGTGAGACAACAATTATTAAAAGATTATTAAGACAACTGTCTTGCGGGTCAAGTAAACAAATGAAACAAACAAGTAAACAAACGAAAATAAAATGGATTCCAAGCAATTCATAGGTACCAGACCTATTCCCTGACCTAAGACTGGGGGAGGGGGTTCGCCAAACCTAAAAGTAGAATGGTTCACATTAAATCCAGAGTCCATCATTTGCAGCTATCAAAAAAATAACTGGCGTAATTATTTTTGAAAAACATAGTAAGGGGACTAAACTCCCTGTGAAATTATTCCTTCTGGCAAGCTGTCATTTTAAAGAAATCAACAAAAGAAGGCCTTTCCAACGGTGAGCACTTCTTAAGAAGCACCGTAGGAAATTCAAATTAGTATTTCGTTTTGTTATTCGGCGAAGCACGCGCAAGCATTGGCATGAAGCACACGCGTGTGTGCAGTTGCTATAATTCGTCAGATCAGTGCGCGACATCGCGTAGCTGCAATCGGCTCAGTGAGAATGTGTATCGGACGCTAAATTCAGGCCAAATTCAAAACATGATTCAGCAACTTTTGATTTGAAATCGAGATCCTAGAATGTTGTTTTTCTCAAAATATACAGCTAAAGCTGAGCTGAAACTTCATCAGGTTAGTTGTTCAGTACCCTTCTTTAGATCTTGAGCACTTTTGTTGCTTCAAACGAACAAAATGCACAAATTACAAATGATGGACTATACCTTTAAAGTCCCTGTCGTGTACAGTGGGGTGCGTATGTGAGCTGCATTTACTGACTGAATCAAAAGGATATTCACTGCGTATGTATAATGCATCATACTGGCATGTTGTGTACATCATGTGTTCTGGTTGTCGATCTTAAGCAAAACGATGTCAACTTTTTCCCCATCCTGTGCCATCAGCTGCTGTAGTTTCTGCATTGTGATTCAGGCGTTTTACTTCATTCATTTATTTATTTCTTATTTTAACTGGTACAGCCCATTCAGTGGAATGCACTGGTCTCCATGGGGCCCAGTAAAGAGAAGACAGTGTGAAGAAAGTACAGTTTGAGAGGAAACCACAGAATAATCCGAGGAAAACCCACGGAATCAAGTAGGGACTGAAAACCTAATCCACATATTGGCCCAGGCAGGAATCGAACCTGGGTCACAGCGGTGGAAGGCGAGGAAAGTACTGCTACGCCAACCTGACTCCCCTTAGTCCCCTAGAGAAACGTTAGTCCTTGAGTAAAACACACACACAAAAAACATGACACTTATTATGAACCCCCTAACTTGTTTTCTTTAAATGCTGCCGATCTTATCGGTTTTTGTGTGTGTGTAAAGGATTGCTTCAATGCCGCCATTGATGATGAGGAAGAAATCTGTGTCAAAAAGCCCACGGCCGTCCTCTCTGTCACATTTTTCAGAGCTTCACAAGCGATTCATGTAGGTATAGCCTCGAAACATTCTCCATTCATGTCATTATCTTACTTAAATACTCCTTTTTAAGTGTTCAGTCAGTAGGTAGTCATGTAGGTAGCCTCAAAACATTCTCCATTCATGTCATGATCTTACTTAAATACTCCTTTTTAAGTGTCCAGTCAGTGATTTTTTGTTTTGTTGTGGAGGCTACAATGTTTATGCATATTTCAGTTGCTGTAAGATTATGGGTAACTTTCAGTGATGTTTGCCTTTTTTCCTTTGTTGAATACACTCTTGGGCTACAAAGTTTTTTTTAAATGTTAATAACATTTAAATGTTTCAAACAGAGTTAGATTTCACAAAGGAGTGTTTTCAAAAGTAATGACAGTTGTCTTTTGACCCTAATTACCCCCCCCCCCCAACCCTTCAAAATCCAACTGCAGGGTTTGTTGGAGTGAGTACTGCACTAGTAAGGACTATGCTTTACATGGGGTCAGGCATACCACCACAATCAGAGTCCAACAGTTTGGGTGTTGAGTTAGCATATGGTGTTGGAACTTGCAAGAGTGAGGAAGGTTCCTAGTAAATCACTCAAGGGGGTTAGGGTTAATGTGACTCTGATCCATCTGGAGTTTTCAGGAAGAAACTGTTTCATCCCTCCGTCCCTCTCTCCTCACAGCAATCGAATGTTTACAGGCCCCATTTCGTCGACCGAGCGATCCTTGTGATGGCCGACCAGAAACTCACGGCTCTGCGGGACAAGATCATCTGTGCAGCGGACCTGTGCGTGGCATCGGGGGAGTACAGCCAGGTCCCCGACGCTCCCCAGGAACCCAAGCAGCAAGACCTCTACAAGTCCTCCTACTTTGTGATCGAAGACACCTTCTACAATGACCACCGTGACCCTCTCAGCCGAGATTTGAGCAAGTAGGTCACCGGTCAACTTTTCGTTAAGACAAGATAGGTTTGCGGTAGCGCCATGTGAATAAATCTCTTTTGTGAGTATGTGTGGTTCTAAAAGAACTGGAGGGACTCAACGTTTCGAACAGTATGCTCTGCCCGGTGTCAGGAGAATGTTATGTTATAAGGATGGGTGCAGTGAGGCTTGAGAAGGATGCAAACTGGTGAAGCTCGAAACAGGTGAAGCTGAGAAGGATGCAAGTTGACTGAGGGATGCTGGATGATTATTCTTTTCATTCACAATCGCTGCTTGTATATTTGACTTCACAATACCATGTCATAAATATAATTAGTAGCGTCTCGACAAATTTGAGGACTGCCATTTGATAAAGGGCTTGATAGTTCAGTTGGTAGAGCACAAGTATGGTATTCTGGAGGTATTCTGTTCAAATCCTGGTTCTGTCAATTGCTTTGTTAAAATTGGGTAAAATGAAATGTGGAGACAAAGAAATTCAGGTGTCGGCTTTTGTTATGTAGATTTTTTATCAATTCCCCCCCCCCCCCCCAGGGTTGTCCTAGACTGGATGAAACCCAAGAAGACAATGCAGTCCAAGTCTATGGATGACTTCACATTTAATGACCTCGACATCCGTCTTGGCTATCCCTACCTGTACAACCATCTCGGGAACTGTCAACACATCATGGTGTTTACCGATCTCAGGTAGCGACCAGTATTTGAAATTGTGAAGTAATGTTAGTCTGATTCTGCTCAATTTCAAAGTCTTGCAGAAATGCATTTTGTGTTTTGAGATACCATCATCGTTAATTACAGACAGTCACAAATTTCTTCCACCTACCCTGCCACGCAGTTGTATACTGGTTAGTAAAAAAACGATCACATTCATGTAAACACTGCAACTAGTCCAATTCAATCAACAGACAAAAGAGGTAACTGGTAGGAAGAGCTGGCATATCGTTGAAATGCACATCAATTAACCGGGGGGAAGGGGGGGGAGGGGGCTATGTGAACCTTTCATGGGTAAAAAAAAATGCATGCCAATTATAACCTTTGCATGGCAGAAAAAGTGAAGTGTGATGGCCTAGCGGTTAAGAACACCGGACTCACGTTCTGGTGTTTCAGAGGCAACAGTGACGTGGGTTCGAGCCCGCCAGCGGACACTTGTGGTCTTAAGCAAGGCACTTAACCATTATTGCTTCGTCCTTCGGATGGGACGTTAAGCCGGAGGTCCCGTGTGTTGTATAAATGCACGTAAAAGAACCCAGTAAACACTTATCGCTAAGAGAAGGGGTTTGCCCCGGTGTTTCTGGCCTCCTGTATAAACTCCCACGTGGAGTATGTAGGAGAAGAACCAACCAAGAACCAAGAACCAAAAGAAATCTTAAAGAGGCCAACATTCGATAGAAAGTTGCTTTTCCTTTTTGTTTTCAGGTTACTGACCAACACTGACTGTCAAGATCCCAGTATGTACCCAGTACTGATTCACAAACCAGGCTGGAAACGTGTCATCTGTACCTGCTGTAATATTTATACTTCCAAGTGAGTATGTTAAACAACTTAAAGATATAGTCCATCATTTGTAATTTGTGCATTTTGTTCGCTTGAAGCAACAAAAGTGCTCAAAATCTAAAGAAGGGTACTGAACAACTAACCTGATGAAGTTTCAGCTCAGCTTCAGCTGTATATTCCGAGAAAAACAGCATTCTAGGATCTCAATTTCAAAATCAAAAGTTGCTGTATCATGTTTTGAATTGGGCCTGAATTCAGCGTCCGAGACACGTTCTCTCTGAGCCGATTGCAGCTACGCGATGTCGCGCACTGATCCAACAAATTATAGCAACCGCGCGTGCGTGTGCGTCATGCCAATGCTTGCGCGCGCTTTGCCGAATAACAAAACGAACTACTAATTTAAATTTCCTACGGTGCGTCTTAAGAAGCACCGTTGGAAAGGCCTTCTTTCGTTGACTACTTCTAAATGACAGCTTGCCAGAAAGAATAATTTCACAGGGAGTTTAGTCCCCTTACTATCTTTCAACCAAGTATGTTTTTCAACAATAATTACGCCAGTTACTTTTCGGATAGCTGCAAATGATGGACCATAGCTTTAAGACACTGTCTTAGTAAATGTCTCAATCCTGTGAAGGCCTAGAGTGAAATCGAGAGATCAGGAACCAGTCTACTTCACTCTCACTTTTAGGCTAAGCCAAGCCTACCACGGTACCCCGCAATTCACAAATCTAAAGTGGTGAGTGGGATAGTGAACCAGCTAAATTTTGTTGCAATCCGCTTTGCCTACATGGTTTTAGTTACAGGGCGAGTCCAGAAAAGCGGAACCCAACCCCCAACAAGTTTATTTTATATTTAAAAAAAAAAATGTAGCACCCCAAAAAAAAATAATAACTGGAAAGCCAATTTCATAAGGTACTTTTAGATGAAAACATGACTGAAATTGGTCAATCCATTCAGAAAATATCACCATTTAAACACAATGACCCTATAAAACCTGTCTCGTCCAAAAACATGCAATTTAAAAAATAGCTGTCCTAATTGTCTTCAAACATCACAGTTTATAAAATATCAGTTGAAACGTTAAAAACGTTCAACAGAATCCGTTTGAAGGCCTGTCCTTTAAAAAAAGTAGATTTTATAAATTGTATTGTTAGCCTAACCAGGGTTGTTAATAAAGATATTGTGTACTACAGTTGGTGACAGTTGTTGAAACAAGTATTCTGTGTCATTTTCTTTGTTGTTCCAAACAGACAAAACACACAATGAATTGCTTTTTTTTTTGGACGAGACAGGTTTTAGGGTCATCGTGTTTAAATAGTGATATTATTTGAACGGATTGAGCAATTTCAGTCATTTTTTTATCTAAAAGTAGCTTATGAAATTGGCTTTCCAGTCATTATTATTTTTGGTGCTACATGTACATATTTTTTTAAATATGAAATATATTTTATGGGGTTTGGGTTGAGTTCCCTTGTTTTACTCACCCTGTACACATATTTACTTGTTACACAGAGCAGTGATTTGTTACATATAACATTTAACTTACATTTCCTCTCTTTTGTGTTGGCCAGGTGGAAAACATACGCAGACAGCTTCTCCAACGTGGATCCGAGCTTCTACTGCGAGAAGTGCTTCAAGATGCTCCACTATGACAAGCACGACAACAAATTGGGTTCCTTCACTGCCTACCCCTTTGTAGACCCTGGGATATTCAGCTAACCAGAGTTGGTTGACCAATACAGTGGGCAGGACAAAGAAGAGGCGATGAGTTTTTGTGCAGGAATCATTGTGTTGCCTATTCAGGATAGCGAAGTGCATGAGGACAATGTTGTTCTCTTGTGTACCTGTGATGTGGTTAACATCAACTTCAGGACATATGCTGCAGTGTGCAAAACCAATTTTTCAAATCTGCAGCTCATATATACTGCGCTCACAGACAGAAATATGCAAACATTGTGAGTAGCTTACCACATGATCAGTGCACATTGATACGTTCTGTGGATGCATGTCATTTGCATGCCGAACTGTTAGCCCTAGGTCAGCAGTAAGACAATAACCTGTCGAAGGAGAGCTGAAGGAAACTAGCCTTCAGCAGGATGGGCTGAAAAAACGAAGCCAGTCACATCGCAAAAACCATGAGTGTATTCATTTCATGGTAACCAATGCAAGCAGTGGAACCAAACTTGACAACTCAGTGTTGTAGTCAAGTACATTTTAATGAGCACGAGTACTTCGCCTTAAGTATAAGAACAATGATATTTTTTTCTTCACGAGTGGGAGTAAATTTCCATGAAGTATGGATATGAGTACTTTCCATGGGTTCAAACATTTCGATGTTTTCATTGGCTTTTTGTTGTCAAAGTAGGCATTAAACGAATGAAAAAGCCTCCCAAACGGTAAAAACTGGTTCTTTTCTTGAATGTACCTCTTAACCCTTTCATTACCACATTGTTTTTCACGGCCAAGCAGTGATTAAAATCATAGGTGGTGTGTGTAAAGTTTGTTCCTTGAACCTTACTCTTTTATGTGATGTCAAAATGAAGTCCATACGTGCAAATATAAGAATGTTATGCCTTTTTGTCCATCTTGTCCCATTTATCAAACTGCAAGCCATTTCACCACATGACCGAATGGCACTCCATACCTCAAATTGTGCGTGGATACTTCTGAAGCACTTTTCTCATTTTTTTTGTAATGGTAACACTAAAGTCGCCCATGGGAATCAGCAGGGGGTAGTTCTTGTTGACAAAAGTCGCCCATGGTAAGGAAAGGGTTAAAAGAGGTATAAAATTCTAGTGGAAGAATATTTTCATGATTGCAAGTACATTGTAGTATACTTCTTGCGAGTATGAGTACAAGTACATTCTCATGGGCAATTCTACGGTTACTCGCGTTACGAAAATGTAACATGAGTAACCGATTTTGTGCATCTTGTTTATCTTACATAACACATTTTTCTGGATGTCATCTTTGGTGCTTAGGTAGGTCTAGGTCTACTCTATCTACCATGGAGATAACAGTTATTAAACCTTTTCAGTATGGTAATTACAGCCCAAGAAAACTCAAAAAGTACATCAAAAATGTAACGTGAGTAACCGTGGAATTGCCCATTATGCATCCCAGTTCGAAAAAAAATCTACTTGGGTAGGAGTACGAGTACCACAACACTTCGTTGGAATACAACCAGCCTGGATGTACTCAAACCTCTATTTCATCTAGAGAGCAGCTATTTCATTTGTTTGTATTATAAACTGTGCCATTTTGTATTTGTTTCTTCTGTACAGAATATATATGATTAAAACAAAAGGAAACATTCCTTCATGTTTGTTAGCTTTGGGTTTTATTTCAAACCTACAATGTAGTTGTATTTACATACTTAATTATTGGATGTGGTCGCGTGAAGCAACACTTTTTTCAAAAAAAACAATGGTTTGGTTTTGGCTACAAGTATTAAACTGTCAACAAATGTTAATTTATACAAAGAACACGATGAATTCATAATTTAGACTGGAGTTTTGATTTCATCTCTTCCCCTGGGACCAGTCCATGTGCATCACAAACGGCCCTCAAATTACGTTAACAATTAACGTCTTACACCACCAGAGAACACTTAAATAAGGCCAAGTAAAGCGAGAATAGTTACTTGTTCAAGTTTTTTATAAAGGGAGGAGTTGCCCCCCCCCCCCTTTTTTTTTATCCACGATGGTGGATTTTCCAAGATGGATTCTTCCTTTTTCTCGTCTCTTTTGCCGAGACATTTGGGTCCAAAGGAGCCACCCCCAATTCTACCACTTCTAAACTTGCATTCATAAAAAAGGGATGTGACAGGGGGAAAAAGGAAGCGGGCGGGGACGAGAAATTAGTTTATTGTTTTACTTGGCCTGCGAGTCAATATAAATGTACTGCTGTTTCATGAGTTGGACAAATTAAATATCTGTAGTAATAAAAATAATAATGTGTATTTATAAAGCGCACGTATCCACCAGTATTGGTGCTCAAGGCGCTACATCACTATTACCCTGCTCATTGGGCCAACGAAACATTCCAAAAACCGTATCAGCTCTCTGGGGAGTATACAGCTTGATGCTGCCATTTCGGCGCAAAGCAGCTAAATTCACTCACAACCTGTGGATTTTGCAAACCTTCAAAAACACTGGGTATGGCCGGAGGAAGAAGTCAATTATGCCACTTGGTAGCTTTACAAGACCATCTGCAGTGTTTATCCATTTTTAATGTCAAACATGGAAAGCGAAAGAGGACATCAAAGGAAAGGTTGCATGTGCACAAACAAAATAATAAGCCTCTGTACTGATGACGTCACCCTTTGATTACATGTGCACCTTCCTGTGGAGCCAGTGGGGGCCCACGGTCCACTCAGCACCATAGGAAAGCACACACGTCAACAAAGTGTGACGTTATATTTAAAGGTAACTGAAGCATTATGACTTTCAACAACATTGCTTGCAAACTTTCAATATAAAGTTGTGGTTAACTTAATTTCACAATTTTGTTTCTATGAAATGCAAGAAAAATATGTAACAAAGAAATCAAATCCACAAGGAGACATATGCTGAAGATAACCAACAGATACAGACTTCTACCAATTGAGTGCATACTTCCACATTTTTGCCACCCTACAAAAAATGCACTATTTGTACACACCGACAACTGCGTTTTGCACAATGCGCAAAAAAAGCAACTGGTATATGTACGTCAATGATATGTTGGGGCATCGTTAAAAAGTTACTTCAAAAAGGTAGTAGAAAAATATCTTTGGGCAAAGATCGTTTGTGAAAGCGGTTTAAGTATAACATGGGTCTATGATGCCATTGTATCAAAACAAAGGGGGATATTTCTACTGCAGTTATTCAGTTTGTTTGGATATACAACTTTAAAAATCTACAAACTGTACAAATGAGGGGATTGAAAAAGCCATGATTTCCCCATTTCCACTGCGACAGACGGCACACAATTAACTTCATTTTGGAAATATTCTGGAGATGGGTATTCGTAACGATCCTTTACAAAAAAAAGAGCACACCATACCTACACCATATTAGATAATTCTGCCACAGCAGTGTAGAGTACTACAGCTAATTAATCCACTACGCAATCTTTTTTGTCAAGTCTGGGTCAAAGTCCATGGCCAAAATATAATTTTTAAAAAAACCTGAGTGATTTTTCAAAAATACAGATGGATGTTATTTTATAAGGTTTGCCATGACATCGCCCTGTAAACGTTTCCCATAATTTCACTGATGTGTATGAAATATGTCCTTACCCATTAGCACATGGGCTACACTGTATTACATTGTGTTTAAACCATTGTTAAAAGTGTGGATTCGGAACTTCGAATCTGTTACGCTTGTCACAAAGTGTGGATTCGGAACTTCGAATCTGTTATGCTGGTCACAAAGTGTGGATTCGGAACTTCGAATCTGTTATGCTGGTCACAAAGTGTGGATTCGGAACTTTGAATCTGTTACGCGGGTCACAAAGTGTGGATTCGGAACGAAGAATCTTTAGTAAAGTGTGGATTCGGAATTACGAATCCACACTTTGAACACGTCGGACAATTGTTCTCCATAACGAGCATTAATAGGACCGTATGCGTGGAAATTTCCTTCCGAAATTACTAATGCATCTTCCCTGTCAGATTCTCCGCCGTCACTGCAAAACCCACTTCGAGTCAGAAAGAAATCATCGTCTGAACTATCCACATGCCGACGGAAGGAGCCAAGAAAAATGTTGCAACCTGACGCCACTTTTTTCTTCATATATCATCTCAATGAAGGTCATTCATTGCAAAAATGATGATCAGACATGAATCTGGGACTGAGAAATATTTCCAATGTTGTTAGGAAAAACTTGGAAAATTTTCTTGACTCTCCATAGACTTAGTACACAATCGCGGAAGTGGCGTCAGGTTGCAACATTTTTCCCAAGTCTTTTCATCTCCACTCACTGTTAATGCCAATACTTCTTTTGACGCAATGGTTTAAGTCGAAGAATACACTCGCAAGTGTGAATTCTTAATTTACGAATTCACTCTCACTCGGCGCTAATTACAAATCCACACTTCCTCGTGTATTCTCCTTAACTTATTCACTTGATGAATTTATAAACTTTACAAGTGCTAGGGTGCATTTAGGCGTTACGGGAAGAAGTAGGCAGGGCTGTTTTGAGGCGATACAGTGACTAGTGGGTTAAAGCTCAAGCAAAAACATGTACAGCTACACCGTTGCAGCAATCAAGAGGCTTCAGAGAGCTTTGCGGTGGTACTCGGGCGGCGCCGTCTCGTAATCCCCAGCACTGAAGAGGCTGGAGGAGTTCTTGTGCAGGTATTTCATGAAGTCTTGCAGGTGGGTCAGCAGGAGCTGGACACTCTTCTCATCAAGAGGGGTGTAGGCCAACAGGCTGCCCAGCTTCACTGCAATGGAGGAAAACAATGTGTGGCTTTAGACAATGGTGTAGGCGCTCCATGTACATGAATAGTAATAACATTTCAGATGACATTGTTGATTTTATGGCACTTCCCTCATGGCCATGGCCTAGCGTTTAAGAGCACCGGACTCATGCTCTGGTGTTTCAGAGGCAACAGTGGCGTGGGTTCGAGCCCGGGCCTGGACACTTGTGCCCTTGAGCAAGGCACTTAACCATTATTGCTTCATCCTTCGGATGGGACGTTAAGCCGGAGGTCCCGTGTGTTGTATAAGGCCTAACGCACGTAAAAGAACCCAGTAACACTTATCACTAAGAGAAGGGGTTTGCCCCGGTGTTTCTGGCCTAGTTATACTCCCTTGTGGAAGTCCTTAGGAGAAGAACCAACCAAGTACCTCATAGTCAGTGATGCTTCAGTGGTAAATGGCGATATTTGGGCACACTTCTAATATAAACCAGTTCCCACCCCATCTACTTTCAGAATTCAGAATATAAAAGAGGGCGTAGCCTGTCTCACTCTCCAACTGGTGCATAAGCCAAACCCCACCTTCCCATCTCCCGTGCCGAATCTAAACTCGCCAAATTCAGATACATAGATGCCAATCTCAGACCTTGACTAAACTTGCTAAGTCCTGACTCACCGAGTCCAAATTTGAAATGCAGACCAATAAGATCTTAAGTCTTTTTTTTTTGCAAAGACATTGTCTAGGACTTTGGACTGACTGCAGTAATTTGAAGGAAGTCGTACATTTTGAGGTGTTTCATATAGTATCTTTAGGATCCATGATGTCTTATTTTAGGGGGGGGGGGGGGCTTTGCCAAGAATGAGCAGGAAATATCTTTACCAAAAAGTCTGAGGAGATGGTGTGCCCCATAGATTTTACTTAACGGTTCATCTGGTCGACTGGATAGAATCTGCACAAAAAAAAATTTAACAAAATATATTAGTGGTATTGTTTCCAAACAAGACATAGAGACATTGTTCAATAGCACAATACGTATGGCGGTATGGGCCATACCTACCCGCATACCTTCGCTGTTGAACGTTCGGGATGCGCGATACGGACGGCACACCAAGCATCCCTACCGCGCATGTGCGCAAAGGACGCATACCAAGATTGCGGACGGCGAGTGAGTGAACGGGCGACTTTGCCTCCAAGATTTTTGTCTTTTTTCTTCTGTACATTGGGTTTTACATCAGAATATGTACATCAGAATCGTCAAAAATCTTCAACTAGGGAAGAAAGAAGCGCCTTTCTTTTTAATGTGTTCGTTCAGCACCAACTGATTTGCATATTGTAGGCTAGCCGGGTGAGGGCGCTGTTCACGCTTCATACAGTACGTGTGGGTGCATAGCGCGAGGCTACTGTTTATGTTAGTGGCTGACCATCGATCATCGGACCACTAATGTCGAATGCCTTGACCAAGGCTAGAATATTGAAGGATCTGGAATGGTTAGGGTTTAATATACTTTACTTCCACAAATCATGCAATTTAATAACCAGGTAATTCAAAAAATACTACAAACAACTTTCAGGAGGGGTGCGTTTTGCTTTCTCACCTCGGCGTACTGTGGTCTCTCATACTTATACAGCAGTTGCGTGCCAAGCATGACGTTGAAGTACTCTCTCAGGCCTTGCGTTACTTCCAATATGGCACTCTCTCTGAAGAAAAAAAAGAAAAAAAAGAAGAATAAAACAAATTAAATTTCAGTCAATTCACAAATAACAGGAGATGAATGATATAAGATTCGAGGCTTTGCATGGTGGAGTATCGGTATCGTTTCGGTTTGCGGTAACACCATGTGGTAACAACTACTGCTTAGAAGAGTTTTAGTTCTGAAAAGAACTTGTCCTGCTTATTATCAACTTTCGCTAAGTAGTTTTTGTTCTGATAAGAACAGTCCTGCTTTAAGTTCTAAAAAAGAAGAAAACAACTTAAATTTCAGTCAATTCACAAATAACAGGAGATGAATGATATAAGATTTAAGTTCTAAAAGAACTTGTCTGGACTGAAATTTAAATTGAGACCAAAGACAAGTTCTTTTAGAACTTAACGCAGGACAGTTCTTATCAGAACAAAAACTACTTAGCGATAGTTGATAATAAGCAGGACAAGTTCTTTTCAGAGCTAAATATCTTCTAAGCAATAGTTATTACCACATGGTGTTACCGCAAACCGAAACGATAGAGATGAATGATGTAACACTTTTAACATACCTTGTGAGTTGACTTGGGATCAGAGGACTTATTCACTTGTGGCGTAAATGTGATCTCTTGTCAGTTATCACAATAACCTCACATTATTATATTTATTATTAATATTTATTCAGCCAAATTGCAAGATACAACAAGCAATCCACAAAGGTAAACAAAACTAAACAAAAACAACCCAATCCAAGCTGGCCAGGATTGACAAAAGTATAATAAAACACTGTGACTCGAAAGCCTGTCAATCCTACTACAAAACTGGTACAGATAATACCTTAACCCAACCTTCCCAAATCTATCAAAATCCACCCCCCCCCACCCCCATTTTTTGGAGATTTGGGCTGGCAAGCCATGAGTACCAAGTCCATCAAAATCCACCTGTAGCAATGGTGGATTTGGTCCTGAAGCATTATGCGAAGCAGAATCAGTGATGGATTTCGGCAGACTTGGTACTGTTCTTAGTAAAACTCAGTACGGAGTTAGGGTTTAAGATGTCCGTTTATTTTTCCGCATTTTAGAGCAAAACTCAAAGCAATTTGTTAGAGCCTTTCCATACACATTCTTACACTTATCTTAGGGTTTTTTCTTATCGCCAACTTCAAACATGTGAAACAATCTTAACACCCTAGACATTTCTGTTAAAACCTTCTCTATTCCTCCAAAAGTTTGGAGGGTTTAGAAGGCTAAGAGACGATGATGGTCATGATTCTGTAACTTGCTATGCTGGGAAATCTAAAAAAGTATTTTAGATAAAAGAATCTCACAAAGAACATCTCAAGTTAAACGGCAAGCCGTTGGATCAAAGAGTTTGTTTTAAATGCCAAAGAATCTAACATAAAGCGTTCTAAGAAATTGTGGTCAACCAAATTTTATAGGACATCCCAAGGACCATAAAGTTGACAATGAATGACTATGGGCCGTTATGGTTGAAAGGTGTATCTAAAGCATTTTTTAACACCCCCCCCCCCCCAAAAAGGAGATTGTGAACATCTGCGCTTACTTGGCTGGTGTGATGTCTTTCTTTGATTTCTTATGTTTGACGTAATCATCCAGGACGGAGTCCACTGTGTTCTTGGCTGGTAAATGAAGTAACTGGAGGCAAAAAAACACCCAAATTATGGATTTTAGCGGTTAAATTCATGGTCTTCCAACTAAAGAGTTCAGAGGTCAATGCCCAACCCCTTTGATATTTTGCAACCTTCCTACAAAAGAGTGTCAAAATTGTTTAGCATCGTTATGACAAACTGTTGAAGCCTTTATATAAAATGCAATCCATGAAAATATAGGCTGGGGAATCAGGAACAGTAGCAATACAACTGGTCGTTCCATAAACTTGGGGTCCATTTATTCCTGTGTCCGTGTTATATCCGACATCTATAATGAAATAATTCTGATGATTTCATCTAATACAGTTGTCCTCAAAGAGTGATTCTGAATAGCAAACTACCTACCCAACAAATAAAAATCATTTGAAGTCATTCTCAATGATACTTGAATAAGGGAATAAATGTGTGCTCCGTAGGTTTTAATCACTCTGTTTAAGACCGCTTAGAGTCTGGGTGCTGATAATTACCCGAGCCGGAGGCGAGGGTAATCATCAGCACCCAGACTCTAAGCGGTCTTAAACAGAGTGATTAATACCGACCGAGCACATATTTATTCCCATTCATAAATACCTTTTCGGTCAAAAAAATATAATATTTTGGTCAAAACATCCTGATTTTGTTCAACAAGTTCACTTCATGCTTTTTGAAACATCCCTCTAGCTAAATAATGGAGTGTTCAGCTGGCGATTAAAATGTAAACAACCCTTTTATGGAGATTGACGCGCGTGTGGCACGTTCTGTGCAAAACGCACCTGGGGCGTTGCGTTTTGAATTTAGAACTATAAAATTCTGACTCACTGGTAGTGTTGCGCATGCCTACGTGAGGACTGTGAACGTTCAACCAATGAAACGTTAAAAGGCACCGGATTTCATGGGAGTCCAAATTTCATGTGCCACTGGAAAAGTGTTTAAGACCAGCCAGCCATGTCTTTATCGTCCGTTTAAGACCGGCCACGTGACGGGCTCTTGACCAATAGGAATGCCTAAACTGTCTTAGGTATTTATGAATGGCAAATTACAACAAAGTACCAAGGTAACACTTTGGACCCTAAATTTATTGAATGACCCAAATATGAAGAAAAAAAGGTCAATACAGACTTCATGACAAACCCAGTCAGCCAGAAAACAATATGCTGGTCCTTCGGGTCAAGCAAACCAAAACAAAATCTGACGAATTTCCTCCCCAAATACGGAAATATAATAAGTAGAGACAATTCTCTTACCATCTTCTGTCTTGTGATGAGATCCCAGTCATCCACTAAGATTGGCTTCAGCTCATCGTGTATCTTGACCTTGATCTCAACCTTGTTCACAAACGAATCCTCCTGAAATCAATTATGGTTTTTTGGCAAGTTTTGTTCTACTTCATGTCACTGTGTTTATGGAGCAAAACATCATGAAGTTACAATTTCTTGATAAAATGGAAGTTAGATATAAAACTGTTTTAACAACAAATACCAGGGTGCATTAGATGAGTTTTTCATACCTCCCACAAATTTGACCTTAAAAAACAATCCGCGACTGAAAAACGATATATTTTACTGACCCGCAATTCAATTACTCAATCATTTAATGAAACAATCTTCAGTCAATGAATCAATAAATCTCCAATAAACTGACACAGTTGCTTGAACTGTTCTCTGATCAATAAACCACCTGCTCAATCCATTAACCAATCTTCAATCAATGAATCAGATAATCAATTGATCATCATTCATCATTAGCCTAATTCAATCCACTGCTGGATGAAGGCCTCTCCACTAACTTTCCATGCTTTTCGATGCCTTGCCAGTTGTTTCCATTTCTTCCCTATGAAATCAGAGATTTCATCTCGCCATCTCTTAGGCTGTCTTCCTCTTCGCCTCTTCAATGATAATGGCGTCCAATCCGTTACTTTCAGGGTCCATCTGTGGTTGTCTCTTCTCATGACATGTCCTGCCCAACTCCACTTTTTCTTTTTGCTCTCAACTATTATGTCTTGCACCCCTGTCTTTCTTCTAAGATCTTCGTTCCTTATTCAGTCTCTCTTTGTGACCCCAATCATTATTCTTTCCATTGCCCGTACGGTGACTCGCAATTTTTGCTCTGATTTCTTTGAAGGTGCCCAAGTCTCAATTGATCGCCTCCAATAAACTGATCAATGAACTGATGAATTTTTGACTGACTTACATTCTCCACTGTAGCATCGGCACGTGCTCTCTTTTTCCTGGGGGGTTCTGGTGTCGGTGTGCTGCTGGCTGACTCGACAGAAGGTACTGCTGGAGACAAAACGCACAACGTACACGTATGACAACTAGCCAGCGAGTAATCATCCAAAAACATTGTGTTTTTGAAAAATGTTGTGTGTTAAAACTTCAAATTCAATTCAATTATTCCTCACTGGTTTTCACATGCTATTATCCCCTGCTTAAGCATCATTGCATAATCGAGAAGTGCCCGGCACTGACAGGAATGTTCACCCTAAAAGGGATTGGGAAAGGCTGCAGCTGGCTGCAGCTGTTTAAGACCGCAGTTAGCCAATGCGCGCAAATGCTATCCGAAAACTTTCCCATAGAAATGCACACATTCCGTACCGGATGTGATTTCTTTTTCATTGCGGATCATGTGGACAAATTTGAGCGTCGCATTGTATGCAATTTGACCCATCGTGAATTCGAAATGGAGCCTGAGCAAGTGACGAGAATCGAACATTTACAAAACAAATACATATGTTTTACAGATTTTCCTATATTATTACGCTTTTCAACGAAAAAAAAAGCATTTAGGAATGGGAGTATAAAAAAAGAGTGATGACTCAGTTGTAATGGCCGTTTCAAACTTTGCAGGGTCGTGGCCGTGGTGACTTAAGTGCAGTTCACAGGTCACGCAAAATCCAACCAATCAGAAGCGTGAATTCATCAGCGTATCCCAGCGAAAGCCCATACCTGTCTCTGTTTTGGTCCTCTTGGAGGCAGGCTTCTCAGCAGACGGCGTGGGTGCACGCTCCCTCTCCTTCTCTCTGTCTTTCTCCTTGTCTTTCTCTGCTTCCTTGGGCTTGTCTGTCTTCTGTTTCTGGGCCCTCGCTCGCTTTGCTTTGCTGCAAAAGGAAAAATCATACTCCGTTCTGAAGCAGAGGGTTCAGTGACTGTTAGGTGCATCTGTCGAAACATCTTAAGGTGCTGATTAGTAGAAAATGTATGTACATTGCAATTAGCAATGATCAGCTGGAACCAGTTTACAAGGATACGCATCAAATCATTATTCAGTTGGTAACCTGGTGTTTTGGTTTTTTTTGCTAAGCCAATACTTTCTGTGGTTAGCAGATTTTCCGTGTTCAGCAGCTCCACAAATTTGGCTTGCAATGAGCTCAGTCAAAATTGTACACTGTAAGCGTAACTGTGACAGCTTCCAATTGTCTGTGCTATCCTGACAGAAAAAGTAGTAGAATAAAAAATTATATACTACTGGATTGCTTTTTGTAGGATACAAGATATATATATTGCATGAGCTAAAACAATATTGCATGAGTCAATGAGGAGTGCAATATTGTTACAGCCAGTGCAATATATTCTTGTATGCACCGAAAATAAGCCATCCAATGGAAATTAATAGTTACCTTTCAGTGTCTATTGATTAAGCAGGACGTAGCTTGCGAGGTCGTCATGACCTCTTCATTCAACGTTGTGGCTAAATCCCTCCGCTCACGTGACCACCTTTGGGGCGGTCACGTGACCATCCCAAAGGTGGTCACGTGAGCGGAGTGATGTAGCCACAATGCTGAATGCAGAGGTCATGACCTCGCAAGCTACGTCCTGCTTAATCCATAGACTCTGAAAGGTAACTATTAATTTCTATGTCAATATGACAGAGTCTAATATTAGTCTACATGCTGCTAAGCCATGCAATATTATTGTTATTTATATCAAACTGACTTGATCCGAAAGAAAGAAATATGAAGATGCTGTCTAGTAATAATCGCCGACTGTTTTCCTTAATTTCATTTTAGCATTACCTTGGAGCTTCGAAAGTACCCGCAAGCTAGGCTTTTCCAGCATCTCACAATCCGTCAGTATAGGGGCGGTAGATTCTTCTCGGCCAGAAACGCTCGCAGAATATTTATGTCATCTTGATTGCTATCAAGGTATTTTCAGCATCTTTAGTTCTCAAATTTCGTTGAATTATTCTTCGCTAATTGAATCTCGCACTGCTCGAAGCTGCCATTTTTGTTGTTTACAAACAGTGCGTATACCCTGCATGCGACAGTGCGCTCTGTTGACTGGTTGACAACTGTGACTTTATACTCTCTTGGTTGAGCAGGAACCAGTGAAATGCGCTTTGATACCATAAAATGTCGACACAATACCAAAAGCCATATTGCATAGTCTTCCCAGTACTTTTTCCTGAAAGTGGACGATACGCTGATTTATTTCTACTACTTGGAAGTCTGATATAATAATAGTTCACCGCACATGATGGAACAACAGCTTCAATATATGATTGTTAAAGCTAGGTTCTATAATTTGATAGGTTTGAATCAACTGATAATCGATGATGCTCAGCAACTGATACTCACGCTTGGTGGGCCTGGAAAAGCTCTTTTTGTTTCTGTAGGTTGGCTTCGTTAAATTTCAGCGCTCGACTCTCCGGAACCCATTCGTCCCAACTAATGATGAATTATTGAAGGGAAAACACAATGTTAACACTTGTGATAATCAGCACAACATCTAAAAACATCTTACATAAAATATGTGGCAAAGAAATCCTTGATCTGGAATATTGTGTGCTCACAAATATATTAAGCAGTTTGAAGGACTTACAAAAGTTTGTCAATTCTGAAAACTGCAAGTACATGTTCAGCAGTTTCTTAACCCTAACTTCCAGTCCTTCTGATTTGAGGCGTGTGATTGCACCCCCACGTCATCGCACACCTAAAAGCTTCCCGAGAAGTGTGAATAATTGCACGCCTGAATTTCCTTGGACCACAGAATCACACACCTAGAAAAACCACACGCCTAGAAAAATCCAGGTGTGCATTTTTCCACACGCCTGTGATTTTCAAACCAGAAGGACTGAACTCCCTAGGCATTTTTGCTAGGATGCAACCTCAATCCTGCAAAATCCTCCAACTGCCTTCATGTAAAAATTGCATACTGAAATTTTACTTACTTTTTATTCCAGCCATTGTAGTGTATGTAGTACTTGATTGTTTTGTCTTTCACGACCGACTTTACACACTGAATAAACAAAAACACAGAAAACTGATTGTAGCAAAAACTGTGTTGAAGAATGTTTTATAACGAGTATTCAGAATATACATGTACATTTACCACCAAACCCATAATTTGGCATTCAAAGGAATCACTTACTTTTGCTTCATACAGCAGTGGCCCATGGAAACAAAGAACTCTTTCCCCTGAAACAAAGAAAGAAAGAAACTAAATCAAAACCTTGAGTCAGAAAAAGTATCGCCTTGCAGTCCAGGTAGTCCAGTAAATTGGCCACATTTTATATAGGCCCCCTAGCCCTGGTGGACTCCCTTTCCTCCCTACGTTACGGAGGGAGTCCTGGGTAAAAAGTCCTCAAAACCGAACGAAAACATTTCTGACCAATAATTTCAATATTTTTACCTTGTTGGAGAAGCTAATTTTTACGTTGTAGTATTCTATGTGTCCTTATCTGTTGGGCTGATGGGTTCAGAAATTCCATATTCGATGCTGACCGACCTTAATCTGGAAAATAAACTCGAAAGCAACGTTAAACTTGTACGTGTTTGTAGACTCTTTTCATCAGTTTCTCACCGCCGAGTCTATTCTAGTCGTACATGATGTACGTCTGTGCAGCGTGTAGTCTGGTTCCCTAGACCGGACAATTATTCTCGACGCTCATATCACGTCTGGTCCGGGGGCCAGACTATGCAGCATGAATATGCAGTGCGCACGTGCGATTTGCTTAGTAACCACCCTCATACGCACGCGCACTTACTTGAAGGCGCGGTCCCTAATCCAATGACCGAGCGTGTTTTCGCGCCAGTTACCAGAAACACGTTTCGGCTTTGGTCATTGGTTGAGCGTTTTCGCGACATCGGTTGACTGGAGTGACGTCACGGTTCCAACCAAAACTAAACAAATGAGGGCGCTAGCGTGCTTACGCGCTTTCGTATGCACGTACATTGTACATGACGTACGACTCTGGAATAAACTGATGAAAAGAGACTACAAACACGTACAAGTTTAACGCTGCTGTAGACTTTATTTTCAGGCATGCAACTGGAAGTTGTACAAAAAAGAGGAAATTCAAATTTTTCCAAGACTTTGTGCAGTGTTTTTCTATTTTCAATGGCACACATGTGAAGTACAAAAAGAGGAAATCAGCTGATCCGAGGAAAAGTTGCATGCCTGTATTTTCCTGATTAACGTCAGTCAGCATCGAATATGGAATTCCTGAACCCATCAGCCCAACTGATAAGGACACATAGAGTATGCAGGCGTGAAATAAGCTTCTATAACGAGGTAAAACATAACAAGGAGCAACTATAGAATGCAGGGCCACGCCGAAGCAAGGTTTTTTATTTTGCCTGGAGGCGTGGATGGAATAGGAGTATAGTAATAGATATGCAAACCTGCAAAAAAGTGCTAAGTAGAGGAATGCACTGCACTTGTCTTCAAAGCTTCTCATGAAGGATCGGAAGGGAGGGCGTGCTTGTAAATGTGTTGGGGGCACTGTCTGGAGCGGCGGAGGCGCGGAGTCTTGGAGTCGCAGAATCGCGGAGACGCGGGGCACTGGAGTGGCGGAGGCGCGGAGTCGCGGAGTCGCAGCTGAGACGCGTACCGATAGAGGGCGCAATTCTCGGCAGAATCTTTTTGAGAACGAAGCATCCATATCCATTTTAAATGGGCGGGCCAATTAGGAAGGGAGGAGGGCGACAGGGCACTGTCTGGAGTCGCGGAGGCGCGGAGTCGGGGAGTCGCAGAGTCACTTTAATTGGGCGGGCCAATTAGGAAGGGGGGGGACGGCGACGGGGCACTGTCTGGAGTCGCGGAGGCGCGGAGTCGGGGAGTCGCAGAGTCACTTTAATTGGGCGGGCCAATTAGGAAGGGGGGGAGGGCGACGGGGCACTGTCTGGAGTCGCGGAGGCGCGGAGTCGCTTTAATTGGGCGCGCAAATTAGGAAGGGGGGGGGGGGAGGGCGACGGGGCACTGTCTCTCAGTGGTGGAGGCGCGGAGTCGCGGAGTCGCAGAGACGCGCACCGATAGAGGGCGCAATTTTCTGCGGCTCCACGACTCCACGATCGATTTTCAGAGGTAGGTCGACTGCGGTTCCACGCCTCCACGCAGCCGTACGGAGGCGCGGATGTAGAGTAAAGTGGCCCTGCATTCTATAGTTGTACCCATAACAAAACTCTGGTAAAAATGTTGGGTGGTTTCATGTAGAGAATTCTTGCCCTGGACGTTAGTCGTATTGCAATGAAGACTTCGTCCAACCTGGGCTAATAGGCCCCCCTACATGCCCTATGGGGCTAGAGTTACTCAAGCTACATTCTTTCCAACAAATAATGTGATTCACTGATTGGTGAAAATTATTTTTTAATTTCATTGTTAATGTTAATGACGAATTTAGGACAAAATGCACCTGTGACCTGACAATAAATGAGCAAAAAATAATTTGTAAAGCATACACACTTTAGTATCGTACGGCGAATGAACAATGACGGACGGATAGTGTACAACACGTATGTACGGAACGTACACACGCATGACATTGACACGTGTTGTGCACTATCCGTCCGTCATTGTTCATTCGCCGTACGCGCGCTGCAGCGCTGGTACATAGTCGAAATGCTCATTCCATCTTTTGGCATTTCTTGAGCTCATGACACAAGGATTTGTATTTCCTTGAAATGTACATCGAAGATATTAATTCCGTTACATAATTCACACCCCAATTAAAAGAAATAGACCCCCGAAAAGTAAAACTCTAACAAAACAAACCTTCAGCAAACTTCGTCTTGGGTGGCGCCATGTTGGAAATTTACCGTCTCGTTCAATACTACAAAATGTTTCAAGTAAACAACATTAAAATAAAAATAGTACACGTCTCCATTTAATCAGTTTTGAATATAAAAGAGTAATTAAGAGAAAACTATGTTATTTCCTCAGGTAATGTATGTATTTTTGGCGAGTTAATTTCCTTTGTAAATATTTTTTATTTGTTATTGAAATGTGACAGATATGCCATGCGTACGTGCAGATGACCGTTTTAGCCGATTTTCGGCTAACTTTGACTGAATTTTTGTAAAAAAAACGAGTTTGACAGAAATATTGACAGAATGGATTTTTGGTAGATTTCTGGCAGAATTGCAAACATGGATATTTGAAAGAAAAACGTAGCAAATTTGAAGAAAAATGGTACATTTGTTTGAAAAAGCTTCAATCTTTTTCAAACAAACCCTTGCATAATGGGACACGCTGGCTGGTCTGGGTGCTGAGGTTCAAAGGGAACCGGACTTTATCGTGACGCAACTGCGTTTTATAGCCTGAAATGTACGCAATTTCATAACATCTTTATGTTACTATAGATTGTTTATAAAGTAAATCGAACCTTGATTTAGGCAATACTACAACATCTAAATGTGATTTTAAGTGTTTATAACGTATTTCGAGTAATTCTGAGGAATTTAGCAGATTTTTGATGAATCTGACAGATTTTTGAATTGCATTTAGCAGAATTTGGCCATGATCTTACGGTCACCTGCCTGGTGCGTTGATAGCTGCTGATCGGCGATCCTCCTCGTAGCTAGCTTTCCTCTCGCTCACCCAGCTGATTTGCACATGGCATGGTGCCGGGTGAAGGGTGAATAAAATGTAATGAACTTGGGCGAAAGTCCACTTACAGGCCCCGCTTTAGTTTTGGCACATCTATTGATTAGTATTATTTGGGATAGCTATTGCCTTCCGACGTCGACCATGGATGATGGTGGGGCACTGGGGCTTAGCTTGAAATTTCCAGCTTTCTAAATTCTAGGCTCATCATGCATGGGGAGACCGGCGAATCTCCCAATGTCATGAGCCTAGAACTTAGAAGTAAAGCTAGAAATTTCAAACTAGGTGGGGCTCAGACTGGGACCTGGAGTGCTCTGAAAGGTTTCGATCCAGCTCGGACCCAAACCAACTCGGACCCAAGCCAACTCGGACCCATGCTAACTCGGACCCACTACCAACTCGGACCCATGCCAACTTGGACCCACTACCAACTCGGACCCACGACCAACTCGGACCCACTACCAACTCGGACCCACAACCAACTCGGACCCACTACAAACTCGGACCCATGCGTGACCAACTCGGACCCATCGTTTTCAATCATTCGACATCGTTTTCAATCATTAATTTCATAAAGTTTGTCCACTTCTCATCTGTTATTACAGTGATGCTGTTTAGTATAAATTTTCATTGTAATTGTAAGGTAAATTATCTCATATCTGTATTGCAGCAGTATAACATTTTTGTCGTTGTAAAGCGCATTGAAATGCTATTTTGAAATACGCTTTAAAAGTGTAATTAATTATTTATTATTTTTATTTGTTTCCATTAAAACATATTGCGCTTTAAAAGTTTAACCAATTATTTATTTTCATTAAAACATATTAATTGACATCGTTCACACCATCTTGCTAAATTTAACAGCAATTTATTTCGTTTTAATCCAAACTTCAACGTAATGAGTATACAAATTAAGAACAGGGCTGATCTTCATAGGAAAATATAATTGGAAAATATGGGGCATTAAAACATAAACACTTTCAAACATAACATTTTTAACTAAATAAATATAAGTAAACATTATAAGTCAATAAATAAAATAAATAAGATATAAAAACGAAGTCTATTCTAATCTCCATTTTAAAAGAAACACATAAACACCATTGCATACACTGCAAGAAAAACGAAGGTTCCATTTTAAACAAAAACGTTAAATAAAAAAAAGTATAAAAGTTAATCGGATTCGTAAAAAAAACACCACAAAATTTCAAAGCCAGCATGTGAATTAAAAATGATCAAGTTTAATCCCCTACAAATAGATGCAATGTCAATCATCAAAAAGGAGTATTGGAGCTCTGGGAAGATTTTCCTTCAAGGCCTTACAGGTAGCTGCCTGTATGTTCCACCATGATGTTCCACGGGGGAAAAAAGTTAAATCAAAAAATTATTAAAAGTTAAACAGATTCATAAAAAAATCCCACAAAATTCAAAGCCAGCATGTGAATTAAAAAACCAAACAATTACATGAAATGAAAGGCCTAAATAGTTATTTCAAATTAATAACTTTCTCACTGAAACAAAATGTGCCACTTAAAACCACTTGTTACACGACACAAAGGCCTGCAAAAACAAACAAGTAATTTATTTTTTACTGAAAATTATAATCCTTTGAATTTCGTTTGGAAAAGAAAATCGAGATTTTGAAAAAGCACGTATATATCAAGTTGTACAAATGACATACGATATGCCTAACCTATACTATATGCTATGAATACCTCTTGGTTTAGCTTCACAGGTCACGGTTTCAAAAAGCTAAGCACGTTTATAGTTTCATGACGTTCAAAACGATAAACGTTTAGCATCAGTATTTACTATACGCATCATAAAATAGCGCTCCACACAGCGGCAATACAAGAAAACAAAACTAAAAGCCCCATTCTGCCCAATGTATTTTTTACAGAATATCTTTACTATAATTATAAGCACTAACGTTAAGATTACCTATAAATATAATCTCTGAAACTAATGATTGAGTCATTGTTGGCAGGCCCGTAGGAAGCTAACATTTATTGGTCAGGCTCATCTCAGGGCAGGGAGCTCAGTTGATGCGAGAGCGCGTAGCGCGAAGCCCTAACGGCGTGGGGTTCGGGGCCCGCTTAAGGGCCCCGAGAAAATTTGGATTCCAGACGCTCTGTGGTGCGATCTGAGGCAATTTCTGACCACTTTAACCTTTTTTTGAGCTATCATCATTTAAACATCATTTTCAAGTTTGGAGTCAATTATCTTTTTATATATATTTTTTTTTGCGTGAGAAATCCCATGTCGGCGTTAAAGCATGAGAATAACCTGAAATGTGTGAGTCTTACGCTCAATGTGTTAGAGTTGGCAGGCCTGCTGAGGCAGATCCAGGATTTGACCCAATCCCTCCCAAATGTAACCAAAAGCCACTCCCCCCAACAATATGCATGTATACAGGGAATTTTATTCTTCGTAATTTGTACAAGACACATTTTGGAGCTCGGCACATCTGCAAGTTTAACCAGTATATGTCACTTGATGAACTTCACGTAAATCGTCAAAATTAATTCGTCAAAATTAATTCGTCAAAATTTAGCCTATCGTAGTAAAAAGTTTTGGACATTTGCTCATCGCAAAACTTTTTTGGGATCTAGATGCTCTGTAGTGCAATCTGAGGCATTTCCTGGCCACTTTCCCCTGACTTTTTGAATGAAATGTATTCGTGTTTTAGTGGGTGGGTCATCAAAGATGATAAATTACATCACAAGCATCACATCAAAACTGTAGCTTGACTCTCTTTCTAGATTTGTGCTCTTTAGCTTGATCCATGATTGTGTTTACAGGGAAAGGGCGTAATCATACATGTCGCCATGCACTACACGTTAAGTTAAATGGAATTTAACCATGAATTTTAGTTTTCCTCAGACTTGTACTTGTGTTTTCTTAAAAAGAAGTGGTTTTCTAGCTGAGAAAATAGCAAGGAAGAACCGGTATTGTGCAAGCAAAATTCAGGGAATAATCCGTTGATACTAAATATCGTGTTGGAAAATTCCAAAATCATTTCAAGAAAGTTGCCGCCGTGAATCAGAGTTTATGAAGGGACGGAAAGTGGGATTTGCTATCAGCATCAACAGGGCCGTTCCTCATTCTTTACCTTATGGGATGTGAATCAAATTGGAGGACGAGAGGCTCTGCGGGCTGATGTATTTTTAGAAATTTAATTCACCGGTATGGATACCAGTGTACGTACATGATTGAACTGCCGAGTGTATTTGTTAAGTATTTTTTTTTCTAAAAAAAAACATCAGCTCGCAGAGTCTCTCCTCCTCCAATTGATTCACATCCCATCAGGTAAAGAATGACGAACGGTCTTGTTGATAGCAAATCCCACTTTCCGTCCCTTCATAAACTCTGATTCACAGCGGTAATTACTTTCTTTGAATGATTTTGGAATTTTCCAACAAGATATTAACTTCAACGGATTATTCCCTGAATTTTGCTTGCACAAAACCGGTTCTTCCTTGCAATTTTCTCATTTAGAAAACCACTTCTTTTTAAGAAAACACAAGTACTAGTCTGAGGACAACTAAAATTCATGGTGGCGGCCAATCGCCATTCCGTTTAACTTAACATGTAGGCCTAGTGGCGACATGTATGATTACGCCCTTTCCCTTTAAACACAAACACAAAAACAGAACAAAACGCAAAAACAACACAAGAAAAATTTGGGGGAGGGCAACAGGGGCCAACCCCCCCCCCCCAAAAAAAAATGGAACCCATTTTTTTTTCAGTGTCGTCGCAATAGAGGCAGGTACTGCATACACCAACATATTTTCGTTTAAAAAAATGGTTAAAGTGGTCAGAAATTGCCTCAGATCGCACCACAGAGCATCTAGAAACCAAAAAAAAAAAATCCACCCTTGGGGCCATGCAAGGCCTTAATGGTATACATTAAAAAAGAAAGAAGATATGCCTGTTATTATTGGTACGGCCATAGCCGTACCTGCCTTACCGCTTCCTACGGCCTTGATTGTTGGGTCTGAGTTGGTCGTGCTTGGGTCCGAGTTGGTAGTGGGTCCGAGTTGGTCGTGGGTCCGAGTTGGTCGTGGGTCCGAGTTGGTTGTGGGTCCGAGTTGGTAGTGGGTCCGAGTTGGTAGTGGGTCCGAGTTGGCGTGGGTCCGAGTTGGCATGGGTCCGACTTGGCATGGGTCCGACTTGGTTTGGGTCCGAGTTGACCTGATACCCTCTGGGACATGCAAAACTAAATCAGGCCAACTTTACTCACTCTTTAGCCAGCAAATTTCTCCAAAAATTCCATTGGGCTGGGCATTGAATATTTTGATCAATTCTAGTAACAGGTCTGACACGTTTTTTTCCCTAATTTTGAAAAGTAGGCCTATCTTTCAGGAGAAAATGTGAACACTTTTCATAGTTGATGCCATGCAAATTGTCGCGCTTTTGTGCATTTGTGGTACGTTGCAGTATGGGCATCGCCAGGATTTTTTCCGGGGGGGGGGGGGGGGGGGGGCAAAGCAAATTTTTCCCAAAAATTCCTTAACTTGTTCATTATATTCTCAATTTAGCATTCTTCCGAGCGTGAGCAGGGGAGCATTTGCCCTACCCCCCCCCCCCCCAACTCAAATTAACAGCAAATGGCTTCGCACCTCTTTTTCCTTTTTTTGTTTGTTTGTTTTCTTTTTCCTTTTTTTTTCGGGGGGGGGGGCAAGCGCTTGCCCCCCCCCCCCCCTCGCAACGCCCATGTGCATGAACGGGAACATCATAGAAAGGATGGCTCATCATAAAACGACTTTTGCCAAGTTGGGCTGCTTCTGAGCAGTGAGATGAGCTGTCCATCAGTGCAGCTTCTAGAGCAGTAGTGGGAGATTGCACAAACAGATGCAGGAGAAGAAGGACAGGAGATGTGCACATCAGTGCATTGCTGAAAGGGAGGCAGTAGGTGCACAAAGCCACAGGGAGACGCATTGTTATGTTATACAATCAACTGCACACCACAAAAAGCAGACCAATTTGGCTGAAGGAGGTCTTGAACTGGTGTTTTGAAATCAATGGTGCTCAGTCATCCATGACTTGCATAATTTCACTGTGGTCAATGGGCCAAGTCTGGCTGGACTAGGGGTCCTAAAGTTTATGAGTACAGTAAACTATCATTAGTTAACTGTTATCTCTGAACTCAGTTTTTTTCTCTGTTCATGTGTACATGTATTTCTCTCAGCAGACTAGCTGCAGACCACCATGGCTTTAGCAGGCACCCGAGTCATTGAGCTAGCAGGCCTGGCCCCTTCTCCGTTTGCCGGTATGGTCCTGGCCTGGCGACTTTGGGGCAAAAGTGGTCCGTGTTGACCGCGTCATGCGCATCCCGTTTACCACAGACCGTCTTTCCCGTGGCAAGCAGTCCATCTCCCTCGACTTGAAGAAGGCTGAAGGGGTCCAGGTCTTCAGAAGAATGTGCAAGAAGGCAGATGTGCTGATTGAACCATACAGACCAGGTAAAAACCCACTGACCAAATGGTAACTCCAGAGTTTACAAGATGGTGGGGGAGGGCGTTGGCAAAGATGTTCAAAGCCCGGATATTTGCAGAGGGTGGCTGAGATGTTCAAGTCGGCACATATCAGACATGCAGATCAACTGATTTCGTCTGTTTTCACTTCCCTTGTATGCCTTTGAAAAATGGTGAAAAAACTTTAAAATAAACACTTTATAAGTCTTGTAAAGTTGGAATTTCCTCTTTTTTTTTATGACTTCCAAGTTGCACGCCTGACATACATGTATAGACCACAGGCCTACAATTAACTGATACTTGCAATGTAATGTTTCAGGAAAGTAATTACTGGATTTTGTATTATTTAGTGATAAGTCTGATGAAAGGCGTGGCTTTATTCACCCCCAACTGATCGAAGAGTCTTCATAAATCATACTGAGACTAATGAAAAATATACAAATAATTTTTTTTTAAATTTACGAAGCAATCTTTCTACCGCACTTCAGCTAACAAAATTCTCTGTGAGGCAATATTATGGTCCTGACTATTCTTCTTGGAAATGTACAAAACATAATGCACACAGCTCAATTATTTTCACAGGTGTAATGGAAAAGATGGGCCTGGGACCCCAAGTGTTAATGAAGGACAACCCCGGGTTAATTTATGCAAGAATGACTGGGTTTGGCCAATCAGGGCCCTACAAGCAAATGGCCGGACACGACATCAACTACATTGGACTCTCAGGTATTAACACAAAACAACCTGAAATTCAAAATGCCGATGGTATGATATTTATCAAATTTTGGAGTGAACATGGACTCTCAAGGCCAACACAAGAATTTCATGTTGAAAGTGCAAGACCCCTGAAAACTTTTGGAGTTTCTCAGTGTTTCCTATAATATGTATAACAACCCGCAAACACATAATCTTTGTTCTTGTCAACAAACTTCAAACCTGCTCTAATTACTTTTACCAAGTACATTTATGGTCTGCAGCCGAAAATTGGAGTCTCCAAATGAAATAAATTAGTTTGTGTGCATTGTCAAAGCAGTCATGTCTGTGGTTTGTCTTGCCCCCAAATTTTTGTATTGATCAAATGTTGACCCTTCAGTTATACTCCCACAAAACCTGACAAAGTTGTCTCCACTTCTATGTACGCGTATGGGATACGTACGCAGCTCGGAAAAAGTTACTTGTCATTTCGCATGGTTATTTCGTCTGGCAGGCTATGGGCAATCTGAATTCACATCAGAATGTTGAGATGTTTATATGTGGGTTTGGTGAGATAGCCACACAAATGTTGATGTGAAAAACGATCTAGTTTTTCCGAGTCGTGCGTATCCGCACCATTATTGCCCAGCGTATCCAGTTGCTGGATCTGAAAGGGTTCAAATCAACCCTACCCAACCGACCCTGCCCTTCCTCGATCTCAATTTAAGCAGGCATGAGATTTTTCAGACTTTTGTCTCAAATCAGACCTTTTGAATCTGAGAGAAAGACATAAGTATGCATCTTTCAGAAATGCATCTCTCAGGCCTTTTCATCCAACTTTCAGACCTTTAATTTAAATTGACAATCCATTTCTAATTTAATGTAAGACATTTACACTACTAGTAAGCATGTCGTGGGTCCGAGTCTTTCAGAGAAGAAAGCACTCATGATGTTACGATTGTGTCGGTGAAGGTAAAAACCTAAAATATATTGTTTTTTGTAAATTGTTCGGTGTATTTCCTAACTTTGGATTTAAGTTTCACCCCATATCCCAATCTTTCATGTCCTGCCCACAGGGGTTCTGTCATTCTTTGGTCGTAAAGGTGACAAGCCTGTTCCGCCGGTCAACATCATGGGGGACTTTGCCGGGGGTGGATTGATCTGTGCCCTGGTATCACCATGGCGCTGCTAGAGAGAACAAGGTCTGGCAAGGGTCAAATCATCGATGCCAACATGGTAGGTTTAGCTAACAGACTTCGGCTAAACAAAACGTTTGTTTGGTTGATAGTCACAGTCATGAAATAAAGCAACAACCACAAACAAAGTTAGAGTGAGTAACAGCAACTACATGTAGTTGGACAAGTAGACCTAGGAAAGAACTTAGTAATTCAGTAGAGCCGTTTGGGTATCATTTCTGATTTCAAATTTCATACAAAAACTATGCCGTCGCCACTTTTGGCTATGACTTTCATAAGCGAGAGAGTTTTTCATTGTTTAATTGCCAAATTACAATCACTAAACGGTCTGCAAAGGGAAACTGACTAGGACCAGAAATGTGGTCTTTCCCTGTGTCGGTTGTTTGATTATTTGTAATAAAGGCATTTGGAATATGGCTTTTTGAGTAGTAAACCCTGAACTGCAACACTGACAAATTTTAAGACTGCTAATAGCACTGGAAGGCCAGTTGGTAGAGGGCCGGTAAGATTTTTTTATTCCAGTCTGATGTCAAATTTGACTACAATTTCAATTTTCCTGAATTGATTTTCCAGGTTGAAGGTTCAGCCTATGTCAGCTCTTTCCTCTGGACAACCAGAGGGTTTGGCGCGACTGGTGAGGAGCGGGGAACCGGTCTAATAGGAGACTGGTGCCCCTTCTACGACACCTATGAGACATCAGATGGCAAGTTCATGGCAGTTGGAGCTTTGGAGCCACAGTTTTATAGCGAGCTGTTGAAAGGTAAAAATGGATCAGTCAATCTATTTCAACTTTTATTATTCCAACTTCAGATAGCGACATTACATTTTCTCTGACAGCAACTGCATGGGGTCAGATTGAGTAACATGAAGAAGTATTGGCCTGACAACAAATTTATGGAATTTATTTCTTTCTTCTTACTAATTGCACAAAGTCCCCAAAATGCACTTTGCAAAAGCCTAAGAAGTAAGAATGCCTTTTAAGTAAAAACTTGAAATCAGTACCTTTATGTTTTGAGAAAAGAATAGAATCTTACTATTTCTTCAGGTCTAGGATTGGCAGAGACGGACCTCCCTCCACAAGAAGATCGGGAAGACTGGCCTTCCTCCAAGAAAGTCATCGGCGAAATCTTTGCCAGCAAAACCCAGGCGGAGTGGTGCCGTATATTCGACGGCACCGACGCCTGCGTGAGTCCAGTGCTGACGGGAGACGAGGCACCAGACCACCCTCACAACAAGTCTCGGAATGCATTTTTGCGGTCGGAGGGCATGGATGAGGGCATGGAGCCCGGCCCAGCGCCCCAACTGTCCAGGACACCGGCTGTTGTGCAGAGTACCAGGCAGACGGCGGTAGGCACTGACACCAGGACAGTGCTTCTGGAGGCAGGACTGAGTGAGGAAGAGATCACCAATCTGAGGGAGAAGGGGGTGGTCTGGGATGAGACACACCAGTCCAAACTGTGAGCTTATGGTGGCTTGGAACAATTCAATGTGCATGGTGATTGGCAGATATTGGGACGCTCTGATGCACTGTAATAATTGGTCTTTTGATAATGAGGAATATGGGTGCAAGCCTGTAAATAGGCCAAAAATCTGTCCGCCGAGCTCATGAATAAAAGTTATACCCTCAAAATATTCTATATTAGAGACTTTTGAGAGCCATACAATTGGGGAATTGAAGAGATATGGTAATGAATCTCTGGCCTGGACTTGGGGCTTCCAATTCTGAGCATTTTGGATGCTATTGGGCTCGAGAGTGGCGCTATTTTGCCATGTTGTGGAGGGATCATTTTTCAAGATGGCTACTTTTCTGCTTTGGGGAAAATAGGGGTCGTCTTCTTTGGGTGAGAATATCTCGGAAAGTCAATGGTCAACCCACCAAAAAAATGAAAAGAAATGAAAGATGTCACATTGATCATCATTTTCCTGTGCAGCTTGAATACCTGTGAGAGTTCTGAGTATTTTTAAAAGAATTTTGAAGTATGCGCATTTAGCACTAGTGTCTATGGGATTTTTTTTGCAGGGTTGCACCCATATGTGTCAGAGTTGTTATCAAATAAAGAGCGCCCTCAATGAGGAGGTCCTTCTTCCTCTGTGATATGTACGAGTAGACACTTTGTACTTTCATTGTCACTGAATTTGAACAACAAAACGCGTCTCTGATTTGCTAAAAAATCAGTCTCAAGTCAAGGTTCATCTCTTGAAACTACACCTTCATGTACATATGCATTCTTTTATTCCAGTTATAATGCCAATAAGGGAGGCCTGCATGAACAGTGCCACCAAGTGTCAGATAGTGTCCAGGCCAATCCGTCTTGAACAATGCCCCTTGTGTCATATCACGTCCAGCCTCCGCAAACCCTTTTAGAATCTTGGCAGCTGATAAATTTCACCCCCCCCCCCCCAAAAAAATCTTAAACAATGTCGATTATGGAAATAAGCGATTTATAGGCACAACTCCCATACGAAATCCTTAATGCCAGTAGTCAAGTCAGTGCCATTCATTATAGAAATTCCTTTGTCATTGTTCATCCCCGTCACCTGACCCCTGGACCCTGCTTAACTTTATCAATTCCAACACTGACTCTGTTAATCCTAAAGAGATTCAATGTATTATGATTAAGATCTACAAACTAAAACAGTTTTTGACTGTTGCCATGAATGATGATTTGAATATCGTCATCGTCATGGCAATATTATTGCTCTGCCTAAGTTTATGGTAACTCGGTGATTTTTTTTCTATCCGGTTCGTAAGTGTATGCGTCATACGCATGCGCATTGGCAGAAAATGCATAGCTCTGAGGACACCCAGCCTTCCTGCTACATCCAGCTCCAATGCTACTGTGTGTAGTGGACATGGTGTAAGTTAAAATGACGTTGCACTTACGAACCGGATTTAGTGGGTACATGTATTTGTAGTTGGATTTGAATAGTTGTGTAGAGTTGTATCCCATATTTTTAATTGTGTTCAATTGAGTCATAATGTTTTAAATTGTTCAGTGTATTGATTATGTCAGGGTAAAATTATATTTTTTATTATGTCTTGTATTAAACAACAAAGCTTGATAAGAATACTTCAACCAATTTTGCTGAAATACAAAGTCTTTTAAATATTGAGGGGACTATTGAATAAAAAGATATCTATCCAATTTGCGTGCAGTGTATATTAACTTTGTTAAAGGGAATATACATCATTTGCTTTTGCTGTAATTTTCAGAAATGGATGGAATTGGGGGGTTGGAAATATAAAGCAAATATAGTTTCACTGACTTTTGGAGGTTTTGGGTTCGAAAATGCTATAAAAACCAAGAAAAACGATCATTTCCTGTAGTCTGGTTCCCCTGACTCCATATAGAAGAAACAGAGCAGTTTACATACATTGGGGAATTGTAAGGTCAGGGAACCAGTCTAGCTGGCCCGTACCCGTTCATAGGTTTGTAATCGATTGCAAACAAGTGCAATGGTCAATTGGGGCCTGTATTTGAAAAAAAAGCCAGTTGTTTCCAACGCTGATCGGCCGATCAGTGTTGGAAATTGATACAAAAATACCACTTTTCTTGAAAATGACAGTATACCAGGTGCCATAATTTTACAGGATGCTTTAGACTGTCATTTACCAACATCCTATTAAGGTATTTCGCAAAAACTTGGTAGTTTATTTCTCGATGTTTGCAAATGTTGTATATTCCCTTTAATGCTATTGGAAAAGAGAATCTTAAAAAAATATTCGGGCAAAAATGCCACCGTAGTAATACAAATCACACTCCCCCCCCCCCCCCCCCCCCCCACCAAAAAAAAGAAGGAAAAAAATCAAGTTTTTCAGTTATCTTAAATAAAATGGTACTTTTTTGCCAGGTATTTCATGCCTACAAAAGGATAGACATTCTGAATTGACAAGACAGATGTACAGTCGACTCTCGTTAGTACAAACACTGTTAATACAAATTTGGTTATAGCAAACACAAAGCCTTGGTCCCGACTGTGCATTTATGTGCACAATGAATGCGACTGATGTTCCTCTTAATACAAAATTCTGATATAACAAACAATTTGGCTTGGTCCGAACGAGTTGGTATTGTTGATAGCGAGAGCGACTGTAGAAACAATAGGATTGTACATGATCCAGAAAAAAAGAAAAACCTAACTTCAGGGTCAAGGGGAATACCTAAAAATACATAAACATTTAAGAACCAAATGCTTTAACCTTAACTCCCTAATGTCTTTTACTAAGAACTGGACCAAGTCCATGAAAATCCATCAATCACTGTGCGTCCAATACCAAAAAAAGTACATGACATAATGGAATCCACCACTGACGCACTGGATATTGATGGACTTAGTACACATGGCTTATATGACAATAGCAGTACAGCAAGCTAGGCAATATTCAAGCGGATACCCCTAGCACTGCTTCAGGCCTTCAGACCCAAGTCCATCACACTCCATCAATATTTCGTCACACCAGGCCTACTGGACCAAGTCCCCCCAAATCCACCAAAATGGTGGATGGATTTTGATGGAGTTGGGGTGGTTAGGGTTAAAGCATCACACACTATCAAGAAAGCATCGGACAAAACGTTTTGTATGGGAAAGGCATCATTGGTTTATTTCCATTCAATTCCAAGTAAAAATAAAAAAATTCAAACAACACTGAAAAACACCCCAGCTGTTCAACCATTTCCACTTTTAACTTTTGCATCCTTCACACTTGCCTTTTTTTTTACTAAAAAATAACCGATTACAAGAAAAAAAGGAATAGAAAAAGAGGGACAGGGTCTCATTTTACAAAGTGGGCTTAAAGGAGGCGTTATTATACAAGAGGAATTTAATACTACACTTATGATTTACACATATAAATTGTTTTTTCAAGGCTGGAAGAAATAAACAGCATGCAAAATGAATCGGTAAAATACAACTCGTCTTAAGCATGGTGACTAGCACAGATCACAACCTAGAACTAGAAGCAGAAACCATTTATTTTTAAAACTTATCCTCCATTTTAAAAGACTGAACTCGTCAATTAACTACATTTATAATGCACAACCTTTATCAACAAAATTAGATGGCATTGCAGGACTTTTCTCAAGAGGCAAACTTACAAACGGATTACATTTGAATCAAATTCCTGATAATTTTTGTTGTCTGTTCATCCTGAAAAAAAAAAATTGGAAAAAAACCCAAAATCTTGCATTGACAATTGTAAAAATGGATCTAATCACAAACTTCTTTAGGTTTTGTATTGTGATCGAAAAACTTGAACTTAACAGAAAACAAATTAAGAAAGGCAAATTTTGCAACTCGCACTTTCACCACTTCAGAACTAAAAGAAAA